AGTGACTTGAGTTCTTAACTTCTGATTTTATTTAAATTTGATGGTATCTTTGCTTTCACTTAATACCCTCTTAACTTAATAATAAAACACCTTTGACTTCCTGGCGTAGATCCTACTACTAACTAGCAGTTGTATATAATTCTTTGTGACGTCAGCTCCATTCTATACTTAGAGGCGGTGAGACCCAGCAATATCAAAGCGGTAAGGCCTCGAACACCTGGGGGCTTATCTCATCGGCTGAATTTCCAGGGTTGGCCTCGGGATCTCCGCTTTCTCACATCAAATGGAGTGGTAGTAAGTCTGATACCTCGAAGCTGCAGAGTTCTCTGATGATCAGGCCTCTCTCCACACTCAGCTCCCCAAAGGGGCCACATTCTTAGTATGGATCCTCCACATAGCGCTGAACATCTCAGCATTCCTACCCATTCAAGCGCTTCCACCACCCTGCGTTGCTGCTGTGGCCGCAATGACTGCGCTTTGCTCGAGCATAACAATGTAGCTCTTGAGGGCTTAGAGAAAGACCTGGAGACTGCTGCGAGGTTAGGTCAGGTACGTGTCTTTTTCGATCTTCGCTGCCCGAAATGATGTCGCTGTTGGTTGGGTATGGTCAAACGCCAAGCTGTTCCCTAGGCTGGCTGAAGCATGCATGTTGATACATCAGTTTATCATTCCTCGGAAATTACTATCTTATTGCTTTTGCTTTCCCTTGTTCTTTCATTTATACCACTTCAGATTCTGCATACTTGTGCACACCCCAGATCGTTTGGATTCAGATGGCTTCCGTCCGATATCCATCTCCCATTCTTTCGCACTGTGTTGGCGTCCGTCATGGCTACCTTTCATGATTATACTGCCCAGGCAGGATGTTTTGAGCCATCATCACTGACTTTTGCTCTACAGGCCTTGCTCCACCGCCATGAAAGTTATATGGCTGAAGCGGAAGAGGACCGTCATCGTTTGGTCAGCAGCATTGACGACCTAGAGCGCGAAAAGCAACAAGTTCAAGCTGAAAATGCTCGCATCATTGAAGAGAATCGCAGTTTGTTAGAGCAACTTGACAATTTGAATCAAGCCGTCGCCGAGTCCGACGACCATGTCAAGTCCCTAACAGTTACTTTGGAGAACACCGAGTCTGAGCTGCGAAGATTGACAGTGGCTGCAACGCGTGCCGCGGAGCTCGAGGCGCAACTAGCTCTCATGGAGACCGAGCAGTCTAAGCTTCAAGAGAGCCTTGTGTCAGTGCAGGAAGATGAGAAATCGGCCGTCCAACGGTGGAAACAAGCAGAGAGCACCCTGCGAGACCTTCATGATCAAGTCGACCGCATCGAGAAAGAGGCCCGCGAGGAGAGAGATCGACATACGGAGCTCGTCCAACGCATGGAACGCAAGAGAGCTGTGGAGCGCGAGCTAGACAATGCAGCGGGGCGTCTCAAGGGTGCCGCTGCCGCCTCCGAACTCAGCCGCAACGCAGGTGGTACAAACGTGGTCTCTCGTTTCGTCAAGGACATATTGCAAGACAACGCCAATCTGCAAGTTGGAATCATGGAACTACGTGACATGCTTCAAAGCTCGAATGAAGAAGTACAGAATCTACGGGAACAGGTTATCTCTCATCAGCCGCTGGCCGGCGCCGATGAAGAGGACAATGTGCAGCCAAGACCTTCCACCACGCTGAGCGAGGAACTACGAGCGAAGGAAGAACGACGCGTGTCTCAGGAATTACACATCCATCATCATTTCCACACGCCAACTCCAGCTCCAGTTACAAAGAAGGAGAAAGGACCGCTGAACCGTCGCGTGAAGAAACGTCGCCCTGCTTTGTTAAGCCCGGTAGCAATGCACTCTGCGGCACGGGCACAGTCGCCCCGAAGAGGCCTTCATCGCTCCCAGTCATCTGGGTCCTCCATGTCGACCATTTTGTCGCAAACCTCTGTATCCATCCCACCCCATTCATCCTCGCGCCGCTGGTCATCACAATCTCATGCTCCGGACTCGCTGGCAAGCTCTCCTCGGTCCGCGTTCCGGACATCATCGATATTTGATCGCGTTGAACGTGGCGCTGATTTCTCTCAGCCTACTAGCCCTGAAAGCACTGTGTTCTCTTCGCCTTTGATGCAGGCACGGAACCTGAAAGGTATTGATATGCCTTTCCGGCCATTCGGTGGCTTTGATAACCAAGATGCACCCGACGACCTATCCGCACTTGAAGATGATATCTACGGCCGCCAAGACTTCTTGAACACTGATAATGTCACAAGAGAGCCAGATATCCCAGAGGAAACCGAACCATCTCCATCAGCGGCATACTTCTCGCCTGTGGGTGAGCCACTGACGACCGCCGAAGATGACATTTTTACCATGCATGTACAGCCTTCATCCTTGCGCAGGTCTTCTTCCCATGACAGCTTGCTCTCCGTCTCCGTTGCTGGTATGGACATTCATACACCTACCAGTCGCCACAAGCGAATGGGCGACTGGCATCCCGGCATGCGGATTCCTCGGCGCATCTTATCACCCAGTGTCGAACTATTGTCAACACCCCCCGGTGATCTCGGCCCCGGCCATCACAGTCGATCGTGCAACGAGCTCAGAGCACAAATCCCAGTCCTTGCTTGCTTCCATGGCTGCTGGAAACCACACCAAGTCCGACACAGCGTCCGTTGTATCCACAGACAGCACCAGCACCAGCTCAACCGCAACCCTTGGGCCCCGCAAAGCTTCGACGTTGGGTCGCCGCATGGGAGGCTGGGTACTAGGTCGCTGGGGCATCGCAGCAGTCTCATCAGACAATGACTCGCAAGATCCGACGAACTCGCCAAACACATCTGTGACCTCGTCACCTTCTACTTCTGCGCCCAAACCCCCCTGACCCGTTAGCTCTCCGCTTCAGATACCCAGGTGTGAACCAAAAGGGTCCGATAATGGGCCTGCGGCCTCCGCCTCCTGCTCCGATTTCAATTCATGCACAAAGCATAGATGAGAACCTGCTGCGAGAGAGTCTAGCCGAAGATAATGGCTAGATTCCTCGCAACCTAAATACCTGCACATTCATTGTTCTTTAGCGCCTACACTCGTTTTAATCTTGGCATTTATTATCTCCTTTCTTTATTTGCATTCTGCTCTCTCGGTTTGGTGGTTGCATTTCTTGGATTCCTGGTTTGGAATGGCGCAAGTCGCGATGATACCCATGCTTTCATCTTTTTCCTAAACGTGTCTAGATGGTACGATGTACACTCTTTGGTCCTTTCACAATGTATCTTTTACGCGACAGCACCCTGTGGCTTGGACTTGACTTCATTGAGTACCTCAATACCATTGGAGTTTTACGCTAGTCGAGTTGGACAATTTTGCATAGTTCCCTTGGAGCTAGTTATATACTGTAGCAGCAAGTTTCATAACTTTTGCATCATTTGCATGATATCACAATTCTCTATTCATACTCATTACCTCGTGATGTAAACGCAGTTCAAGTGACTGCTTATTTCATCCGCGAAATCCGATATGTCCGGATTGGGATGCTGGTCGAATGGAAGAAACCCGTCTGGTCTTCTGATGGTGTAGATTCGAACAGGAGGGTTTCAACAGCGAATGAGTTGGTTTCTGTGGATGTTAGCGCTGTACAAGACCTGAGCATCAATGTCCATGTCTGAACTTCAAGACTCACCACAAGCATTCAAGAACGTGCGGAAAGTATCCTCATTGCGCAGGGTCGCAGCAATGATAAATTCTTTAATGTGGTAGTTCTCGAAAAGATCCCGCACAGTAGAGATGAGTAAAGGAACAAGGTCGGTATCGTAGATCTAGCCATGTAAGCACGAAAACCAAGTAAGCAGCACACGAGAACACCCACCAGATCAGCACCGAGAGCAACATCAAACCTCAACCCCGTCCCATCCTCACCTTCACCAGAACCCAACCCAGCAAGATCCCCCTTCCTCTCCAACGGAGTCCCCCACTCCCAAACGGCAGGATAAATAGGAATAGACTCCCGCCCCTGCAAATTATGCCTGACACAATCACGGATATTATCAATAAGCGCCGGCTCACGATCAGTAACAACAACAGAGCGCACACCAAGATGGCAAGCACAAACCAGCGACAAGAAGCCCGTGCCAGCACCCAGTTCGATAACCCGCTTACCACGCACAAGAGCCTCGCCCGTCTCGGACGCCAGGAACGAACCAAGATGCAGAGCAGCCTCCCATGTCCGATTACCGGTGGTTCCAGCGGACAGAATCAGGCCGCGCGATTCAGAGGTCGTGACTGTGCGCTCGGGAGAGGTTCCTGCATTGCATGTTGGCGCTGTGTACTTGACTAACGACAGCTGCTGCGCTTGTTGCAGGGCTGAGGGTTTCGGCTGGGAGACTAGTGTGCTCCAGCTTTCCATGAGATCGTCGTTGATCTCCTGTTTTCGTGGGGGAGGGAAGAGGTTAGATAGGTGGAAAATCAAGGAATATAAAGAGATTTTGCATTGGTGAGGTGAATTACATGGGATAGAAAAGGAAAGGAAATGATTGAAAGATCAAGATGCAAAATGCAAAACAGGACTTAAACAGGTGGGTGAGCATACATCCTCCTCGGGGTCTGTGATTGATTCCTCGATGCGTGAGAGAATCTGCTTCAGCACTCGGCTTCGATAGCTGGCTGGTGGGATGGGGAAGACTGCATTTTCGTTGAACATGCGCTCGTATAACGCTGCTTGCACGGCTGGCTGGATCAACACTGGGCCTGGTGGGAGGGCCAAGTGCTGGAGCTCGACCAGCTGGAAATACTGCGCCGCTAATTTATCAATAGAGTCGGTCATGGTCATTGGATGAACATAGTAATGAATTTGATATCGAGATCAATGCGGCAGATCTCATTGGAGCCCGGGCGAAAAGAGTGGATGAGTCAGGTATGAGATAAGCAAGGGCTGATCAATACTTTCTGCCTCAGGCATATATAATCTTAGTCATTATGGCCTGAGGCAGATACCCCAAACAGGCTAGCGTCTACCCTAGCCGAGCCCACACCACACGAAAATTGAAAGTTCGACATCCTCAGTGACCCCGTCGACACTTCCTCCATCCAACGCACACACCAAAATGGCCGACACTCCCGTCACTCTGCGGACTCGCAAGTTCATCCGCAACCCTCTGCTTGCCCGCAAGCAGATGGTCGTGTAAGAACCCCCCCTGATTTTCCCCCTCGTTTTGGATCTGTGTGTGGGAAATGCATGGCAGGCGCGCAATATGGAAATTCGACAACCACGCAGCACAAAGAGAAAGAGAAAAAGGAATACAATTCGGAACATCGCAACACACACAGAAACAAGCGTCGACGAACCAAAAACCCAGAAAACCCCGATCTGACATCTTTTCGCGAATATCTAGGGACGTCCTCCACCCCAACCGCCCCAACGTCTCCAAGGACGAGCTCCGTGAGAAGCTGGCCGACCTGTACAAGTCCAACAAGGACCAGGTCTCCGTCTTCGGTTTCCGCACACAGTACGGTGGTGGTAAGAGCACCGGCTTCGCTCTGGTCTACGACTCCTCCGAGGCCCTGAAGAAGTTCGAGCCTCACTACCGTCTCGTCCGTATCGGTGCCGCCAGCAAGATCGAGAAGGCTTCCCGCCAGCAGCGTATGTCTTTCTTTTCTCAGCGATTATCAATCGCGAAATATGGATGTTGTGTTCCGCTTTTGCTAACCCCCTTCCCTCCCTACAGGCAAGCAACGGAAGAACCGCTCCAAGAAGTTCCGCGGTGTCGCCAAGGTCAAGGGCCCCAAGAAGAGCAAGGATTAAACGCCTCATCTGTAACTATTCGCACGATTCAACATGGACCGATGATGCGGCATGGCGCGATGGGAAAGATTATGGCGGTGACGGCTTTGGCTCTGGAGTTTCCCACCTGGTTATGGCTTGTCCGGACCCAGGTGCGGTCGGTCGTGTGTGGGGGGGAGTGGTTTATCTTCCTTTTCAGCGAACATCAGACTAAAACCCAAAATGATGCCCGTTGAATGGTGAAGATCGTGGACGGATACTCTTTTTTCTTCCTGTGCTTGTTGGAGCTGGTGATTCCCGAGAAAAAAAGGCTGGCGATCCCCATGGAAATTTAAATCAGGGCGTCAGTGTTGTGGTTCTTGTATGTTTTTTTGGGGAGGGGATCATCAGTCTTCGCGAAGACGGCCGGGGTTATGAGAATCCGGGCTTCGGCTGTTTGCCCGGGATGAAATTACATTTTACTTGTTTCTCTTCACTCGGTCCGGTCTTGTAGACTGTACTTGTACGGGGAGGTCTGGATCTGGTGTAGTCGGATCTGGAGACTGTAGACTGAAGACCTGCGGCGTAGTCTAGGCTCAGTCTTGTCGAGTGCCCTATATCGAGTGCCCCTCTGTTCTATGCCCCGAATGCGGAGTACATATGAGTACATATTGCCCCAGATGTCTAACTCGATTGATGTAACAAGTCGGCCGTGTCTATATCAATGCAACTATATCAATACACAAAGCCAAGAGGAAATCAGGGTAGCCCCGTAGCCCCCATGGCCAAAAGCTCAATCTGATCCCCCAAGAACCTCTCCGTCACCAATTCATTTCCCCGTTCAAGCAGGTAATCTGTAGAACCAGCGGTGTATACAACACTTCCAACACCGGGACCAAGAACAATACGCCAAGCCAACATATACCCAGCGACGTTCCACGCCACCTGTTCAGTTCTATCCGAGAACACAGGGGCACGATAGTCCTGCGTATCTTCAACTCTCCTCCTCCAGTTATCGCTGTACTGTTCTACCCAAGCATCGTACATCGCCAGCACTGAGGGCGGGAATGAGGCGAGTTCTTCTACTGCCTCGGTGTATCCTTGCTCATCTTCTCTAATATCCTCAACGGCTCGCCAGAGGAAGTCCGTTCCGTAGTCTGGGAATATGCGATAGTGTCGAGGCAGGATTGATAACTCAGGCTTGGGAGAAGGGGTTTCGATTGTCATCATCTTGACTGTGAAGTTATCGGGCACGGTTGTGATTGTGAGTACGAAGTCAAATGTGGTCTTTATGACTGTCGCTCTCTCGGACTCGATGCATCTTCCTCGGTAAGAGTGCGCCATGCGTCGCCTAGGTTCTTGATGGATTGGATGTATCGCTGCGATTGGGATTGGCGGCTGAATACAGCTAGAGGTTTCAGAAGTCTGGATGTCATGGTTTCTTGAATCGGCGCGTTCAGTGGTCAAGCGTGGCAGCTTTGGGTAATACTGTGTGTAAGTTCTACGGGAAGTCCTGCCTATAAGTACATATTCTAGGGTCCTAAGCTTCTACAAGTCATGTATGGGCGCATAATAGTTTGACATGGTTCTATGTGGTCCAATTGTTAGGACATGGGGTAGTGTCTATTAAAAGAACCACTAACCGCCGTGATGTGAACGATTGGTCCTTCATTTTCGGAGAACTAAATTTTAGTAGGCGCAAGCATGCTAATCAGGTTTTGTATTTCCATAAAATCTAAAATCTCGGAAAATATACATATGTACTGTCAAAGCATTAGCGCTGTAGGTTACATAGGAAATTTACCAAGACTCTAAAGCCCTAATTCAGAGTGACAACTCATAGCTGTTGCAGCTCAGCTGATCTTGCCCCAATCCAACACACTCATTCATTGTAATGATCTTGCAATAACGTTACTTTTGTTACTTTATCCAAATATACAGACCAAGCAAAAGACACAGTGTCTACCTCTATAACGTCTGACTCCAGTTAAAAGCGAACTAGCCATCTCAATGAGTCACTCCATCCGACTAAGGAATGACAACCCAACACATACAATGCAGGAACCAACCAAACCAAGCCATCACACTTAGCATGACAAAACCTCAAAACAGCAGAACCCTGTCCAAATTCCAGGAGGCTGTGTAAGTATATCCCTCGGAGTGGATCGCTTGTACGATGTGGCCGATTACACAACCTACGACCTCCCTTTCTCAAATATTCCCCGTAAAATTCCCACCATATGGGAATCCCACATTGCAATTCCACGTGTACTAGGTCTATTCGGGATACCGGTCTTCTGACTGGAGATGTAGATACATATCTGCTACCGTAGGATTTCCAGCAGCCAAGTATCCAGACACGCCCATGGCAGGGTTGTATACGGCATAGCGGGTTGGATCATTGTATTACTGCATCCTGGTTAAGGGATTCAGGAGAGTCCGATGTACTGCCGTGTGCTACTGTTGGGGAGGATCCTGGTGCTGGTATGGGGGTGCAGAGCACATGGGCACATGGGCACATGGTTAGCCTTGTTCGTACTTGTGACTATGAAGGTGGATGGGAATACACGGGGTTGGGGTTTATTATATGTATTGTATATTGGGGATATGGTCTATGCATTAGATAGAAGGTTGTGTTAAGGTGTTAAATTGAGATATAAATACTCGAGGAGGGAAGACAGAGTAGATATGTAAAGACATTATTTGGATAGGCCGTACAAGACAAATAAGGAACTCCACGCTTGAAAAGGGGCTAGAAGACAGAAAACTAGAATTAACAAGCTTTCCTGGGTCATTGTTGATGGTGACATACCACAGACCGGAGAGTCGTAGTAACAATAGAAATAAGACATTCAACCAAAGACTAAACACACATGGCATGAAAAAAAGCATATTTTTGAAACAGACACAGGATCACTGATATAAATCACTGCATAAAGCCACTGGGGTATTAGGGAGTAATCTCAATGGACGGGTGTGACAGGATGGGCATCTCATCATAGTCCCTATTGGATAGTTTTTCTCTTTTGGAAGATAAGCGGACTGAACAAGACAACAGAGGAAAAATCAAAACAGAACAGAATAACAGCAAAAGAACAAATCGATAGACGAAAAACAGAAACAGACATGAGAAGACATTAGTAGGCAGAACAAAGGCAGATGTAAACGGCCTTGATATGGGTATCTCTTTTGTGTATCTTGTGGGAAAGAAGAAACGACCAAGCAAGAGACCGACCAGGAAAGACGATAACAGCGAGGATGAAGGAAACATTGAAGTCATTCAATACGCCCCCTGATGTCCCAACGGTGAAATGGGAGAACGATGCAGATCAACCCGCCCATAGTCCGACAACCCATCAGGTAAAAAACCATACGGCAGCCCAACCGCCGAGTCGGCATGTCGAACACGTGTATACGGCAACCCGTTAACAAGCGTCGGCGCCGAGCAGCGCATATCCTCGACAACGCCCCTCGACTTCCGGCGCTCACTGCCCGCATACCCGTACACATCGGGTGCGCAATCAGAAGTCAGCGCGAGTAGACGCTGTCCGGCGCCGCTATCGCGTGGGAATGTGCGGCCCAAGCGTGCGTCGGAGGTGTTGTACTCGCCCAGAGTGTTCTCTATCGTGTCCAGGGCTGGGTAGGGAGGGTTTGCAGCGGAGGGGGCCATGGAGGATGAGGATGAGGCTGGGGGAAGTGGGGATGGGTCTTCTGTTGTAGACATGGGGATGTATCCGAAGAGGTCGGATGTTCCTTCGTCTGAGTCGGTTGACTTGCGTGCTGAAGAGCTAATATTGTAGAGACCGTTGCTTGGGACGGTCATTGGCACTGTACGGCCGTCTTGGGAGGCTGCGAACCGTGCGTTCCAGGCCTTTGCGTCGGTGGCTAGGGTCATGCCTGAGAGGCCGTCTGGGAGGGTTGAGAGGTTGGACTGGGGTTGGCTTCGGCAGGTTGGGGGTGTTGGGAGGGTGCGGTCTACGTCTGTGTAAGACGTTGTCATTGGCCCTGTTGACTGGGGCATCTCGGTGGACATACTTTGGCCAGGGAGGACGAAGCCATATGCGGCTTGGTTCATGTTGCCGCTTTGTTCTTCGAAGAACTCGGGTCTGCCGTTGAGATCCCAGGCCCGGTTGCCCCAGGTGGTGCTATAGTCGAGCATCCCGGTGCTGGATAGCATGTACCCTGGTGATGTCTGACCGTGGTAATTGGCGGACTGGTCATCATAGGAGTGGTCCATGCCGACGGGTTGCCGTGAGAAGTTAGACTGGATATCCAGCTCGTACTCTTCTCCTCGCTGGTATGGAGTCCGCATTTGAGGGGAGCCCATAAGGATTGACCTTCCCTGACCCTTGGTTGCATAAAGCCTAGCTGCTTCTCTAGCAGCATCTTCGGGGGCCAAAGAGTTGACCTAAGGAGTAAAAGGAAGAAAGGTCAGTATGATTCCCTCTGTGGATATATTGTGGATATGAACTTGGGCTTACTCGTATATACTGGCATTCAGTGGCTCCAACACTACGGCAGCTAGAGCAAGCCAGGCCAGTATTGAGATCACCGTTGCACTTGATTTTTCTCTTCCGGCATCGGTTGCACTAGTCAAAGGTTAGAAGTCACTAGATGATCAGAGGATGGAGAGAGCACACATACTGCGACTAGGGCTCGCTTTCTCTGTTTCCGTGGTTTTTCATCTCGTTCAAGACGGTCCTGCTTAGCCACTCGCATCGACCGAGCCATAGAAATGGAGTTATGCCGGGCTTCTAGTCCGGCTAGGTCGTATGTGTGATCCATTGATATAGCACGCGATTCACTTAAACACTCAAAAGTAGGGGATATGCAAAATACAAGTTCAGTGAATGTGAGAAGAATAGAAAATGAAAGATGTCTCTGGGAAATAGGGCTAGATTTAAGCCATGTTTTGGTAACAATCGGTGTGATTGCCTTCTTATTTTTTTTATAATATAGATAATATAGATTATATATTATATATTATAGTATATTTTTGCCCCCTGCTTTTTTTTTCTCTATAATATTATATATATTATTTTCCTATATGTGTGTTTAGTTCGTAGAGAGGAAGACATACACAGTACGTCGACCAAAAGTACCCTGGACCTGGTTTCTTTTTTTCTTTTCTTTTTTTCTTTTAAGATATTATCTTATTTATCTTCAAGTTATTTTCTGTTTTGTATTTTTTTTTCTCTATTTCTCTTAAGGGGAAGATTCTATGCAAAGTTCCGCCATTCCCCCCAGTTTCCCATATAAAAGGAGAATAAAAGGAGAATAAAACAGAATAAAAACAGAAAAGAGAGGTTTCACAAGGTAACGTCACACATGACCTTAGCCATGACGAGAACAGACTGCTCCGGTAGGTAGTGTTTCAGCCAATTCTTCTCTTTTTTTTTTATAAAGACCATGAACTTGGTGTATCTCATAACGGGCAACTGCCGACCTACTGTTTGCAGACGATCCGCGGGGGAGTATAACCCGACGTCCGTCCAAATGTTTGCTCGATAGTTTTGTCTGCAGGTCGAAATAGTAAATAGTCCGATCTGAACTCGAGAGTCTGGAACATACCTAGGTACTGAGAGTATGTTATCTGGCAAACGGTCCAGATAACTAAAAAGAAAAGACAAACAAACGCCTGTCTCAGGATGCTTCAAATGTCTCAATAGAGAAAGAGAAGAGAAAGGAAAAAAAGAAAATATAGAAGAGTCAAAATCTCTCATGACACCTGTCACTTTGACAAGCGCACGAGTTGTCTTCCCCGAGCCAAGCGCGCTCTAGTAAAAGGTAAAAATTAGGGATCGACGATCTAAAGGATCGACATGGGGGTCGATCCAGCGTTCTTTAGCGCTTCCGGTACGCAGCTAGATCGAAAGGGAAAGACGAAAAAGCAAATCAAGTCCATAAAATGAGGATAGTATACTCCGTACTTGGTATGAAATTAGTTCGGACATACCAAATCTCGACGCTAAAGGCTAAAAGGGGGAATCTAGAAGTGCCGAGATGCATGAACTTCTGGGATACTTAACAAGGTTCACACATTGGAGCTACCTAGGTAATGTGGAGAGAAAGTGGATTCGTTACAGGTATGACACGGGCAAAAAGAATTAGAAGTTCTCCATTGGTATAAACTCTCTTTCCAATGTACTCAGTACACATACTACCACCTGAAGACATTCGGACAGAGACGAGAGACATGAAAGAGAAACCAAAACAGTGGGGAAGGCAAAGTCTAGGTCTCAAATACAAATCTAGACCTCATGGAGTCTGGAGGTATTTAGACAAGTTCCGGCAGTTCAAGGTTTGACGATGCACGACATCCCGGGGGGAAGTAGGAATTGCGAATTTAAGAGTCAGGAGAAACAAGCCCTGGAGAGCCAAGCCAGCTGACTCTGAGTTGACTCGCCAGGAACACATGTTGGGATTGAGACTGGCTTTTGTTGCAGACGATACGGTGGAGGCAACCCCTGGCTGCTGACCGAAGCTCCCTCCAGAAGCCGAGAGGGCAAAGAGGCTCAGGATTGATCATATTCCCATCCCACGTGTATGGCTCTTTTTCAAGAAGTTAGTGTGTGGTGATGATGATACCCGTTGGAATCCTGCTGCAGGAGGCCGTCCGTTTCCCCTTCCCAACGTTTCTGTTGTGGAACGGCTCACGGGGCAAAGATGGTACTGTCCAAGCAAAGGAGGACAGGAGGACCGTGTACCTCCAGAGCTGCGAGACGGTGCTTTGATCTTAGTGGGGAGAGAAGACGAAACAGTACTGTGGCTTGGTCTCCAAGGATTTGACCAGTGACAATCAGTCACTCTCGGACTTCTGCCAAGAGATGCTTCTTTTGGCTGGGCCTGCTGCTGCATGAGGGATATAAGCACACAAACAGTTCAAACTTGGAATCCCTGGGTCGATCAAGGCCCTTAATAAGATCCGCTGCACGTCGATCTCAAAAGCGTAAGGTTATATCCATTATGTCCAACGGGGGCATTCGGAAGATATGCCGCTCGATTGGCAAGCACCGTTTCACAAGTCTCCCGGGTCGAACATCCGGAGAGCCCTAGAGCTGTTGCGCAGCACGTACCCATAGATTCGTGGAAGATCCTTTTGTGTGTTAAAAGAAATGTAAAAATAGGAAGAATAGGGAGAATAGGGAGAAAAGTGAGAAAAGGGAAAAGAAGAAGAAAAAGAAAAACACGAAGAGGCTCAGTTCCCTCAGTTCCCTCCGGTTGGGGATCCCCGCGGGCGGTGATTGGTCGAAGCTTCGGTGATCTTCTCGCATTTCGCATTTCCCGGACTTTCACATTCGCTCTGTCTCTCTGTCTCTCTGTGTCTACCTACCTCCCTCTTATTACCAAAGTGTTTGTCCTAGGTCGACCAAGCGCCTAATTCGGTGTATCGCGATTCCCCGCCATGAGCGCGCTTTTAGAGACCTCCCTGGGCGACATTGTAATCGACCTGTTGGTCGATGATGCACCCAAAGCGTGTGACAAGTGAGTGGCTCCATTCCTTGGCTTTCCCAGTCTGCTGAAACCTGAAACTAAGCTCATTTTGTGTGCTTTTAGCTTTTTGAAGCTATGCAAGCTCAAGTACTACAATTTCTCGCCCGTCCACAGCGTCCAAAAGAACTTCACCTTCCAGACTGGCGACCCGCTCGGTCCTGACGCACCCGAGAGCGATGGAGGTTCTTCAGTATGGGGTCTGCTGGATGGACCGTCGAAAAGAACATTTCCACTCGAGGTGTCGCGCAAGTTGAAACACCTGGAGCGCGGCACGGTGAGCATGGCCACGGTACCGGCCAAGAACGACCCCGACCAACGGTTAGCCGCCAGTCAATTCATCATTACACTTGGAGACAATCTGGATTATTTAGATGGCAAGGCCGTGATTTTTGGCAAGGTCGTTGAGGGCTTCGATGTCCTGGACAAAATCAATGAATCATTTATTGACGACCGAGGTCGACCGCTGAAGGATATTCGCATTCGTCACACCACTGTCCTTGACGATCCCTTCGATGACCCGCCAAATCTGGTTGAACCGCCTGAAAGCCCGGTTCCTTCCAAAGCCCAATTGGCCACGGTCAGAATCGCAGACGATGAGGACTTGGATGATGATATGGATGAAGAGGCTATGGACAAGCTACGTCGCGAGCGTGAGGCTCGCGCGCAAGCGCTGACATTGGAGATGGTGGGAGATCTGCCATTCGCCGATGTCAAGCCACCAGAGAATATTCTTTTCGTTTGCAAGCTCAACCCAGTCACACAAGGTTTGTCGCGTTCTATTCCCCCACAGAACCGTGGGATTGTGCTAACCAATGCTAGATGAGGATCTGAATCTTATTTTCAGCCGCTTTGGAACAATCTTGTCTTGCGAGGTCATTCGGGACAAGCGCACCGGTGACAGTCTACAATATGCCTTTATTGAATTCGAGGAACAGAAGGATTGTGAACAGGCCTATTTCAAGATGCAGGGTGTCTTAATTGATGATCACCGGATCCACGTGGATTTCTCACAGAGTGTAAGACCTTTATCACCCCCTATTACCTGGACCGATAGGCTAATATATCCTAGGTGTCCAAATTATCCGAAAGCTGGCGCAATTCTACCGTCACCAAGCGCCGACAGAGAGGTGGATTTGGTGGTGTTGCAGACCTTGAAGCGAAACGTCAGTATCGAGAGGTGGATGATACGCCTCTAGATGAGGATGATGCCAGGTATGTATTTGACAAGCGAAACAAGGACAGGGCTCCACGGGAGGCCCCGTCAGATCGCACTCGAGTTCGTCGGGATCGAGGGAGTCGAAGCCCCCGTCGAGATGGACGGGATCGATACCGTCGTCGATCCTATAGTCGAAGTCCACAACGGGATTCACGAAGGGATTCACGGAAAGATTCAAGGAGAGACCGGGGCTACCGTGAGCGACGATAGTATTCAGATATCCCCTATTCTCGAATAAATACGGTGTAGTCTTAACATATCCACTCGACTTCGCCCCTTAGCAGGCCAAGGCCCCGCTTTGACTAGTGTAATAAATCCCAGTGGGCAGGTCTCACTCGGCACTCGCGAGCCACTTTCTTGTATGGACAACTCGTTATTATTCGTCTTTGCAGATCCCTAAAAATAAACTGAAGCCCACTAGGTTCCTAATAGTCTGAGATATATTAGTGTGGCGTGCACTTTTAAGGTGTAACTTAAGTACTTAATCAGCTTCGAGCTTCACCCCACGTTTTTTTATTTTTATTTACTTCTCTTTCCTCTTCTCCCTTCTCCCCAATTTATCTCTCCTCGTTTCTCTATCTCTAAAAAACATTTTCACAATGGCAGGTGTAATCAAAGATGCTGTCTCCAATGTCCTTGGAAAACTCCAGGGCACTGCTCCAGAGGTTCCCCGTGAACCCTCAGTGGAGGAGTTCCAAGCACTGCAGAAGAAGTACACAGACGCTGGACAAGGCCATGTCTTTGCCTTTGTCGAGGAATTGACCACTGTCGAGAAGTCACAGCTCTTCCACCAGCTGTCCAACTTTGACCCCACTCGGATCAACGAGCTGGCCGACAAGGCCCTCAACCCTCCTCCCGCCGAGCAAGGGGCCGTGACCCTCGAGCCCCTCCCCCGAAGTCGCCACTGCCTCCATCCTCGATTCCGACCCCTCAGATATCCAGAAATGGTACGAATCCGGCCTGAAGGAGGTCGCGGCGAACAAGGTGGCCGTGGTCTTGATGGCTGGCGGGCAGGGTACCCGGCTCGGCAGCTCTGCCCCCAAGGGCTGCTTTGACATTGGTCTGTTGAGCGAGAAATCGCTGTTTCAGCTACAGGCTCAGCGTATTCTCAAGCTGCAGTCTCTCATCGGTGGTCAGAACGTGGTCATCCCCTGGTACATCATGACCAGTGGGCCTACCCGCAAACCCACGGAGGAGTTCTTTGAGAAGAACAACTACTTCGGTCTGGACAAGAGCAATGTTATGATCTTCGAGCAGGGTGTTCTGCCTTGTATCTCCAATGACGGCAAGATTCTGCTCGAGACCAAGGGCAAGGTATGTAGTATACGTAGCTCAAAACATGTGTGGGAACAGATCTGTTGACCCCTGAATATAGGCCGCCGTGGCTCCCGATGGAAACGGTGGCATCTACCAGGCCCTCGTGGTCTCCGGTGTGCGGGAGGACATGCGCCGCCGTGGCATCCAACACATCCACCTCTACGGAGTGGACAACTGCCTGGTCAAGGTAGCGGACCCAGTATTCATTGGCTTTGCAGCCTCTAAGAACGTCGACATCGCGACCAAGGTGGTGCGCAAGCGCAACGCTACCGAGTCCGTCGGCCTGATCCTGTTGAAGAACGGCAAGCCCGACGTGGTCGAGTACTCTGAGATTGACAAGGAGACTGCCGAGGCCAAGGACCCCAAGCAGCCCGATGTCCTCAAGTACCGTGCCGCCAACATCGTCAACCACTACTACTCCTTCCGGTTCCTCGAGTCGATCGAGAACTGGGCGCACCAGCTGCCCCACCACGTGGCGCGCAAGAAGATCGCCTGTGTCGATGCCGAGTCCGGTAACGTCGTCAAGCCCGAGAAGCCTAACGGCATCAAGCTGGAGCAGTTCGTCTTCGATGTGTTCCCCATGACGCCTCTGGAGAAGTTCGCTTCCCTTGAGGTGCACCGTCACGACGAGTTCTCGCCTTTGAAGAACGCCCGCGGCACTGGCGAGGACGACCCTGACACCAGCCGCGCTGATATCATGGCCCAAGGTCAGCGATGGGTTGAGGCTGCTGGTGGTATTGTTATTACGGATGGCGAGGCCGTTGGTGTTGAAGTTTCTCCTCTGATCAGCTACGTATGTCTCTTCTATCTCCCTCTTGATTCCTCAACTAACATCCATTGCAGGGCGGTGAAAACCTGGAATTCCTCAAGGGACGGGAGATTAAGGCACCGGCCATCCTGGAGCGGGAAGAGTAGATTAGATGTCTAACCAGTCGGATCTTGGATCTCTTGGAACGAAGAAATGAATTGCATTGTGACACTTTTTGGGGAATGGATCTACTGTAGGAATGTAGGGGTAAGGAATTCAAATACATATGTATCATTCATAATAGAGTACATATATGTAGGTAAGATATAGAATACCTCCAGGGCTAAATGTATGTAGAACAGTAAATAAACGCCTTACGCAATACGGAAAAGCCCGGGAGCTAAAGCCGTTTGACGAGTTTGTCCTTTTTCCACTTTTCCTCTCTTCTTTGTGTGCTTTCTCTTTGGAGTTGAGTGAGGTTATTGAGGTTGTTGAGAGTGAGTTATTTCCATTTCTTCTTTTTCTATCTCTTGTTGTTTTTGCTTTTTTTTTTTTTCTGTGTGGTTCCTTCATGTCCCACTTTTTCGAGTGGGCTGTCAGAACGTGCCTACTTTTCTCCAAAGGTTCTCAAAAAGCTGACCAAAAGGGTTATAGATTTTGACAAGGATCTGAAAGAGTTACTGTGAGGGTGAGTGAGATAGTGGTTTCGCATTTCGCATTTCGCATTGCGCCGTTCGAGCTCGTGCTCTCCCCGCCGATCTACGTCTTCCCCTCTTTCGCTTGAAATTCTTGAGTTCGCAGCCGATGCGATTGTGCTGGACTCGGACAACGTCGGATATATACGCTGGAATTGGAGCCAAAGCAACAGGAGTCAAAGCAATAGACATATTGTTATCACGCAAAATTCGACAATCCCGGCAATGGAGGGGAAGACGCTGCTTATCGACGGAGCTATATCAACCATAACCCCAGCACCGGGCTGACTTGCGATGGATAGATTATCGCCAGAATGATGTTGTCTCGTCGCGCATGCTACAAGTGTGGCACTATTGGCCACTATGCTGGTTAGTATAGCTGGAAGAGCTTGGTATATCTGGGGTCGAACTAATTCCTCGATAGAGGTCTGCTCTTCCACCGAGCGTCTCTGCTACAACTGTACGTGAATATCTCCCCGAGAGGTCGTACTCTTATCTTACTGGGTGCTAATTCATCTCATCTCACAGGCAAGCAGCCCGGTATGTTCGATCATGAGTCATAGTACTCAAAACAAGCTTCTAAGTCATCATATAGGCCACGAGTCGAGCGCCTGCCCTCTGCCCCGTACCACCGAGAGTAAGCGATCACTCGATATCAACCCCCTCCATTACAGTCCGTTAACACCATCCAGCCAAGCAGTGCTACAACTGCCAGGGCCTCGGGCACGTCCAGGCTGACTGCCCCACCCTGCGCCTGAACGGCGGTGCCAACGGCCGCTGCTACAACTGCAACCAGCCCGGCCACCTTGCCGTAAGTTTACGACCAAGCCCAGGTCTTGGACCTCGAACCAGTCACTAACCTCACTCCAGCGCAACTGCACCAACCCCACTGCTCCCGGAGCTGGTGCTCCCCTACCGGTCCCGCCGCTGGTCGCGGTGCCGGTGCTCGCGGCGGTTTCCAGGGTGGATTCCGCGGTGGATTCAGCGGCTACCCCCGCGCCGCAACCTGCTACAAGTGCGGTGGTCCCAACCACTTCGCCCGTGACTGCCAGGCTCAGGCCATGAAGTGCTACGCCTGCGGCAAGCTCGGCCACATCTCGCGTGACTGCACCGCGCCTAACGGTGGCCCCCTCAGCTCCGCCGGTAAGGTCTGCTACAAGTGCGCCCAGGCTGGCCACATCTCCCGCGACTGCCCTACCAACGAGGGTGCCGCTGCTCCTGTTGCTGCCGTTGACGCTGCCCCCGTTGCCGCTGTCCCCGTCGTCGCGTCTGCCCCTGCTGTGGTCGCTGTTGAGACTACCTCTGATACTGTCCCTGCTGCGGCTCCTACTCCTGCCGTCGCTTAAGTGTGTTCAGTCCTGTCTCTCCACTATGCATCCGCCATTGGAGGAATGCCTGGAGTTCCTTTTCTTCCTTGATTCTGTATTACGGTCACTTTCCCTACACCTCGATCGGTCTCTTCTCTCCGCCATTTCTTCCTTTGCATATATTTAAATCACCCCCTCTGTTTTTGGGAACGGGGTCTGGTTCTGGACCTTAAAAAAAAAACAACTTTTGATTTCCCTTTTTCACCCCCTTTGGAACTTGTTCTTTTTTACTTAACTTTTTTTTATCACCCTATCATGTATACGACGAACAAACAGAAAAAGTTTTTTTTGGTTTTGTTTTTCGCGAATTCACCCTCGACTTGACTTTCAAGTCTTACGATTGGCGTCTGTTGTCTATTCTCATGGATTATCTTTCTTGGTTTTCAATCGACTCTTGGTTGCGGTTTCCCTGAATGGGGCCAAGGAGAGAACGAGGAGATGAAGTGTGGCAATGAGAGGATATGTTGAAGCTGAGGGGAATTAGATTCGGGGACCGTTGCAACTATGTGGAAAGAGGACTTCCAGATGGGAAGAGTCCTGAGAACATTTCGAGAGTCTAAAAAAGATATATCTCAATCATCTGCTTCTTGTAGTGTATAGATGCGGTGTGCAGTGCTTGGTAACAGTCTGAACCCGTGACCTTGAACAGCCAGGTCGAGTCGAGTCTCCCTTCACATCTCTTGTTCCCTCTACACTCTCCCCCATCAGTCATCTTCACATAGCCATCTCCAATTGATCCCATCAAGATGCCGGGCTCCGTTGGAAGTGATGAATTCGACGATGATGAGGTACAATTAATCCCCCAACCCCACGCGCGTCCGAGAGCTGCCAATCTGACCAGTGAATGACTACAATTGCAGAACTTCATTCTAGATATCGACAGCATCCAAGCCCATGGCATTGGCGCAGCTGACATCACCAAGCTGAAGGCTAACGGGTTTTATACCATTGCTGTCAGTGCCTTAACCCTAATCACCTCATCCCCAAGCGCAGTCCAGACCCATGCCATCTCCCGACAAACCTAACCACTCATCCAGTCCGTTCACGGCGCCACCCGCAAAACTCTCTTGAAAATCAAAGGATTCAGCGAAGTCAAGGTCGAGAAAGTCAAAGAAGCAATTCAGAAATGTCTTCCCACAGCATCGGGTTTCATCACAGCAATGGAACTCCACCACCAGCGCAAGAAAGTCGTCCGCATCTCAACCGGCAGCAAGCAATTTGACGCAATCCTGAACGGGTGAGTACAATACCGGTTAAAAACATAAAGGCCATTCAAACCAATCTAACACCACGCAGTGGCTTTCAAAGTATGAGCATCAGCGAAGTCTTCGGTGAATTTCGCTGCGGCAAAACACAATTATCACACACGATGTCCGTAGTCGCGCAACTACCCAAAGAACTAGGCGGTGCAGCCGGCAGAGTCGCCTACATCGACACAGAGGGCACGTTCCGGCCCGAGCGCATTGCTCAAATCGCAGAACGGTTCGGGCTTGATCCCGATACCGCGCAGGAGAATATTTCCTATGCGCGCGCGCTAAACAGCGAGCACCAGCTCGAGTTGCTGAATACGCTTTCTCAGGCATTTGTGGGTGGCGAGTATCGGTTGCTTGTTATTGATAGCATCATGAACTGTTTTCGGGTTGATTATTGTGGACGTGGGGAATTGGCGGATCGTCAGCAGAAGTTGAATCAGTTTTTGATGAAACTGGCCCATATGGCGGAAGGTGAGATTTATTGTTCTGTGCTGTTGGTGTTTTGGTTGCTTAGGCTGATTTGATTTGACTTGCAGAATTTAACGTCTGTGTCTTGATGGTGAGTGCGATCTTGTATGTTTCGAGTTTTTGTGGCTCACACTTCGGTTCAGACAAACCAGGTCCAGAGTGACCCTGGTGCTAGTGCTCTCTTCGCTGGAGCTGATGGTCGCAAGCCAGTTGGTGGACATGTTCTTGCTCATGCTTCCACTACTCGTGTGCTCCTTCGGAAGGGTCGGGGTGATGAGCGAGTTGCCAAGATTCAGGATTCTCCCGGTGAGTAATTCGATCTATTCTGGGGCGTAACACTGCTCTGACTCCTTCTAAGACTGCGCTGAACGTGAAGCAATCTATGTTATTACCAATGGCGGGATCAATGATCCTGAGAAGGCTTGAAGGTGGTGCGGTCGAGATACATCGATCTTGGGAGAAATGCTCTGCAATCACGATTTTCATGATGTACCAGGTTTGATGCTGCGATATTATTATACCCATTAGTCAATTTATACCATCCATGGATAGATAATAGGTTATAATACCAAACAGTCCAAGTGATATTTGTTGATGTATGTTGTAGTCGAAGCCCTAACTATGAAATTCACCGCCTACACCACCGCTCTGACAACCCGGCAAAATTCTGTGCCAAGAGCAAAACTGCAGAAAAAGTTCAGCCCAATCAACGCAACAGTCCAGGAATCCAACCTCCATTCAAAATGAAGAGCGAATCCGTGCAGGTAGAAGGGTACACCACCCTCCCCCCTGCAGCTCCCAACAACCCCGCTCTTCCCTTATCCCGCAACACACTACCTCTACCTCCGACCACACGAGCCCCAAATCCCAGACCCAGATTCCACCCGCTCCCTCTTCCTCGTCAACGTCCCAATCGACACCACAGAAGCCCACCTCCGCCACCTCTTCGGCACACAACTTGCCGCAGGCCGTGTAGAAAGAGTCCAATTCGAAGATGTGCAGACCAAAAAGCGCGCAGCGGCAGCAACCACAGAAACAAACCTAACCCAATCCAAAAAGAAGCGCAAGCGCGTAACCGCCGACGAATTCGAACGCTACCTAGACGACATCAACCTCCCATCAACCTGGGACCGCAAACTCCAAAAGAGCGGCGCCCACGCAGTCGTCATCTTCGCCGACAAGCCCAGCATGGAAACCAGCCTGAAAGCTGCCACCAAGGCCTCCAAGCGCGGCACCACCATCGTCTGGGGCGACGGCCTACCGACAGACCGCATTCCAGCCCTCGGATTGAATCGGTACGTTGCGCACGAGCGCATGCAGTTCCCCGATCGGGGCACGCTGCTGCGGACCGTGAATGAGTTCATGACTACGTTTACTCAGGTGTCTGAGGCGCGCAAGCGCGAGGATCACAAGCGTCTTGCTGTACCGGATGAGGATGGATTCGTTACTGTTTCGCATGGACCGAAATTGAATTCTGTGGCGAGGGAGGAGGAGATGAGGGAGCTTGTTGAGAAGCAGAAGAAGAAGGCTGAGGGACTTGAGGACTTCTATCGGTTCCAGTCTCGGGAGAAGAGGAAGGAGAGACAGAATCAGCTGCTTAGGCGCTTTGATGAGGATAAGAAGAAGTTGGCGGAGATTAAGGCCCGGAAGGGGAAGATTCGAGTAAGTTTTCTCTCTCACTTGTTCGGTTGGTCTTTGGGAGTGGTGCTGACTTTTTATGTAGCCTGAATGATCTGGTGCATGATAGCATGGCGTTCTGGGTGTCTTTTTTCGCTGGCAGGATAAAAGGTTCGAGGTGGTGTCCCATGTACATGTGAGTTTTTGCTTTTCGTTCTTCTTGTTATGTTCGCTCCGAGGATGATCACGCTGGGGCCATAGTAGCGAAACGCGCTTTGCCCGCTGTTATGCCATGACTGCAAACACCAGCATATTCATATCTTCTCGCCTTCTGAACTGGAGTTTATACATAACTTGTTGGAATTTTTTTTTTTTTACTTCTTGGTATTGCATCTGCTAATTGCGCTTCAAGTTAGGTTAGACACATACATATATGTTATCTCAATATCACTAGTTATGATTCAACTATATATATGTGTAGTTCAAATTGACCTCCGTAGCCTTTGAACCCGTAGATGCCTCTGATTCCGGATATCCCGCACAGACCAACGCTTGGCATTACATCCCACCTCTGGAGAAACTGTACGTCTGACTATGGATGGGATTAATAGCTCCGCCAAAGTTTAGAACGGATCGAGAATATCAAGAGTGCAGTGGCTACAGTGAGCTGCGTTATGTGATACTACTCTGGGCTAAATCACATTCCCTAAGCGCCTGTGGCAAAGTGAGCTTCACGCGATATATCCTACACAATATATCCAGCAAAAACAGCCCTATATCAAAAGAAAGAAAAAACCTCAAGATGTCCCCCGCCTCAATCAAGGATGAGCAAGACAGCGACTCCGACTCCGATGTCGAGTTCGAGGATGTCCCAATGTCTCTCCCAAGCAGACCCAGGGACGAGACAGACATCGCAATAAGCATCCCCTCAACCCCGCGACCACAATGGACTCCAACTCTATCACTCCCGCAACAGCGAAACCAACCAATTCCGTCGGGCTCCGAGGAAGAGACCCAGCTCCGAGGCCAAATCAGCACCGGTATAGAGAGAGTCACGTATCGCAAAATGAAATCCGACATGGGCATGGATGCACCGGATACGCCCGCTTCGGAACGCAGGTATGAGAGCTTCAAAGAGCTCGCTGCGGATGTGGAGGGTCTGATTGATACGCTCTGGGCGTCGGCAACACGTGAGTTTAATGTCTTATACATGCACTATGTTGTAGAAGTGAAGATTATATATTGCTATATATTATCTTTACTATCGTCCTTTCTTTTCATTTCCTTTATCGTCTTATTCTTACATGTATACCCTACTAACTCCACACAGCGGCAATCCAAACCGAAGCCCTCATAACCCTAGCAGGGCTAACCCAGACCTCCCTGCCAGCTTTCCCTTTCGATGCCCCACCAACCCTAAACATCTTCCACAAACTCGACTCTGTCTTCGCAGCGTTGTGTACAAGCACACACCCACTTACCGGCGCCACTCTCCCAGGCGCACGGTCCGGCCAGTCTCTCGTGACAGAGACGCAGAAAGTGCGGATCCGGAGTCTGGCGGAGAGAACTAGACATCAAGTCTTTTCTTGTTTGGCGAAGTCGAATGACAGAGGTAATGCCGCTGCTGTTAGTGCCAATGGTTATGGTTATGGGGATGACGAGGATGAGGAGAGTGGCGATGACGTCGATGAGCCGTGGATGTTGGAGGCTACGCGGGTTTACGAGAAGAGTCTTATGTTGCTTGCGGAGCAGGATCCTTCGGGCGAAGCTGGGATGGATGAGTTTAACTGTTTGTAATTGTATATTTTGTATTCTGTTGCCTGATGTATGTGTTTTGCCTATGCGGCTCCAACTATTAAATGTTGAAGAGGATATTTTTAGAACGGATCTCTCGCCATTACGTCGGTGTACATAGTCCAATTATACCTGACGAGGCAGACGCTCAGGCCACACACAAAATAGTAGCATAGTTCTGGGGAAAGAAAGTCCCACTCCGATTTGCATTCCATCTGTACATAGTAGTAGATATTTTACTTGATATTGGACTGATATCACTATGGATCCCGATATTTCTTCCAGAAACTTCTAGCTCATAATGAAAGAGAAAATCTGGACCGAAACATAAAAAACAAGAGCTAGTGGGGTCCAGGCAAAAAAATTGTCGAGATTATTAACTCGCAAATGCCGGCTGAATCGGTAACGAAGTATTTGGGTATACAGTAAGTGTTCCCGTACCTCGAATTCAGGTATCAGACACAGACAAGGCTGGCACTCTCTTTGGCCAGAATGGAGTGAACTAAGTGGATGTGAGCCCTGAAAGTGGGGGCCATTGGGGCCAGCTAGTGGCCTGGGGCTGCGCAGCTTGGGGGCTGCAATGACCAGTAGTATGTCAGAAGGGCTATGTTGTATAGTTTGGATGTACATCGTATACATATACGATGTAGTTGGTGATGCTTTGACCTTTTTCCTTCTCCACGTGAAAGCAAAGAATGTAGTAGGCCTGTTATGTTAAAAAGGGATACATATGTATATGTGTTTTGGATGATATTTCCGATGGCGGGAACAAGTTGCTTTGTTTCCATGGTTTGTGTAATTTATAATTGGGATTGGAATATGAGTCTGATTATATCTTGCTATAACCGAGCTATAGATACAACATATAGTGGGATGAGTTATGTACGTCGGAGCAGTCTATAGAGGTTAATTGGTTAGGGCTACTAATATGTACACCTTATTAACTCTAAAGGACTCCGTACATGGCCTCCCAGTCTGCCGTGTCTTACCATGCAAGGGTTGGATTAGCTTATTTCCATAGAGCAGAGGGGTTAGATCTGAAACCATCCCACTTTTATGAATATCATCCCTTGCAACCCCTTCCATTGAAATATATAATATGAGTACACAGTATAGTAGAAACTATGTCACTAGACCATGGTAATTCAATCTAAAAAACGCGTCGCGTACCGTGTAAAGTGGAATATGCAATGGAATGAAATCTCTGCTCGTAATTTCAATACGAGCGGCCCCCCAAGCCCGGCCAATAAGAACAGAAATCCGCATAAGAAGCCTCCCATGGTTCTGATGGAGCCTTCTTATTTTTCTTTCTCATTTCAAATGTTCTCTTTGACGGCTATTTTTCTGGTTTTCTTTCATGACCGGACATGCGCGGCTGATGTATCCTGGAATACGAAGGGGGCGAGGGAAACCATTTTGAGAAGTCCTTGCTTGCAGATTAGGGCAGTCTAGGACATGGATTAGAGAACCTTGCTTCGAGAAGACCGGGAGCTCTCTACTCCGTATGCTCTCTAGACCTTCAGCTTCAGGGCTGCAGCTAGACGGGTATCTGTCCTTGCTGTATTGTGGAAATAAGATTACCGTATGGGGCTGCTGGTTCCATGGTTCGGTGGCGTCTGTTCTCTTCCCAACGTTCTCCTTCTTACTACATCGCACTATGGATGTATGATATCGGACATAATTATGAACTCCCTACATTATCTATAATACATCCCTGGATATGCTAGAATAGCCCTAATGTCACATATAATATGAGATAGCAGATTCATTAGCCACTACATGTGAATATGTACCCAACAGGTACCTGATCCTGCTCCGCCTACGAGGTCCGTACTCCATACTCTTACTCAGCATATGACGATGTCCACCTCGGGAGAGGCCCACACAGACCTGATGGGTGGACAAGTCACATTGCGAGGACGGCGACAGGTCCTTGCAGATTTCATGCATTGGGGCTTCCTGCCCCTTGTTCTTCTGTCTTTCACCGAGATTTGTTCAGATTTTGATTAGAACTTTTTTTTTACTTTGACCTGCATGTTTGCTGTCTCCAAGCATACGGACGGACAGGTGGAGGAGCCGATTCTAAAATGATTAGGGTCGATCATCGGCAAAGAACTTTGGATGTAGACCTCGGGTCAGAGGCTATGATGTATCATCTTCAAATTCTCCCGGGCTTCCCGGGATCCTGGAACGATGAAGAATCTAGCAAGCCCCCGCATGACTGATATCATACAGCGTTGACAGGAATCTGGGGACTGATACTATATAAGTATTATGTACAATATCCGTAGGTGGATTATACATTGGGTCTGTACCTGCCTCAGATAAGAAAAGGGTTCTGATCGGAGGCAAGGCACTCTGCACTACCGGTTAAAGTGTACGACTATTAGATTTTGTACTATTGATGCTGATATATAAAATATATATATGTAAAGAGGTTTTATACCTATATACTACATATGTAGGATATTCTACCAACTACTACAGTAGTACTAGGACTACATATTTCTCTGGAACGGAACATACAATACCTTGTAATACCCATACCATACATCGACTCACGTAATACGTTTCCCACTTCCCCTCTCTCTTCATCTCGCGAGATTTCCAATTCTTCATTTTCTTCTTTTCCCCTCCTACCTTCCCCTCCCTTTTCTTATTGTTCGAAGATCTCGGTTTCAATTTTCTGTTTCAGTTATCGGGAGTTCTGCTTTTCCTCCCTTGTTGCCGATTACTCTTTTTTTGCCTCGCGCATTTCCAGTGTTTTCCCAGGTTTTCCTCGAATCTAGGTAAGTTGGTTTAAGTCTTTTCTGTCGCATATCGCATCTTGGCCCAAGCCTCTTTCATCATTTGAATGGAACCCGAATTTTGCCTCCCCCCATACATAACAACTGGCGCAGCGCGGCGCAAATTAGCCCTGAGATCGCAAGCTTCTTTGCAGGGTTCTCCACGATTTTAATATGGTGATTCGCCTACGGATCGATGCCTGCGCCTTGACCAGCACTTCGGGATAGCCGATTTATCTACCGGTCGCACACACCCCAACCTCAAAACCATCGCCAATGTGAGAAATCGGTCAGATCTAGATGCCCGAGTTGCTCGAAAATTATGTTGGATCGAGAGGGTGGACGGTCGCATTCGGACATCAAACCGGGACGACGGAAACGGCCGACGCATGATGATCGCCTAGCATCCGAGTGGAAACAAGTCATTTTTGTCTCGCGCATCCGAATTTCGCCCTTCGATTGTTCGTCTTCGGCCAATCCACCCTCCAATTATAGCTACCATCGTGAGATGCGATGCTGCCCGAAGCGCTGGTCTTGGCGATTTCCGGCACCACTTTTTGAGGCTCAGAATCATATATGCGCCTGAACAAACACCTGCCTGCAAATTGCTGCCTGCCCGGGGCTTTTTTTTTCCTTTTCCTTTTCCATGTCGTTTTATTCACTCGCATTGATTGATCGCCTTTGTCTGCTTTTCACTTCTCACTTCCTTTTCTTTACTTGCGCCTGTGCAGATCTGCTTCGATTTCAAATGAAGGTTGATATAATCTAACTTTATATCTTCACTAGCCTTTCACGCCCGTCTCTTTGCTTGGCTTCGTTACGACTTGATCTCACGCCGGTCTTTCCTTAACGACTCCACGAAGTTCTAGTCGCTCAGCCATCTTATATTCTTACGTCGACTTTCCGGACTTTGATTCTTGCAACCATGTCTTACAACGGCTACGAAAACTTCCCTCAGCAGGATCCTGCCTCCGCTGGCGCCCCGGCTCCTGTTGACACCACCATGACCGGCCAGGCCGACCCCTCCGCCGCTCAGTTCCAGGGCCCTCCTCCTGGTGAGCCCAATGCCGCTTCCGTCCCCCAGCAGGGTGCCGATGGCAAGACCACCCTCTGGATGGGTGAGCTCGAGCCCTGGATCGACGAGAACTTCATCCGCAACCTTTGGTTCCAGATGGGTGAGCAGGTCAACGTCAAGATGATCCGTGACAAGTTCTCTGGGTAAGACACCGTAATTCTCATTTGAATTCCAAGATTGTTTCTAATGTGGGTAGTAGGAGCAATGCTGGATACTGCTTCGTCGACTTCGCTTCCCCTGCTGCCGCTGCCAAGGCCCTTTCTCTGAACGGCACCCCCATGCCCAACACCAACCGGGTCTTCAAGCTCAACTGGGCTACCGGTGGCGGTCTCGCTGATCGCAGGTAAGCGAGAATCTCAGTCTGTTTCCTCCCGGCTATTAAAGCTGACCCGTCCCAGCCGTGACGACCGTGGCCCCGAGTACTCCATCTTCGTTGGTGACCTCGGCCCTGAGGTGAACGAATACGTCCTCGTCTCCCTCTTCCAGAGCCGCTTCCCCTCTTGCAAGTCTGCCAAGATCATGACCGACCCCATCAGCGGCATGTCCCGCGGCTACGGCTTCGTTCGCTTCTCTGACGAGAACGACCAGCAGCGTGCTCTCACCGAGATGCAGGGTGTCTACTGTGGCAACCGCCCTATGCGTATCTCCACCGCTACCCCCAAGAACAAGGGTCCCGGTGTTGGCGGCAACGGTGGTGCTGCCATGGGTATGCCCGGTCCCGCTGCCATGTACCCTCCCATGGGTGGCCCTCCTATGCCCTTCTACGGTGCTCCCCAGCCCATGAACCAGTTCACAGACCCCAACAACACCACTGTCTTTGTTGGTGGCCTGTCCGGCTACGTCACCGAGGATGAGCTCCGCTCTTTCTTCCAGGGCTTCGGAGAAATTACCTACGTCAAGATCCCCCCCTGGAAAGGGCTGTGGTTTCGTCCAATTCGTCCAGCGCCACGCTGCTGAGATGGCCATCAACCAGATGCAGGGCTACCCCATTGGTAACTCCCGCGTGCGTCTGAGCTGGGGCCGTTCCCAGAACAACTCCGGCCCCGCTGGCAGCCCCTACCGCCCTGCTCCCCCGCCGCCTCCCATGTACCCCTCCATGGGCATGCCCCCGCCCCACCAGTATGGCGGGTTTGCCCCCATGAAGGTGAGCGATCACCCTGGCAGCCCGATCCCGGATCAAATGTGAAGCAGGCGGTCGGCTGACACACTCTTCCAGTAAGCGTTTCCCTTTGATTGAAAGCACCAGCAGGAGTTATTTGTGTCATTCCAATGATGATTCTATTGTGTCATAACAAATTCGTTCCCTGGTTTCTTGGCCAAGGCTATAGCTCTTGATGAGCATTTGTCTCCTGTGCTACGCATTTCCTTTTCACGTGAGCGCTATTACCTTAGCAAGATCTGAGCTTTATCCCCTTTCTGATCTGTCTTGTTCTTATGTATCTTTCCTTTTTTTTACCCCCCTTTCCTCCTCCTTTGCGGCCTTTTTTTCGTATTTTATTTTTCTTTATCTATTTTCGATGTGTCTCTGCCCTTATGCTATCGGGGTTTCCCGCCACTGGGTCTTTGTCTGCGTGTAATGGAAGTCCGAATTGTCATGCGCTTCTTTTTCCCTTATACTCCTTGGGCAGGCATTCTGCGAAAAGTTCCATTTCCCCCACTGTTACCACCTTATTTCCTTTGTTTCCTTTCCCCCTTTTTTTTTTTCTCTTCTTCAAGCAGCTAAATTGAATTAAGTTCGCTTTGGGAATTTTGCGTTGTGCCTTTTTTACCCTTGTCTCTTCCCTGTTAAGACTGATTGCCGGCTTGTACAACACGTGTTTCTCTCGTGCGCCTCAGCGTTTGTCGATTCTAAATTCCTTGTGATCGTATGCAATAATGTCCTGTACGCTCGTTTGGTGTTTGCATTGCGCTACTGCCGTCAAGCTCTCCATTTGCTGGTATTGTATTGGTGGCCCTTTGCTTCTGGATCTACCTATATAAACATTGCCCCTGTGGCTGGTCCCATAGGTGGAGGTTCCAATGGACTCAGAGCATACCTGGTTGCTCTGGTAATTGGTCCCTGGTGGTTGTCTTGCTGTATTGATGTCTGCTACTGCTATCTTGATGTCTTGGGAGTCTACTGGGTTAGGGCTAGGACTTGAACTGGATCCATTGTGAGATAATTCTTTTGGGTCATTGTAAACCATGCGATTTCTGAACACTGGACTTCAAATAGAATGCTCTTCTGAGGTTCATTTTAGTGGTCACTGATCTCACATATGGCAGATCAAATAGCTGCCCAGGTGGTTAGGGCTTTATTCATGCATATCGAGCAGTTCTACGTCATCTGGACGTCACCGCCTTCTTATCGATAAAGCATACCGCCTTTATCCGATGTATATGTTGTACATTCCTAATACATGTTGGAGTAGTAGTTACTAACGGCAACAACGACCAGTAGACCGCCCCCACGACTTCCTATTTGTACAGTATATACCGCCTTTGCACCTTTTGATATGAGGCAACGTTGCATCCCGAGGGTTATCCTTTTCTTACTCTTCACGCAACCATGCGCTACAGTAACTGGGATGTCCTCCTTTTCGCTGGTGGTTCGAAGGTGCCTATCCAAGAGTTCAAGACACAATGCTTTGTGACCAAGGACAAAGACTCGCCCTATTTGCACAACGAAGTCTTCCTTGGCCATCATGCACACCATCCCGACCCAGGTCTTTTTAATCAGCTGCCAGTCCTCACGACCTTCATCCCGAGTCTACCCAAAGACAGCCCATTCCAAGTCTCAATTCATAGTTGGGAGAAGCCACGACCTAGTGTACAGATTGAGTCCAATATGGAACCGGAGGACGTTTTACTCTTCGAGGCGCGGATATTCATCGATGGGGTCTTTGTTGCGTGAGTTCTTGATCCAAGTACGCAGCATTTTGTTTCGATTGTGCTAATGCCTTGCAGAGGTAGTATACATGGACAAATAACTAGTTGGCCACAGATTATGGGTACGTTGCGCGCACTTACATCGCTTACATCGGCGAAACGCAATCCCAACGAATTTCCCGTCGATTGCTTTAATTGACCATTCCTATTCCCTTGCACATCCTTCTTGAATGGCTACTGACATTCATTTTGGCAGATCTGAGTTCTAGTATGGTTGATTCCTTCTTCTTCTTTGACTTTGAATTCTCACAGTTCAAGCAGGTCTTGATCGAGATGGAAACCAAGACACCCTTCGATTCCCTCCCTTTCATTCTGAAATACTACAGCAGAAGCATTGGGATGCCGGAGACTCTCATGGCAGAATCAAGGTTGTTATTGCAGAAGGTTTCTCTCGCCCCAATCGCTCGCCCCCTTTCGAACGATTCAAGCATGTCATTGTTTTCTCTTTTCAGCATGCACCACTAGATGTGCTGGAATTCTCCGACATTGCTTGGCCCAATCCCAACATGTGGCTTGCTATGCCGAACGCATCCCGGTATGGAGCGAGATATGGTACCTCCAAGGTAGTTGGCGATGGCGGCCATGGACATTCGCCAAGCAAGCCTAGCAGCAGACCCGAACATCGAATTACAATCACGGCTAACACGAGTAGCCAGTCTAGCAGCAATACAGCTACCTACAGTGGTAGTAATTCATCAACTTACAATGCCTGGACTCCTCACCGTGGGTTTCCCATCCCATCCACACAATGGCACGGCTATCCACAAGAGCCTCGATGGGAGCCACAGGATACATACATCGTGGAACCTGCCCTGGATGCCTTCGTTGACGATACAGCATGGCGGCAGCGTGGTGCTCGATCCTCCCGTGAGGATATCCCAATGCCAGATTATGCTTCCACAGGATCGACTAGCAGCCGGGCTATATCTAGCATGACTGGAATAAGCTACGAACACAGCAAGCAGCCCAGTATCAATTCCTGTCTGGATGATGAACAATACAATGAGCTGATAGAAGCTCTGACACCAACGAAGGCGCCTCCTGCAGGTACTCGCGCACCCTCCAATACCCCCTCCACTGCGATGTCTGCCTCAAAGCCTTCTGCTGCAGCCGAAGCTCGATCTGCAAGTTACAAGACTCGAAGCCGCCGTGCATCCGCACTCAGAGAGATATCACAGCCAAGCACCCGTGATGTTTCGGGATCGAGCGAGCCCAAGAATTTGACTCCATCCAAGCTTGGGGCGAGCCCAAGCGAGAAAGTTCGGAGCAAAAAAGAGGCCCAGAAAGAGACACAGAAGGAGACCAACCAGGAGACCCCGAAAGCGCAGTCTAAGGGTAAGGGAACTACGAAGGAAAACCGCAACTCCAAGGACGTCGAAAACGCGCAGGACGAAAATGAGTCTGTCCTGTAGATCGTGATCGTGCTTGTTCAAACTTATACTTACCTACCTCATTCGTTTGTTCTAGTTCAGTCTTGACAAGAAGCAGGCATGTATTTTTTATGCGACCTTCAATCAATGCATTTGTTACTCTGAAGTCGACGAGTATACTTCGTATACGAACTTCAAATTATACATTTACATCGTTTGAGTCAGCAGGTAAATGTATGTCTCTATCCGAAGAACTGATTCGTCTTTTACTAATCAAATTTGACAGGTATACGTTCTATATGAAGTTCAGTTTCTACGTGTTTTGTTCTAGAAGTTGAGAAGTATACTATTGTATACGAACTTCAATCGATACTCTGGCACTGTTTGAAGCCCACAAGCATGCTTTATGCGAACTTCGATCAACACATTTTACTATGCAGTCTATGCAGTCAGCAGGTAAATGTACAAATCTTTATCCCAAGCAATTGATACACTTCTACTAATTAAAATTAACAAATATACTGTTCTATATGAATTCGATTCATATAGAACAGTATGTTAACAATGAACCATCTTTATCCGAACTTTGATGAATATCTTTCACTGTGTGAGGTATTGGTCTATGTGAACTTCAGTCAATGCATATTCCGCTGCATTCATTGCATGAGATTGCAAAGGATCTATACTGATACGTCTTCACTACATCTACTGGTCTATGCAATGCCCCTACTACTGCTACTGCCTATTCAAACATAATAGAGCAATGGCGGTGGGTGGTATGGCCAGGCCATTGGATGTCTGGCAGTACATGATGTGGTATAAGGCGGTTGGAGCCTCGTGCCTTCTTGACCACCTTGTCAACCAAACCGCCTTCTCATCCGCCCGGTTTTGCATGAGAGGCACGTGCAAAGGTCTTTTCTTCGTCCCTGTTCCTCTTCTCTTCTTCTCTTCTTTTCCTCCTCTTCCCTGCTTCGTTCCATCTTTCTGCACTGTCCCCCAGATTCGTGCATCTTCGTTCTCCGTCTCCCAGGAGTCTCTGCTTCAGAAGCATCTTTCTTCCTTCTATTTGCTCCCTTGTTCGTATCTGGACAAAATGTCTGATAACGAGCAAGCGTTTCCTGGCATGGGTACGCCTCCCAGCTCGCCTATTTCCCCCCCTTCGAACCTGGCTGGACCTTCTGGCCTGGGTACACCCCCCAGCTCTCCTGTTGCTCAGTCGACCAACCCTGCTGCCCCTACTGGCCAGCAGCCTGCTGCAACTTCCGGGTCTCTGGGTCTTCCAAGCATCCAGGCACCTGTTGCACCTGCTGCTCTTACTGGTCAACAGGCTGGAGAGTCCATGTCCATTCCTCTCCCTGCCATGCAGCTACCTGCGCGGCCTCGTCTTGGTCCAGCTCAGCACCATGATGAACTGAACACCCCTTCGCCATTGACATTGGCTTCGGATTTGCCATCTATGTCCCAGAACAGCGCCTCGATTCATACCCAGCCCATGGCTGGCACCCAGGTTGCAAGTGGTCAGGGAGCTGCTCATGTGCAGCGAATTACCCAGCTGCCTCCTATGATTTGGATTCCTCCGCCCACCAGCCCTCCACCTGGCCTGTCCACCCAAACCAGTCATGACCAGGGCCAGCAGTCTGTTCGGCCGACAATCCCTGGATCGATGTGTGCACCCAGGGCTGTCCGCCTGGTACCATAACTTTTGCTTCGACTCAGCCACCATATGGCGCGGGTTCTGCGCATGTCACTGCTTTTGGCGCTCCGTTTGTTACTCACGGACCGCCTGGTCTTGCATACGTTCAACCTCCTGCTGTGTCGTCGGCCCCTCTTTGGCAGACGTCGGACAATAATCATGTTGGAAGCGTTTCCTCTGCTGGCATGGCCCAGCCCAATGCTTACCAGTTTCCTGCCCATTCTTGGCAGTATCCGCATGCTACTTCTGTTGGAGGCTTTCCTACTGCTGGCATGCCCTATGGTCAGCAATATCCTCCCCCTCCCGGGCTGCAACTGGATGCTGCTTCCACTGGAGGCTTCCCTCAGTCCTATGCTCAGCAGTATCCTCCTCCTCCCGGGCTGCATCTGAATGCTAGTTCCACTGGAAGCCTTCCTACTGCTGGCACGCAACAACCTGCTGCTCGCGTGTTCTCGGTCACCCCTCCGTGGCGCCGTCAGGATGATGGAGAGTTTCCGTCTGCTGGTATTCAGGAGCCTCATGTTCAGCAACATCCTGCCCTTCCCGGACCGCATCTGAATGCTAGTTCCACTGGAAGCCTTCCTACTGCTGGTACCGAGCAACCTATTGCTCGCCAGTTTTCTGTCACCCCTCCGTGGCGCCGTGAGAATGATGGAAGGTTTCCCTCTGGTGGTATTCAGCAGCTTCACGCCCAGCAATATTCTGCTCGTCCGCAACAACTGAACGCCAGTTCCACTGGAGACCTTCCTGCCACTAGCAGCCCACAGCCAGCTGCTCACCAATTCCCTGTCACCCCTCCCTGGCGCCGTCGCCAGGTTATGCCTGCTCGCCAGGTTATGCCCGCTCGCCAGCAGATTAACGATGGCAGTCTGCAGCACCCCAGACCCGTCAGACCCGCCCTTCGGTTCGCTGGCATTCCGACACCTCAGGATTCTGCGCACGAGCCTCTGAAGCGCACATACCGGTCCCGATCAAACAGCCGCGCAGCCAAGGGCAAGGACGCCGGTCAAGAATCTGCGGGACCAAGCACTGCCCCTCACCCGAAGAGAGCCCGGCGCGCTGCACCTCGTTCTGACGCCACTACTGTGGCCCGAGCCCCGTTGGTGCCTACTTCGATCCCTGCCACCAATGCAAACACCGCCAGCCAAGAGCAAAACGCGGCTGCCGCGGAAGAGCCCACTGCCACTAACGATGGTTCTTCCGTAGAGAAGGAGATGTAAGACTTGCGCTGTGTTGAATGCCCGGTGGAGATGGCATTGGGAGATGATGAACTGACAACAGAACCTGTAATGAGTATGAACCAAATGAAATGTCTTTGATTAAGTAGTTTTCCTGTAGTCTTTTCTTTATACCCTGTACATGTCAGTCTACTGGCCCATCATCCACCATACCATCCATGGTGGATTCTGTAGCATAACAGACATAAGTAATTGGATTGAGAGGCTCTGGTGTATTTGACATGTGCAAGGGAACTCTCTCAGGATGTGTACTTGGCTACACGAGGGAAATATCTCGACAAATACATATAAAAAGGTGATCGAGAAGACATCTCGAAAGAGTCCTCGAAAGATATCTCGAAAGACCACCAAAAGACTACCAAAAAAGACACCCCAAGGACGTAGAATCGACTATTCTTGTCATATTTAGTTACGATCAATTAGTTTCAGGGGACTTTTCCAAAGTATTGACTGTGACAAGAGCAAAGGACAGCCTGTGTAGCACTGCAGGGGACTTATGACTACATCTGTACTAAGTTCAGGACTTTCGAACTTCCTGCAGGAGTTGTGGACCATTCTGGCAATTCAACATGTATCATAGTACTTTTGTTGATATTTGCATATCTGTACTTTCAATACGATAAATTCTACAGGGTTGCAGATCTTTGCAGAAACTTGTAGAGTTGAAGGTTTAGAAGAACTTCAACCTTTTTAGGCATCCAGACACTGTGAAGGCAACAAAAGGCTATCAATAAACTACAGAGTCCCTACAAAAAGAAGTCAAATGATGAAAATATGATTGATTCATACTATCTAAAGCCAGGGGGCTGTCCCCAGCGAAAAGGTTCAAAGATTCAAAATGAATCAAGTTTTTGAAAATGCCCTCAGAGTTCTCTTCATGGGATAAACCTGAGTGCTGTCTCTGGTGAAAAAGTTCCAAAGATTTGGGTTTTGATGGCGTCTGTGGCCACCCAAGGATTCTTGGAATCCTTGCGTCCATGTGTATCCTCCGCCTCCCATCTCGTAGAACGATGGTCACCCCGGTGGGCGCCTCCTTGTCATAACCCCCGGTTACCGACCGTGGGCGACCGTCCTATATATCCAACCTATACCTGCCGTCGGTCGTAGTCCTCCTCCTCTGGGACGAGGCCGCGCCGGGTCTCAGATAGCCCATCCTTCACTTCCGCACAAAGACGTGATACGCTTGCGCGCAATCAGACGTCAGTACCCCCAAATATCCTCTGGGTCGATACCACAGTGGGTCTCAGAGCCCATCACTCACCTCTTCTAGGACGATACCACACAGTGGTCTCAGTCAAAGGATGCCCTCAGAATCCTCTTCACTGGGCACCCAGGGAAGATACCATAGTGGGAGTCTCCAGGACAGGAACCTCACAGTGAACGTGTGACCTGGAGGTCGTCCCGAGAGCTTGTCTCGTACCCTGTTTCCGACCAAAGGCCAGAAGACCGAGACGATTGTACCTTGTGAGCAAAAGTGTCAGCCAGTCGTCATCTCATGTGCAGAATGTACGTACCGTAGATATCCCAAATGCACTGTCGATGTTCATGCGAGCGGAACGCTGTTTTATGGTAGTAGAGAAGAATGGAAGAGACAGCGAGGGTAACAAACAAAGGGTATTTTTCACGGGATAGAGGTAGGATGGATGAAAAAGGAGGGCAGGGACAGGGGAGGACTGGGGATGGGGGATGGGGGATAGAGGATAGAGGACAGGGGACATAGGACAGGGGAAAGGGACAGTGGATAGTGGACTGGGGACTGGGGATTGGGGATAGGGAAATGGGGATGTGGGATGGATGGAAGGATGGAAGGACGAAAGGGTAGAGGGAAGAAGGAAGAGGGCATACAGAATGCAGGGTACAGAGGACAGACAGAGGATGGGGGACGGGGGATGGAAGGAGAGGAAGAAGAGAGGATGAAGAGGGAAGATGAAAAGGAAGAGAAGAAAGAAAAAAGAGAGGAATTTATATGTGAAGTCTGGGACTTCCCAATTAGGGAAAGTAGCAGGGCCAGTATCAACATGACATACGTGTCTTACGTGTTTTACGTGTTCTACGTGTGTTTGCGTGAAAAGACTTAAGAGACTGGTAATCTTAAGAGTCTGTGAATCCGACTCTGAATTGGGATCCGGCCACTGAATTGACTTATACTGTCACCATCACGCAGCCCTAGAGGTTGTCTACATGTACCCACAGTACTAGAGAGACTAGAGACTACATATATACGGACTAGAGACCAGAAATTTAATAATGGAGGGAACTGTCCATAGATGAATTCAGATCCATATTTTGAGTCCAGAAAATAACATGAAGCGCATAACCATAACGACATCGTAACTCCTGGAATCTGCTAGGGAATATCCAAATCAATATCAACCCGGTCACATCCCATCAATACACCAACTCCAACAGTCACCACACAAGTAGAGTCGCGAAATTCCTGGTTCTTTTGAGTTGATTCCTTTTTGTAGTCCCATTTCCCCTTGTAGTCACTCCTGTGTCCGGTTGCAGTGGTGACATGGGCTGGTTGGGGGATATCCGGGTCTGATCCAAGAGTACAGGCAAAGTGTAGAGAGAAGAAAAAGAGAAGGAAAGAGTAGGAAACCACAGGCTCTATAGCCTGGAGAGAAGTAGAGAGGTGGAAAGAGTCCACTACCAGTGATACTGGTAGCAAAAGACAAAATGAAATGAAAAAACGGCCGGCATTTGTTGGAAGATTGTTCGAGATGGATCAAAAGAGAGAAGAAGATGAGTGACAAAAGAAGAAAAGAAAAGAAAAGAAAAGAAAAGCAAATCGTTGGAAATGAAAGGATAAAAGTGCACTGGATCAGCCATAGGGAACTGGACTTCATACTGAGAGGTATCAACGTCGCCCGTACAGACAAGGCAAAGCAAGGAATTAAGTAACCACATCCACAAGTAATAATAGTAATAATAGAAAGAAAGGAAGAGAAGCCAAGAAAACTCGTAGGTCACAGTGCACTAATCTCGAATACAGAAGTGCCCCCGTCCAAGCAGTCCCTTGGTATCGGTTGGAGGATGCTGGCTTCCTAGGACGAGCAAGGGGAGGGGATAGGAGAGGATGCGATGAACAAGGTACACCCAACGCCAATCTCACAACAGCACATGCGCAGAAACACACATATCCAGATAAATTGGGAGAGAATAAAACAGAACAGGTCGAGTATCCGCGAAAACGCACTAGAGCAATGATCAAATGTACAAACAAGGGTATATCGGAGGTGAAGCACCTGAAGGACCGTCAAGACTTTTACACGTTCACAGGCTGTCACCAGCACCTGTCTCAACACCATCACCCGAATAGGATATGCTGGGATCAAACCCAAATCCAGTGGCATCGGCATCCGTGTTGAGGAATGTGTCAAAGTCAAAGTTCTCCAGAATGTCTGGATTTTCCAGTGCGCTGAAGTCAAGGTTGAATGCGGAAGCCTTTGATAAGAGTCAGTAAATGCATACTAGTAGGAGACACAGAGGTGGAAAGAACATACATCAGGAATGCTGAGGTCGGTGAAGGATTGCTGTTGGTCAGGGGGGGCTGCACCATGGTCTGAGGAGCAGGTGCCGAGGTAGGCTGTGCCGGTTGAGCTGGCCCGTTCACTCCATTCGCTCCATTCTTAGGATTGAACGAGTTAGGGTGCTGCGGCGTGACGGGAGTCGATGGGGTCGGTGGCTCTGCGGCTTCGGTGGATGGAGTCGCGCCTGCGGCTGCACTGGCAGCAGCAGCGGCAGCTTGCTTCTTGTTGGGTCGCTTGAATTCAAGTTAGCGGATACAAAGATCACAACACCATTTGAGGGTATACAAACCTTGCGGGTGTCCTTAGTTTCCTTCTTGCCCTTTGGTGCAGCCTTGGTAGCCTGTTGGGGCGTTGGTGGCGCGTTACCAGCAGTCTGAGGAGACGCCGGCTGGCCACGACCAGCGTTAGGACCCGTGACAGGCGGCGCCGAAGGCGGAGGCATCGCGCTTCGTTCCTGCGGGGTTCCAGCCTGGGGCTGGTTCGCAGGTGAATGCTGCGGAGGCATCTGGGGTTGCCCTGGCTGCCATTGTCCACTAGGCATACGCTGGCCGGCATTGGCTGGAATCGGCTGGCCCATTTGAGCTCCAGTGAAGGCAGGGTTAGAACTAGGAGGTCGCATATTCGGTCCCGGGAAGAACTGAGCCGCCATGTCTGGGGGCATCGGAGCACCGTTGAGGTTCATGGACCCAGGTGATCCACGCTGGGACATATCGCCGGCGCTTGGCGACCCTGGAAGTCCAGTCGGAGGCATCTTAGGCGTGCCTCGTTTCATTTGGTCGCTAGGATTGGGGGACGTGCCCGCCCTGCTACCCGGGGAAGTGCCTGGCGGCAAAACTCCCTGGCCGGGCATCGGGGGCTGGCCGTCAGCGCGGGCCATGCTATCCTGCTCTTGACGAGCCATCATCAAGCGCCGCTTATTCTGCTGTTCAAGCAGCATAAGCTGCATCTGATAATCTTGAAGAGCATGGTTACCATGCTGACTGCCAGGTGTCTGTAAATTACCGGGTCGGACCTGGGCGAGTTGACCGTTTGCACCGTAGTACTCAGGACCACCGGCCATGGGATACATTCCTTGGCCATCCGGCATCGGTACCAGATCCGCCTGGTTTGCCATAACACCGGGATTCATCATGCCACCATTCGGGATACCCTGGGAATTCGATGCTGAGCGAGAGTGATGAAGGGCCAAGTTTTGAGCATATACCTGCATATTCTTCTGTTGCGCAGCTTGTCCCTGGAACTGCTGGAATTGCGCCGGAGTCATTCCCCTCTGCATTCCATTCTGCATCATTATAGCCTGCGGATTGGGCTGTCCAGGCATTCCTTGTCCCTGTCCACGACCATTCGGTGCCAGCTGCTGTCCGTTGACAGCGCCTTCAAGACGTGGGCGTTTCGACGGCGAGGGGGCGTTGTCGGCGGACGCTGGTGACTGTGGCCGGTGTCCAGCCATTTCCATGTCCGGGTCCCGTTGCATTTGCTGCATCATCTGCAGTTGCTGGTTCTTTTGGTATTGCGCCAATTGTTGTTGTTGTGAGCTAGAAAAAAAAAATCCATCAGCACGTCCACCCCCAACTCAACACTCCGCATGGGGAAGAATATATTCAGATAGAGCATACAGTCCAGTGGTGTTGTTCTGCAGCACTGTTTTCTGCAGGTTAGGAGGCACCATGCCATTCTGTCTCCGGAGCTGGTTCATCTGGCCTGGCATCATGGGCTGCTGCCTCATGAACTGATTGTGCTGTTGTTCTCGCAGACGCATGAAGTTCTAAAGTTCAGGATTAGTCCATGATCCACATCCTCGATACAGACGATTGTTCACACACCTGGTTGTGCTGAAGGTACTGCCTGATATCATTGCTGTTTCCCTTCTTGCGTTGAGCCCAGAAGAACTCCCAGAAAAGGCTGAACCAATCGAGGAGGAATGAGGAGGCGCTTTCGCTGGGAAGATTGGGACGAGGGAGATCATCTGGAATCTTGATCTTCTCACCGTCCTTCCCATCGGTCATCATAGCATCGGGGTCCATGCCATTGACGTCCCCATCACGCCGATTTCCGGGACTCGTCTTGGGGTTGTTGTCGGTGTTGAGTTTGATGGATTCATCTTGCAAGAGAGCGCGGGCGCAGTCATGGTACCCACGCTTCAAAAAGTAATCATAGATATACGTGTTGAGGTTGTTGATCATGACGTCGGGGTTGTTCATAGTACCGTCGTTACGAGAAGCCGTGGATCCGTTGTTGATCATAGGAACTCCACCACGGGGCCTCCAGCCCCGGGGTTCATCCCAACATTCATTTGGTTCATGGTGGCGAACGGTGGAACTGCAGCCACCCTTGCCTGTGGTATCGTGAGATTTTCAAATCGGATATATGAAGTTTCCGACGCGCGACCTCCGTCTCAGGCTATCAAGCCTAACGCGGGGTGATAGAAGCGACGCGTGGGAATGGATGCGGAGGCAAAGCGGTCAGCGCTTTCGAAGGAATATCGAAGGCTCGCAGGCTGAGCAAAGCGCGTACGTAACAGCGCGAATCAAGCGATTATATGATCGCAAAATATGAGGGGGTTCAGGATAAACCAGAGGCGTCTTCTTCCGGAGAAACCACGCGACGGGATAGAAACGAGAGGATGGAGGCTCGGGAGGCGCAGACGAAGTATGCTAGGTGTCTCTGACTAGTGTGATTGGTGAGCGCTTGACAGAGGATTAAACGCTTCAAATGACCAAGTGTAGGAGTAAGTGCGTAATCTATATGGGGGTGGGCGACGACGGAGGTACAAGGAGGCGGAAAAAGCGCACAAGTGAGGTGGTTGGTATGGGGGCGGCGCCAGACACCCGATCGGGCAGAATCGCGGACAGGAGAACACCAAGCCCGTGTACAAAGACAAAGAAAATCAAAGAACAAGAAACCGGGAAAAAGGGAACAAATTAAGAATATAAAAGGGGAGTCTAAGAGATGTGGATCTCACAGTGGGAAGAGGAGGACGGATTCAGTGAGAGAGAGCCGGGGGGACGTACATTGACAGGCGCTGCGCTCTGCGGGAGAATCGCTTGTTCGGAGCGGATCAACCTAGTCGGAGGTCGGGGCTGGGGATGGCGCTGTCAAGCGTATTTCTGGGAATGCACCGATCTGATAACCATTGAATTTGCGGTCTGCGACAAAAGAGAAAACGGAGTTAGCGACTTAGCGAAAAAGGAACAGAAGATATATACTGGAAATATGGTGGTTTGAACAGATTGAGAAATGGAAAAGAAGTAAAGTCAGAAGGGTGATATGATACCTGATGGGCCCTGCGATGGATCCCAGCGGGAGTCTAAAAAGTAGGGTAAGCCACTATTTCACGACCACCACGAAGGTTGAATATACCAAAGATCAAGCGATCTAGGCGAATTGAACAAATTGAGAGAAGAATCAAAGTGGAAAAATCCTGCCTAGGTAGTTGAGAAAAGATGGAAAGGAGGGAAATTCGATCTGTAAAGAGTTGAGGGGCGGAGATAGTGGTACAGAACCGGTATGGCGTTGTGTTTATGACATACAGTACTTGACAAATACACTAACTCGGATGTTCCGTTGACCGCTATTTAGGTGCCCGCGGGTAATTATATGTACTTGACCGAACTGCAGGTTTACCCTACAATACATGTCTGGTCATGACCATACAGATCAAGCTCCTGAGCGGCAGATTCGCCGAGGATCTGCACATATAAAAAAGGAAAAAAGGGAGATCATGCGATTTTCTATGGATCACGACTTCAAACGACTTCACAACCACCACACACCTTGCCCTATTCCCAGTTTCTCCAGTCCCTAGATCTGAAGTTAAAATCAATTCTTATAATGTATCGACCTATGCCAGTGATAAATCGCGTGGTTTAGCGCAAGGATACATCACAAAGCCTAATTTGTTACAAGACAGGTGTACAAATAGAGTGATTATCGGAAGCAATAATGACGAGTAAGGGCAAAAAGACCCCATCCCCCTAAAAACGTAACCAATGAGAAACCCCAAAACGCCCATTCTTCAAATAGTGTAAATGCACAAGATATCGCAGGGTCATTACTCTTCCTCCGGTGGCATTTCATCCTCGATGTATCGTACGAGGGAGACCCGCATCTCCGTGGTATCATCTCCGCGAAGCACGTCACTGACAAAGTGTGCCTCGATCTGCATTTGAACCTAAAAGTCGGGTCAGCGATCGGACCCAGAACAAGGGAACCCACTCAATTGACCGGGGTGCTAGTAGCTTACCATCTCCAGGGACCCTCGGAGGACGCCACACAAAATATTGGAGAACCATAGCTCATCCTGGGCCCGCCCATCATCCGGAAGCTCCACAAAGTCCGCCAAGGGGTTGTCTTCAAAGATAAGGGAGAACTGGGTGTTGTCACTCGTCCAGTTCGTGACTGTAGGTGTGACGTTCAGGAAGATCTTAAAGCCAACCTGTTCGGAGTGTCAGTTATCATAGTTTTATTATCTTCATATCCTAGAGTGATTCCCACCTTCGCGATCATATCAGCTGTCTCCCGGAAGTTGGCGCATCGGCCGACACCTGATTTGGCCAGGAAGTCTTCAATGAGTCGCATTCCGATATTGTATCCCATTTTGTCCAACTGCTTGTTGACATCCTGGTAGTTGCTATCGTAGTCTTGGCATAATTGTGCGACAATTGTTCCGTAGGTTAATGTGACCAGCTCTGCGTTGACTTTATCGACTCTTGTTCTGCGCATGTGAAGAAAGCCGATTAGTTTGGGTTCGAGGACGGAGATACAGCGAAATCCATTGGTCATTGCATGTTGGTCCCAGTAAGCGGGCACTGGGGCATACTGACTTCCATATTCTATTCGAAGGCCATTGATTAATAGAAAGTCCACTGGATAAGGCATCTGACTCTTGGGAGTCGACCTACTCTTCTCCTATTCTTGAGGTTTTCGTTGACGACATCTTTGGGAATAAGCTATAGCTGATAAGTCGGTTGTTGGTAATCGGTTGTTGGTAAAATAGGAAAATGAATAGTGTCCAGACAAGCACAGGTAAATGTGACAGTCAACTGTTGATCAGGGTGATTGTGGGGAGTCCGCAATTGTTGGAGTTGCTGATTGTACACAATCTATACAGCAAGCGAGACCGACCATTCTGAGCTTCGCTTTAATTGGATTATTTTTCTTACCGACTTTCTCTCCGCCTTCCAATTGGTATAGGTGGTGCTTGGTGAGTGGGGTAAATCACCGTGTTATTTTCTGCCAGACAAAAATAGCCCAACACAGAGCAAGTCTCCGTGGCCGTTCTCGTCCACCGGACACAGTCCGCTCACCGCCGAGCCCAGGTGGGATTATCGTTCTTCCCGCAGCTTCTCGCCCAGAACTTTTGCTCTCCACTACTTTCGCCCTAAGTCGCGATTGGTCACCAATCAATTCTTTCACTCCCCAAATTCACCGAGGTGCTTGCTGTGACAATGTCTGGTGAAAAGCGCCCTGCTCCAGAGGGCTTTGGGGACCTCGCACCAGCTCGTGGTCAAGCGGAATAAGGCCGCCGAAAACGCAGGAACCGAGCTTGTGAAGGGCTCCTCGCAAAATGGAGCCCTCATTCAATCTGTATGCGCGAACATTGCCCCCGAAGCTCAAAGGGCATTCACAGAATATAACCAGCTAATTCGAGTCTACAGGTTCCTCGCACAAGTGGTTTGGATGCTCCTATCATGGAGCTCACGGGTAAGACACTGTCGCCAATTTGTCTCTATACACGCGCTAATAGAAGAAACCTACAAGGCCACTCTGGTGAAGTGTTTGCAGTTCGATTCGACCCTACCGCCCAACATATGGCATCCGGAGCGATGGATCGTTCCATCTGTATGTTTCATCTTTATCCGGGAACGCAGCCGCCGACTATGATACTAATCGAGATCTCTTGAATAGTACTATGGAATACATACGGACAATGCGAAAACTACGGCCAATTGACAGGTCACCGGGGAGCTGTGTTGGATCTTCAGTGGTCACGCGATTCGCGGGCACTGTTCTCAGCATCCGCAGACATGACCCTCGGAAGCTGGGATGTCGAGACTGGGGAACGAGTACGCCGTCACGTGGGCCATGAAGAGATCATCAACTGTCTCGATATCAGCAAAAGAGGACAGGAGCTTCTAGTGAGTGGCAGTGATGATGGGTCCATCGGCATCTGGGATCCTCGGCAAAAGGATGCTCTGGACTACCTCCAGACTGAACTCCCTATCACCGCAGTGGCATTGTCCGAAGCGGGTAATGAGATCTACAGTGGAGGCATTGACAACACAATCCACGCCTGGGATATTCGGAAGAAGGCTATAGTCTACTCGATGACCGGACACACAGATACCATCACATCGCTACAAATCTCGCCTGACTCGCAGACTTTGCTGTCGAACTCCCACGACTCTACTGTTCGCACATGGGACATTCGTCCCTTTGCCCCTACCAACCGGCAGGTGAAGACCTACGATGGTGCTCCTGTCGGACTGGAGAAGAACCTCATCCGTTCCAGCTGGGATCCCAAGGGCGAGAAGATTGCTGCAGGCAGTGGTGATCGAAGTGTGGTTGTTTGGGAGGCCAAGACTGGTAAATTGCTGTACAAACTTCCCGGTCATAAGGGCACTGTCAACGACGTCCGCTTCTCTCCCAATGATGAGCCAATCAGTGAGTATATACCCTGTTTGCAAGCAAACCCCACGATTTCTAACATGGTCACAGTCGTTTCTTGTTCCTCCGATCGGAATCTGATGCTTGGAGAGCTGGGCAAATAAGCATATATGATAGGTATTAATGTTTTAATGAAGATCAGCGGGCGTCAATTTCATTTTTTCAAACATGCCATGCGCATCCGTTCCCGATCTGGACGCTTGTGCTATCACGTCAGAGAGCATCTATCTTCTGGCTTCCAGAGGTCGTGACTTGCCCGGCTACGCATCCGGATATATGAATTGTACAATAAGAATAAATTTCAAAGTAATCCTGCTCTTGGGTATACCTGGCTATCTACAAGAAGAGTCTTATGCATCCATACTAGGCTGACTAGGGATGATGTACTCCGTAGGAGTTGGACAATCTATATCCAGCCAGATCAAAATAATATTGAAGACCGGTGGACTACTATGCCCGTTTTCCAATACTCCAATATCTTCTCCAATATTCTTTTTAGATGCCTGGTCACCTATTCGGAGTGAACCTCTGCTCTTTGAAGTTTTAACTTCCACCTTTCCACGTCAACTGAACTTCATCTTGACCACTCGATTTAATTCCTAAATTCTTTATTCCATCCAGAGTATCATGGCTCAGCGCGATTTCATCCCAATGCCAGATGACTGCAAAATCCAAATCCTCTGCAGCGAGCCCTCAGAAACTCCTTCCTCTTTGCACCTCACCTCAAACATGCCATCAGAGTCAGAAAAATGGTCAAGACGCCTCGAAATCGGCGGCATGATCTTGTTTCCTCTCTCTGTCTCCAGTAAGCCAATTATGTGCATGCGACTCGAGTCCCTTGCTAACCCCTTTATAGCGCTTCTCTTATTATTTGCTGGACAGTACGCCGCATTATACACGATGGCGTCCTTTCAGGCCCTGTTGATCGGCTTCAAAGTCTATTGCTTTTGGCGTCGTTGGTCTGATGGCCGGCAACAAAAGTCATGAAAACGAGTCCAATATTACATACTTGCGTCCCCCCCAACTATGGCAGATATATACATTGCTTCTCTCCATATTTCTTACATTCCTTCAATTTCCATTCTGCAACTGAATTTTGTCCTTCAATTCTTTTCACCACACCCTAAGAATCCAATCGGAGCCAGAGAAAACGTGCACACACTGTATGATCTGCAGCATAGCCTTAAAGGTGCTCTTGGACTCCAGTGGGAATCTCATAAGCTCCTCGTTACTAACTCCGTCATAGGAACTATCTCAATCATCGCAGTCTTTAGCGCTGCAATGGGTACGATGATGGCCATCCTATTGTCCTTGCTCATCTTACGGGAACTGAAACTGTGGATGAAGTTGTTGCATTACCGTCTCAGAGATTCCGTAGCTTGTTTCTTGTTTCAACTTTTATTAGGGAGAAAGATGTAATTCGCTACAATTCTCTGGCATATTTCAAGTGGTTGTCTCTTTGAATCTCTCTTCTGTAGTTTTATTTGCTTTCTCAAGGTATCTTGAGGTTCTCGAATATCTAGCTTTTCTCTCTTCCGTTCACCAATCTGGATGAAGCTTAAATATATACATACGTAGTATGTAGGTCATGTAGTTTCCTAAAACATGAAGTATTCAACTTCCGAGTAACTCAACTCTTGACATCTTCCTTCACCCTCTTCTTTTGTTCTTCTTTTTCCTTTCTTCCACCTCAAACCAACTCTTCAAGTACTGCAAAATGTCCGTTCCAGGGTATGCTCCTGGAGACCCTTCCTACTGCCAGGTGGAGGCCCTCGCCGGCAACACCGTCATGTACCGCCAGCTCTCTTTCGTCAAATATGTCGAGCCAGAATGCAAAAAATGGCACTTTCGGGGTGACCGCTTTTTTATCGCCAGCTCGGGAATTTATCTCTTTTGTGAGTCTTACGTCGAATACTACAACCTACGCGAGTTGCTTAAGAGCTTCGTTACTAACCTCAGTAACGCAGATACCAATTTCCACTTCCCCAGCCCCATTCGATATACCCTGCTTGTTCTCCAATTTCTTATGCTATGCCTACAACTTTACTGCATAGCCAAAATGATTTTGGCATTTCGCCGTGAATACAAGAATCCGAAGGGCCCTGCTTACCATATCATCGCTGGACCAGCTTATACGGTCCCTCTGCCATCAGCAAACTGTGACCTGGGATCGGACAATACTGTCGAGGCTCACATTTCTGGGCAAATAGAGAAGGTCTCTTTTAGTGAATAGGGGAATTGTGAGTTGTAAGAAACCCCGTGTTTTTCGTGCGTCTTCTGCCGCTGATATATGAGCTTACAGTTTGGCCTCAGTCGTTGGGTATTGAAGGAAATACATATGTATTCTTGAAGCGTCTAGTTGCATTTGCTTTACATGTGTCTGTATGGCTTGGGCAAGTCGGATTCCCTGGAGACAGCAAAAATGATGGTTTCGAGGCGAGCTCTTATGATATCGCTTTTCAATTCTAAGTGTACTTGCTGGATGTCGCCTCGTGGAGTTGGAATCCAAGACTTTGTACATTAACCGTGTTCTATGGCAAAAGTATGGTATATGGTATGCGATATATAGTGTATCTGTAACTGTATCCATGGTTTATAGTAGGATAGCCCTTGAAGTCTATACATACATACATATGGAATAAAATGTTCAAAATCTACATAAAAAAAGGAAACATTCTAGTAATTTTATAAATATTCCAACCTTCTATAAGTTGTACAGACAATGTATAGTAAGGAGATGATGCAATAAGCGGGCAAAAAAAAAGATATTCCCCAGAGGCTTATCTGGCCGAATCCCCCCAACTTCCCACTCCACAACAAGCCGAGGGTGATCATCCCCATTAAAGTCTCTTTGGAGAGAGGGCTTAAACAAAAAAAAGAAAAGGCCATCTGACGCCCCATGACCCCTACGGCGCTCAGATCTGCTTGAAGCGCACGCGACGGGGGTGATGTTCAACCTCCGCGCCGCCTGCATGGTGGTTTGGGCCATCTTGTTATGGCTCACCGTCGTCCATGGCATGCGAGACAGCCAAGTCAAAGAACTAAGGTATAGCTACCCTCAGTCATCTTGAGTGCCATCCAAATCAACTAATACACCCCTGTCCTCCTACAGACAAGAAACTGAGCGCATGTTCTTCCATGGCTTCGAGAACTACCTCCAATACGCGTTTCCCGAAGACGAATTACGCGCCCTAACATGCGGCCCTCTTGTTCGCGACGAGAAGAACCCAGAGAACAATGATGTGCTAGGGAATTATTCTCTGACATTGATTGACAGCTTGTCGACACTGGCCATCCTGTCCTCAAGCCCGGACAGTGGCGAGCGAGCCTTGGCGCATTTCCAGGATGGTGTCGAGGGCTTCGTTAGGCTGTATGGCGATGGCTCGGACGGCCCTGCTGGTCAGGGTGAGAGGTCGAGGGGATTTGATCTGGATAGCAAAGTACAATTGTTTGAAACTGTGATTCGGGGTCTGGGTATGCGTTCTTCTCCTTCATGGCTTATCGATCTGTCCCTGCTCGATTTCCGGCTACTATGTCTTACTGCTAACATCCACGGGTATTTCAGGTGGATTACTCAGTGCCCATCTTTTCGCCGTCGGCGAGCTACCCATCACCGGTTACGAGCCATCAGAACGACAAGCTGCCTTCGCCAGTGCATGGGATAAAAGTATGTTTACAGAAAGTGACCACGGTATTCAATGGGGCAGTGGCTTTGTATATGATGGCCAACTGCTTCGGCTTGCTGTGGATCTGGCCCAGCGTTTGCTTCCTGCATTCTATACAGAGACTGGCCTTCCCTACCCTCGGGTCAACCTGCGCCACGGGATCCCATTCTACGAGAATGCGCCTTTAAATACCAATGTCCGAAGTACCGAAGGGAAACGAAAATCCAAAAATGCGGAGACTGAGCCCGCTGAAACTTGTAGCGCCGGTGCAGGCAGTCTAGTTCTTGAATTGACCGTCTTGAGTCGACTCACCGGTGATGGGCGGTATGAGGACTTGGGAAAGAGGGCATTTTGGGCAGTCTGGAACCGCCGGAGTGACATTGGACTACTTGGATTTGGCATTGATGTCGAGTCCGGGAAATGGGTGGGACCATGGGCCGGGGTAAGCAGGATCCTTTTTTTACAGGTACAAGCATATACTAATCGTCAGTAGATTGGCGCGGGAATTGACAGTTTCTACGAGTATGCCGTCAAAGCTTATGTTCTCCTGTCCGAGGGCGAGCGTCTGCCTTTCAACTCCGATAGTCCTTGGGCAGCATTGGACTCATACTATGCTCCTCTGTCGGACTACCAGCATACCGCTGAGGCCTTCCGACAAGTCTGGGAAGAATCGCATACCGCGATCAATCGCCACCTATTCCGAGGTGAGGGTTATCAACATCCCCACCTTATTGTAGGGGATGTGATTACCGGTGCCACGCGTGCTTTCTGGATCGATAGCCTGAGCGCTTTCTATCCGGGAGTTCTTGCCCTGGATGGAAAGGTAGATGAAGCTATCCAGATTCATCTGCTGACTACCGCAATCTGGACACGCTACTCGGGAATCCCTGAGCGATGGAACGTGGCTACTGGTGACATCGACAACGGTATGCCGTGGTACGGAGGTCGGCCCGAGTTCATCGAGTCCAACTACTACATTTACCGGGCGACTCAAGATCCTTGGTACCTGCATGTCGGAGAGATGGTTCTCAGCGACCTCAAGCGTCGTTGCTGGACCAAGTGTGGCTGGGCTGGTATTCGGAATGTCCTGACTGGGGAGCTTATTGACCGGATGGAGAGTTTCTTCATTGGAGAGACAGCCAAATACCTATATCTGCTGTTTGATCAGGACCATCCCTTGAACAAGGTTGATGCCCCCTGGGTTTTCAACACCGAAGGCCATCCTCTCATCATCCCGAGAAAATCGGCATCCACGCCGCACCAGCAGCAAATCCCAACTCAGGGCCAGGACATCGCCGAGGGAGTATGTCAAATTATTCCCTCTCCATTCTTCGGCGTGTCCTCCACTGCGTCCCGAACAGACATTTTTCATGCTGCCAACCTGGCACGCCTGGATCTGATGCCTGATCGAGGAGTGGCGGCAGGTCCTATTTTGGAAGACTCGCCTGGACATCAGAGTGTCTTTGTGTCTGACCTTTCATCACCAACCAATTACACATTCTACCCGTGGACGTTGCCGCCTCAGCTGGTTCCGTTCAACGCTACCAGCGCCCCTATGGCCGTTCGGCCCACGCTCGACATCTCTTTCCCATCGCTGCCAGGCGGCGTAAACATGGGCCCTGGAGCGCTGGAACGTGTCCGAGACGGGGTACTGGTGAAAACTATTGGAGGACTCCGGTTGAGTATGGTTCAAGATGTACGGTTAGATATTCCGACGCCCACGACTGGGGAGGAGGAAGACGGGTACCGGGTGCAGGTGATCAACAATGTGCCCTTGGGCAAAGATGAGAAGGTATATCTCTCTCGCCAAATCACCTTTGATGTCGTCGATCCATATGATCCGAATTTCACCCGTGTTCGCGACAATGCCATGCTTGACCTCGTCATTGACGTTCTCCCAGAGCCCTCTCGCCGACGCAATGATTCGGCTCATCCACGAGATGAAACACCTCAACCAGAGAGTCCACACCCGCCAGAGCCCCGTCTCGGAGGCCACAGCCCCGCCTCTTCGGTCGACGATGCCGCAATTGTTGACTCCCCGGACTCAACCGTAAGGGCCATGCTGTCGTCTCTGATGCACTCGGTGTCGTCTTTGCTTCACAATGAACGGACCGAACCTGCTCCACTCAGGCTGAGTCTCCCCGCTGCTATCGCTACAGGCATTGGGGCCAGCCCTCTTCCGGATATTGAAGATGCAGTTACCATGTCCTTGCTCGGCAGCCCATCCACAGACCGCCTGTCGTGGTCAAGTATATACTTCGCGGACGAGCTCTGCGACGAGCGAATTCTTCGGGAGGTTGCCCATAACCACGAAGTCCTTGTAATTAAACGTGGTGGCTGCACTTTCTCGGAAAAGCTACGCAACATTCCGGCATACAGACCAACACGATCCGCGCTGAAGCTGGTTGTCGTCGTCTCATATGACGACTTGCCACCACACGACTTCGGCGAGCAGAAGAAAGAGTCAACGAGTCAACCCGGGTCTCGCTCTGCCCTCGCTGCCGTCCGCGCCGAGTCCACTCTCATCCGTCCACACCTCGACGAAGCCCAAATGACAGCCAGCGGCATTCCACGAAATTACCTCATCAGCATGGTAATGGTCGGCGGCGGAGATGAAACATATGAACTCCTACGCCATGCAAGCGGCATCGGAGTCAAGAGAAGATACAGCATGCGCTCTCGCGGCGTCCCAATCACGAATTTACACATTGTTTGAATATTCAACAGATATACTATACCCTTTTGGAAGACTCTCGGATCATTTGTGGCGTGCTTGTTTTATGTTTTGCAGATATGCATAGTTTTAGACTTGAATATAGTCAAAACCCCAGCTCTCAGAGAATCGAACTGGATGCATTTGATGATAATATCCATCTACCCTCAACTTATTCCCATATACACCCGTCAACAGAAAGCCCAGCTCAAATCCTCGACTTGCTCTCCATCTCAATCTGAACCTTCCTCCAGGCCTCAACGCCCCTCTTCGCCGCCATCTCAGGACTAACCCTCCCATCCCTCATATTCCGATCAAAAACCTCCATAGAAACCCACCCCTCAAACCCAACCTCAACAATCCACGCCCGAGCAATCTCCACAACAGGCAAATACGCCCCAAACTCAACCTCCAAAGGAAAAGGCCTCGCATGCTTCGACCAAGTAAACTCCTTCGCCTCACCAGGCAAAGCCCACGGATGCGCCAACGAATAAGGCGGTTCGAACCTCTCCGCATCAGAAAGCTGCACATAGAAGATCTTCTCTCGCGGACAATCCCGCACAAACCTCCTCAGCGAATCCCGCAGCTTCGTCTCCGCATCCATCTGCACTCCCGTCGGCGAAGCATTATCCCCCCCACAAACGCGTCCCTTCATGGAAGGTATCCATACACAGTCCGAAATTCGGACGGTCGACCCGCTGCACGATTGACAAGGCGCTTTCCCAGGTTGAGCAGTTTGTTCCCCAGGACAGCGGTTCGTAGGCGATTGATACTACTGGCTTGTTGGAGCTGGCTAGGTCGGCTAGCTGCTGGAGGTCTGATATGATCGTCTTTTCATCGCGGGTGCAGTCCGCTGTGAAGATTGATGGGACTTGTAGGTATGGTGCGTGTAGCAGACGGGCGAGTTCGAGCCAGTGCTGCGCGAGAGCGAGTCTTTCTTTTAGCGGGGTTGTTGAGCCTTCGTAGTTTTCGAAGGGGGCTAGGGAGAGGACTTGGAGGTTTGTTTCCAGGCAGAGGGTGTGGATTTTTTGAGCTGCCGTATGGATGGGGATGTTTTGGGCTTTGCTGTATGTGAGGAGGTCGTTGTAGACTATCTCGATTCCTGCGATGCCGGCTTGGGCTGCGGCGCGGATTTTGTGGTCGAGGGTGTGGCCTGGGTATTGACTTAGGGAGATGCTGGCGATTGCTAGTTTATTGGGTGCCATTTTGAGGTTTTTTTCTTTTGACATTGAATATTCAATCGATGACTTGCTTGGGAGACTTGATATATCGAATTAGGGCGGGATTTGGTTTCCGGTATGTGGATGATTCACGAATAGACAACCCCGCAATTATCGAGTTATTTCAGGCAGTCCTCTGTAGGTGCATCTATCGGTCATTAATCACCGAAGGGTGTGGAGTGGTTGATCATCACCTTGCAAGGGTTGTAGATTTGGGAGTATAAGACCGAGGTACTTAAGCTCTCAGGTAATCTAAGACTTTCATTAAGCTCGCAAATAGCAATAGACACAATAGACACATACATAACATAGCTAGCATATATTAAACATAGCAGATTCATCGACATCCAGCAACTCCCGTGAATATATCAATCTCATACATCCATTCAAAGAGCCAAGCTCAACCGCGGTCATTTCGATTGACCTTCCATCCGCCCTTATCCATGTCTTATGACCCAGATCCCTCTCAGTAACGACCTTGAACATATGACGCTTTGTCGCCGTTGGGAATGCCTTTTGCCCCCATGCAGAGTAATCCAATCCCGCTTCTATGAAGAATTGCTTAATCCACCTGTTAGTCTCCTTGTGTGGACAGATACCACTCAACACGCCCGCTAACCCCTCCGGAAAGTCAAAAGTGTAGGTATTGCGGACTTGGATAGACTCGTGGTTATCCTTATAGAGTTCCGTTGTGATTGCAACTTGTGCGTAAGGGTGATTGGTGACTTTACAATGATGCGAGAGTTTCGTCCAGCGATCATGAATAAAATCTTCCGGAAACAGAGTTCTGCCGTCTTCGCTAGAAGATAGTATATCCAATAGAAGTTGCCGCTCGTTGAATGAGATGCTGAGACAAGGCAGATGTCGACTAAACCCGCGAAAGGCAAGCAGCCATCAAGTATAGCGCACTTATAGCAACAGCTCCCTTTTGTGGAGTGCCTAGAGGGTTTGAATGACGAGCGTGGGTGTAGACTCATACACACCACGCAGCATTTCCAGCGTTCGTTTTCGAGTTGCCGTAGAAGCTGGATTCGAGGTCTTTTTTCAAGCTCAGCATTGCGGTATATTGGTAGACGCTTTTCACTTGGGATTAGGAGCTTTGCATGGTCTGGGTCTTTCGTCTTGAGGAATGAGACAAAGTAGGCGTAGAGGTATTTGCATGTCAGTGCAAAGTAGAGCTGCTCTAGCACGGGGAGTTGCTCGTATATAAGGTCTAATATCTCTGCTGGGATCTGCCCGTTGGGAAGCTTTGAGGTCTTGGGCTGAGACAATCGGGACAATCGGGACAATCGGGACAATCGGGACAATCGGGACACCGGGCTCTTTTCTTTTCTATGTGCTGACCGAAATATTGAGTAAAGTGTCATGTTGTAAGCATTGTCGAAAAGGCAAGTCCTACACCGTGGAGGTTGATGCTGGTTCTATCACGTCCAGATGTCGTAATACAATATGGAGCCTTGAAGGGCTACATGCTCCCGTGACTTTACTGCCCTTGACTTAATTCTCTTCAACCTCCATTCGCAAGTCAGCTTACCCCAAATACCAATCGAGCCATTTTCTGTTATTATGTGGACAGATAAGACGTAACTTGCGTCCATGGAGTATCTATTTACCTCCCACATTTCAAATCAGATATTCCGTAATAATCAACGTTAAATTCTTCCAATGTCCGCGATAGCCATTTGTGCTTTAGTAGAAGATCTAGCCCGCAGCCATGTCTGTGACCAACGTCCTACCTTTCTCCAACGAAGTCTTGATTGGCTCGGGGAGTCGAGAAATTAATATATAGCACCCACCGTTCATACCCAAGTGGGGCAGTACACTCCATACGAAGTACACTTGCATCAATTAGCGTAGACTGTCACCAACATCCCTGCTCTTTTTCCTAGTCGGAGTAGCTCATGTCTCACATCTGCTGTCAGCTATGTAGGTATGTTGTAGTTTCGTTTCTTGTCCATTCGCAGACGCCAAATGATGTCGACACCATTGTTATACATACCCTGGTTCCCTGAGATTCTTTTCTCCGGACACTATGGCCACAATACTAGCCAATTTTATCCCCTAGCCTTAATGCAATAGCTGTGTCGCTAGTACGATGAGTATCCCTGCACTTCTTGGCGTTTTCGCTATTACAGCCGTTGGTAATATCGTCTTCAGCACGTTCGTTCTAAGGACAGTTAAACCCAGCATATTGCTAGCAGATAAGATTCTAGGGATTGTTTGTCTTAATAACTTCGATATACCCAGGTCACGATATCTGTCTATGAAGTTTCATTAACTCATTTCCTTAGATGGATGTATAATCCCATGCTTGAAGGGTACTTTGTGTATAACCACAAGACAACGCCACGTAGTCTAAGTATTCTCAAAGTGGAAGGAGTAGGAAATAACCCATTCTATAAGACTCGGCATGGAAAAAACGACACTAAGAGGGGCACATGCATAGGACAGCATGCATACTAGTACACTATAAGCTTACCGAATTTTAGCACTTTAGTACTAAATCGACTAGTTATAATGCCCTTTTGCCAGGAAAAGACTCCTGTTTCTGCGCTCACCATTGCTTCAAATATCTTGGAAAGGGCTTCCTCCAGTATGGAGAACATCTCTGAGAGCCACAGTATGCTTAGGATACCCAATCAGGTATGTCTACACTTGCACCACATTAAGCTTCGGTTTACTAACAGCGTGTTTATTTCCTAGGAAAATCCGTTGTTTGCCAATCCGCTCCTTATCACAGTCAATTCTACGCCTTTTCGAGTCGCAGTCCTCGCCTTATTGACGCTTCTTGTGTCAACATATACGCTGTCCTTATTTAGATTCATCCGGATTCGAAACAGCCAGAGGCCCGGAAAGGAAGCACCAACCCTTCCATACTACCTCCCAAGGCTGTGCCATGCCTTTGACCTAGAATGGAGCATGGCCAGCTTCCTGGCTAGCACAGTGCAAGTCCCGTATCTACACGCAGTCGTGATGTTACTAACAAATGCTTTAGCAAACGCTGGGGCTATCTTTCACCTATTGCAGTCCGTGCTGGATCCTTCGGGTTCACAATGATCGTCAACCCGAATCATATCAGAACCATACTGCGGTCTTCTAGGACCCTGACGAACAGGCCTATGATGGCTTTTGTCATGGAGAAATGGTTTTCCACGCCTAAAGAATATTTGCGCTTCTATGCTGCTCATGATCCCACTTCGACACCGGGAGGAATGCCTGAGCATATGCATGATTTCCAGGTGAAGGTCAGCGTCAAGTACTTGTCAGGAAAACACCTCCTGGAAATGTCAGAGAGATACCTTGCAATTCTCAAGCGCAGGCTAGTGAAGCTCGAGATTCAACCGGACAGTTGGGTGGAGATCTCGGATTTTTATACATGGCTTCAGATCCAGGTCACTCCCTCGATTATTGAAGCCATGATGGGTTCACGAATTCTAGAAATGTATCCTGGCATCGTGGAGGACTTTTGGAAATTCGAACATCAGGTCGCAAACTATTCCCGTGGCTTGCCTCGCTGGATGATTCCATCTGCATACAAAACCCGGGAACGTTTGCTGGCGAATATCAAGGCATGGAATCGGCTTGCAAGTTGCAAGTCGGATTATACGCAGCATGGGGAGGAGGGGCCTGAGTGGGATGAATTCTTTGGGACCAGATTCATCAAAGCTCGTGAAGATTATTTGAGGGAGTATGGTCTGAATGAGGACGCAATCGCATCTGAGCACCTTGGCCTTATTTTTGGGTAAGTACTTCTCATTTTGTTAGAGGAAAGGTTCTTAACTAAGAGACTTACAGATCCAATGCAAATGTCGTTCCCGCTGTCTTCTGGTATATTTTTGAATCTTTCAGAGACTTGGAATTGCAAGAAAAACTGAAGACGGAGCTCGAGGATTGTTTGAAACCAGAAACTGACGACTTTGATATTCCCAAGTTTTCCACTAAACCTCTGCTGCAATCCACTTACGCGGAAGTCTTGCGTCTCTGCGTTACAACCACCACGACACGCACAAATGAGGATGCCAACTTCAAGCTGGGTCCGGATTACACTATTGACAAAGACATGACAATGACAATATTCGCCTCGGTTACGGCTTATAACAGACAAGCCTGGGGAGCCGCAAGACCGGAGAGCATTGTCAGACCTCTGGGTGAGTTCTGGCCAGAGCGATTTCTTCGAAAGAACAAAAAAGAAGCAAATTTCAGTCTGGAAGGCTTGACTGAATGTTGGATGCCTTACGGTGGAGGCCAACGTATGTGCCCTGGTCGTCATTTTGCCAAGAATGTAATCATCGGCACGCTGGGATTGCTCTTCGAGTTGTTTGAATCTGGGCTGGTCGATGTTCAACAAGCTGAACAGGTTAAGCCTGACACGAAATGGGTGCCATATGGAACGTTACCACCTACGAAGAAGGTGGCCGTGAGACTTCGAAGACGTGCAGGATGAGGTTGCAATAGAGTATCCCGTTAGTAGTATAAAGAACGAGTGTCTGAGAGACATAATCTTCTCTGGAACAGAAATACCTCTACTTGCTCGAAACTCCTGGGAATAACCGCTTTTTTAGGGGTTTCTCTGCTTAAGGGAACAGCTTTAATATTCAAAGGAAAGACAGTACACATGGATTGGACTTGATCCAACCCCTGTAGAACTGGCAATATCAACAGCGGGGTCCCAAGGTTACCTACATATATAGTCTGTTTACTTTTGACTCATTTTCCTTCTCTTCTTTTCTCTTCCCTTCATCTCTTCCACAAGTCTCTTCCACAAGTCCACATTACACTCAACAACAACCCATCAGAAACAATGCTCTCCAACACCAACCTCCAAGCAACAGAAAGACACACCCAACCCCCAATACCCACCCCGCTTATCACAAAACCACCCCAATACCCAAAATACCTCTACTTCGCCTACGGCTCCAATCTCTCCCCCAACCCAAATGAAAACCCGCTGCCGCATAAACCCAGCTCACTCCGCCACCCCACTAGCAATCGCAGCCCTCCCACACTGGCGCTGGTTAATCTGTGAACCGGGCTACGCAAACGTCCTCCCACCACCCAGTCTGCGCGTCGCGAATCAAGACTCCGAAACCGCGCATAAGATTCCCGTTTCCGGGTCCGAGGATGCGGTCTACGGCGTTCTTTATCAGATGGATATTGGTGATGAGATGATTCTGGATGGCTATGAGGGTGTTGATGAGGAGGCTGCTAATGCGGGGGCTGGGGATGGTGTGCCTGTTTCTGTTAGGCCCCGGGTGCAAGGGGGATGGATCTTATAATAAGTGGTTTGTTGAGGCGGATGTTGTGAAGTGGTTGGATGGGGAGGGGGTTAGGGCGGGGCTTGAGAATAAGGGGAAGGTGCCGGTTTTGGTTTATGTTGATGAGAACTGTGTTGGAATGTCTAAGCCGAAGTTTGAGTATATTGCAAGGATGAATCGGGCTATTCGGGAGTCTGTGGATTTGGGGGTTCCCGTGGGATGGGCGGAGGGAGTTATGAGGAAGTTCATTCCTGAATAGAATACTAGATTTAGTTTGAGATAGATAAGACAGATGCTTTTAGAATTATATCATTGTTCAATTGCTAGAAAGGTACTCTATTGAAATAAGAAAATCTAATTTGCCAGTCTATACACATATCGAGTTGTATTGATAAAGCTATTTGTCTATATTGGGTATTATCCGGCGGGCAGCTCTGCGCCGGCTGTGACGGGTGCCGTCGACCAGCGAAACAAGGCTCCAGACTCGACGTTCGAGTAGATCGTTTGATGGGGCGGCCCGGAAGGAGCGGGTGACAGACGTTCACCGCAAGATCGGGAATGGCCGGGCTTTTGTCGGGCTTTTAAAAAGGATGGAGTCATTATAATCGGCAGTTGAGATCGTCGCAGAAAGAAATGATTTTTTTCGAAGCGGTGTGTATAAATTAAGCCTGGCCAGACAGGAGAGTGTACACCGGCGCGGGGAGGTTATCGCGTCCGTGAAGGAACTCAAGTTCGAGGAGGAAGATGAAACCAAGGAGTTCGCCGCCCATCTTCTGGATCAGCTCACCACCGGCCTTGGCAGAGCCACCTAAAAATAGTTTATTAGTATCAAGTACATATGTACCGGGTTCTTATCACATACCGGTAGCAATAATGTCATCAATGACGAGGACCTTCTGGCCGGGCTTGATGGAATCGGCCTGCATCTGGAAGAAGTCCTGACCATACTCCTTCTCGTAGCCCTGGGTTTCACAGGGGCCGGGGAGCTTGCCCTGCTTGCGCACGGGGACGAAGCTGGCACCCAGACGCAGCGCCAGGCTGGGTCCCATAAGGAAGCCACGGGCCTCGAGGCCAACAATGACATCGGGCTTCTGGCCGTAGTTGGTGAGGACGTGAAGTTCCAGGGAGCGGATCAGGGCCTCATGCAAAGAAGGATCGGCAAAGATAGGCAGGATATCCTCGAACAGAATTCCCGGAGAGGGGAAATCCGGGAACTGGCGCAGGGCGGCGCGCAGTCTTACCTTAAGACTGGCGAGTTCGGCGGCGCTGGTGGCATCGGAGGCGGGGAGTCCGACTTTGGAGGCATCTGGGGTAGTGGAGGACATTATGAGGAGGAAAGAGAGGAAGAGAAGGAGGGGAGGTTGGAAGTCAAAGGGTAAAAAAGGAAAAGACCAAAAAAAAAAAATATTTGGAGGGGGAAAAAAGGGAAATGGGTAAAATTACAGATAAGCAGATAACTGTGCCCCTCACAAGGTCTAGATCGTTTACTGTTCTCGTTTTTTGACCTTTTGGGGTATTTTATATATATCTATAGATTAATATAATTGATATACTTGATAGATATATTTATATATTATATACTTTTATTGATATTATATCCTATTTGATATATATAACATGTGTAGTGATACTTCATGTCCTATCATCAGATGTATGTAACTATCAAGTCTTCTACAACCATTTGAAATCAGCGGTCAGATCGCAGGTAAAATACTAGAGTATTAAAAAAAGTATTAAAATACTGGTCACGCAATTGCATATTCTTCTAGAAGGTAAAACTGTACTTCCTAAACTAGTATAACTTCTACGGAGTACAAAGAGATATGGTCCAACCCGGGTCGGATCTGCGAGACCCTAATTGATTAGCCCGTAAAACCTACCTAGGTAGTGCTCAGTCCCCTCATCGTCAGGGGACGAATTGTGTTGCAAACTGATACCACTCCTTCGTCATCCCTGCAGTGTTCCGGTTCCCCAGAAGCCTAGACCGTTGAACTGACATCTGGAGTCTGTGGTTACTTTTTGAAGGTCCAAAGGAGGACAACAGGCAGACCGAAACTAGAACTAAAACTACCACTATCAATGGATCATCATAAATGACTCACTCTGGCTTCTGTCTAGACCGGAGATTTAAAATCGCATTGGATCAGACCATCTCAGCGGATATGCCGTATGGCCAGTCCTTGACACATCGTACAGCCATTACACTTAGCCCTAACCAATGGAATCTCTCAATTCACGACGTGAATCTGAAACTCATCACAGTGGCTTTACTGGAAACAAATGTGCGTGCTGCATACCGGGATGTCTGTTGTGCAGATGGTGGGGGGATTGTCCGTGCAATCGCATAAATGACTTGCCCCTCGTTTTTTTAGGGGGAGTGGGCGGGGACAAAAGTACGAAAGTAAAGCATGAAACAACCTTGGAAGATAACAGGGGAAAAGCATAATCAGTTGCAGATCATAGTTCGAAACAAAATAATAAATAAATAAAAAGAGCAAAAAAGAAATCTCAAGTATTTTTAGGAATAGCCGAACGCGGGGGTCGAACCCGCAGCCTTAAGATTAAGAGTCTTACGCTCTACCGATTGAGCTAGCCCGGCCGGGCTGTTGAAGAGGGAAGCGATAATGTGCTACATAAGCCAGAGACAAGGAAAATCGTAAGTCAAATTTGGTTGGATTGGGCTTGATTCGTCATTGTAATATTCTATATTTATTTTTACTTCTTTTATTACCTACATGTATTTATTGTTGATGTTCTTATCCACAGATATATCTGCTTTGTCCTCGACCGTGCCGAATATATATATACCCTATTTGGGAGCGTCATTCCGTGAGACTGGAACCACCCTAGTTAGGCTACACAATCCCCCCTGGAAAAACTAGAGACCAAAATAATGACATATTCTTGGAAATACCATCCTTCCAAGGTTGGATACCTCCCAGACGGAAAGGATGACTGTACTGACTCATTGTCTCACAATTATACCTGAAGTATTACTTGACACTATAGATGCCATCTTAATACGTTTTCACCTATATGTACCTGCATGTACCTGCACGCAGATACTCTATTCAATTTAAAAAAGCGTAGATCTATGTACCCCTTTGTACTTCGAAGTATACTCGACCTTGGTCCAAGCCTAAACCGGGATAGCCCCTCACATGACCAGCACAGACCACCTCGCTTCAAGTTTTTCCGGTGAAGCCCGTATAAATCCGCCTGTTTTTCTCTTTTCCATCTCTCATGCCTTTCAAGTTTGAGAGCCTGACCGGCCACTTCCATCTCAGATGAATTATTTCTGATACCTTGTAATAAATTTGCTACCTACTATGATTGCCGAGATGCAGCCGGATCTGCACCATGACCAGCTCGAGGCCGTGGGCAAAGCCTTCGATGCACTCCTACTAACCGTGTACCGGCTGACACACAGACAAAATGAGCTGTTTCAGCACATGGACAATGTCTTCAAGCAGGTAAATACCCACTCTTCTTTCTTCCCCCCCCAGCTTCCGCATACTGGTCTCGCATGACGAGGAAATAGCTCTAGATCAGGAGTCACTTCTGTGACAATGACGGATTAACATGTATTATCTGATTGAGACCACGACTGCCTTGCTCTTATGCATTTGACAAGATGAACATTGCTAACTTTGTATCTTGCAGTACACAGATGTGATAGAAATTCTGCCCCCTCAAGATAGACATCGTGCATTTGACGTTCAATCCAAGCTGCTCGAACAGAAAGAAGAATACCGTCAGGGCCTCGTACACAGCAAGCCTCGAGTTGAGGAACAACCCTTGAATTCCATGGATGTAATAAAGACCCTCGTTGCACATCAAAATGTAGACGAAAATACTTTCCTGGCCATCAAGAACGGAGTGAAAGGGTGCAAATCTCTGCTCCGTTCCGAAGATAGCCTTTCCCAAATATCCTCCAACTCGTGCATCCTCGCGCAAGCACCGGCTCCAGCAATCGCGCTGGAGAAGGACTTCACAACGAATGGCACCCAGGGAAATCTACATTGCCCCTTCTCCAAACCGAATAAGATGCAGAGCGCAAATGGCAGCGAGGCCCCCAGTGGGAAAAACTCGGCCCCGAAGATCCAGATCGAAGCCACCTGCGGCCACGAGCATCTGGACCCCATCAGGGCTGAACTCGAAGAACGGCGCTCTAGCCACACCCCATCAGCCCCGTCCTCAAAGGGAGCTTGTCCCGTCTCCCGATGCCCGATCCGATTCCTCGATCAACACTCCCCAGAAGAAATCGCCGAATACGTCGAACGACACAAACATGAGATCCCCCGCAGTCACGCAATTTGCGTCAAGCGCTATCAACGAAACCCACAAGATATGAGACATTTGGACGCCAAATACGGTGGCCTGACCAGCATGATCGCTGGTTTAGGTGTTAAGCACCAAGCGTTCCTGCCTGACCGTCATACTAGCGGCGAAGGTCACTCCTCGCACTCTGCGTCGAGTGAACGCGTTGAAAAATGGGCCGAGAACGTGGACCCCAGTACGCCCAGTGTCCCGAACGAGGAGAACAATGAGGAGGATAAAAATGAGGATGATAACCGTCAGAGTCACTTTGACCGTCCCCTTCGTGAAGTCCGCGTGGGTGAATCCCCAAGCAGGCCTTGGGGCATTTCAGTGCCTGTCACACATCTACCCCCCGCCTCAGCGTCTATCCCAACATCCCCCGACCTCCAAGCCGACAAGCCTGATAACCCCGCCGATGCCGACATCCTTGACGCTAAGCCTGCCGGTGGCTGTCCATTCGGCCACGGTAAATCAAAGCCCGAGACCACAAAGCCCGAAACTCTAGAGCCCGAAATGGAAACATGTCGGAGTGGTGAAAGGCCCAAGGAAAATGATATTGTTACACCAAATAAACCCGGTTGTCCATTTGGCCACGATAAGCCAAAGACCGAAGTTCCAAAGCCTGAAATCAAGACCCCCTGGAGTGGTGAGTGGCCTAAGACCTGGCCCAAGGACCAGGCTGTCGCAGATCAAGCAGCCGAACAAGCACCTGATCCCCAGGTTGCTCCGGCTGCTCCCGTGAGCGAGGGCTCGACTACGAAACCCATCCCCCCCAACATTCTCCACCCCCTCCCACATCACCTTCAATGGCCCAGTATTCTTCGGATATTCCGCCGAGGAGACTGCCAGCCTCTTACGACAGTTTGGCAATCTAGGCAAATCATGACCCCAAAGAGACTTTTGTATAGTATGTTCTTGGAAGACGCAGTCTCTTAACGCATCACGACGAAACGACATAAATTTTTTTAGCAAGCAATTGTCACTGTATTAGCACAATTGAATCATGATTTAATACAAATTTCAATATAACGTCTATAATAGCTATAATAATAACAACAAAATCCATAATGTAAAGTAAACGAATGACTTCATCGGGGAGAGTCGAACCTCTCCGAGGGAAACTCGGAGAGCGGGGCAACTTCGTTATCAACACCTTCGTATATAACTTCCTCTCTCTCCCCATGCTGCGAATTACTCCTCGTCTTCTATCCCTATCTCGAATCCTTCGTCCTTCAATCCCACTCAACCCCCAGTTCCCTTCCCGCATAATGTCTGCCAACATGTCCATCGTCTCCGCTAAGGATGCCTGCCCTCGTAAGTCAAGCCCCGCCAGCTATGGATCCTCCCCTGCCTCTTAGACACTCAATTACAGAAATGGAATCAAAACAAGCAAAGAGCAATAGCTAATTCGCATCTCCTATAGCTGCCGGCCCTTACGTACGTTGTCCTTCCCTCTGCATCTGCAGCTCCATCTACCTTGGGAGCTACCCCTCTACACCGGAACAATACAACATACACACCAAAACACCATTCCGCCCACACATTGTACAGACTATAAAAGAAACCAACTAACGAACCCACCACAGTCCCAGGCCATCCGCGCCAACGGCCAGATCTTTGTCTCCGGCCAGATCCCCGCTGACTCCTCCGCGAACTTGATCGAGGGCAATATCGGCGAGAAGACTCAGGTTTGCTGCGATAACATCAAGGCTATCCTGACCGCCGCTGGTTCCAGCGTGGACAAGATCGTCAAGGTCAATGTATGTGTTTCCCTCCCCGGCTTTGTTATTGTAGTGATTCTGGACTCGGCTTTGCCAGGGAGAAAGAAGTGTACACAAGTTATGAGGAGGACGATTTGCTGACATTAATTCCTTTTCTCAGGTCTTCCTGACTGATATGGCCAACTTCGCTGAGATGAACGCTACCTACGAGAAGTTCTTCGTTCACAAGCCTGCTCGTAGCTGTGTTGCTGTTCACCAGCTGCCCAAGGGTGTGCCTGTTGAGATCGAGTGCATTGCTCTGGAGTAGATTTGAAGATTTATTTAATCTAAGTCTTACTTATTCGAGTCAATGAAAACAATATAAAATAAGTTTAAAATAAGAATAAGAATGAATTCGAATTATGTTGTGGAAATCCTCGGGGAGATCCTCTTCATCTTGATTATTTCCATTTCCGATCCCGTTTCCTTCGAAGAACATACATGCGCGAGTACAAGCAGATACCAAATTGGGAATCATAAGAGTCAAGGGTGTTGATGCGCAATGAGATAGAATGCAAGATACGAAGGAAATGGTGAGGGAAGAAAAGAAGAAACACAACGTTGCTGGCTCGATAGATAAGAAAAAATAGAGAACATAAACGTCAAAAGGTGGGAGAGCTTGCTAGGTGCTCACCTGCCGCGAGGGATGATACCGCTCATGCGGCTTCCCGCACCAGCCATCAGGCTCTGTTTCACGATAGCATCAGCAGCAGCGGCGGCAGCAAGTCTTTCCTTCTGACGGCTACGGTCCCGTAGATAACCGGCAGCTTCGGGCGCATGCGAAGAATGCGCAGGATCATATCGTCGTTAGGATCAGCCTGCGCCTCCCGTCGCTTCTCTTCCTTGGCCTTCCTCATCGTGCCCAGGTTGCGGGAGAGCATGATGCTCTTGGCGCGACGGGCAGCCGGAAGTCCCAAGCCGCCGTAGCCGGCACCTGTGGCGCCCAGGTGCGCAGGCGCAGAAGTGCGGTTGCGGGCCGCTTGTTGGCGGTTGACAGTCGCCGAGGCCATGCGTTCGGAGGTGCGGATGAGATGCTCCGTTGGTTCGAAGTAGAAGAAATTCAGAGACTGGATTTCGTGGTATTTGGGTGATTTCAGGATATCGATTGGGACGCCGTTTGCTTCGCCGGTTTCGTCGTCAATCGCATGGAAGAAGTTCAATAGTAGCACGAGCCAGCGTGATACGATGTCGACTTCTTGGATGGTTAATGGCTTCTGATGGGACGGCTTATCCGACAGAGGTGGTACGAGTAGACTCTCGATGGTGGCAAGCACTTCCTTCCACAGGCGAGCCATCACCATCTTCATGGCTTCGGGTGTGAGGGTTTTGTTCATGATTGCGAAGTTGTCATTGAAGTAATTGAACAAAGGAGTCAGTGCATTTTCGACGTCTGCCGGGGTGGGTCCGGCAGGGTTGGCTGCGCTCGGTTGCGATTCAAGAAACTCGAGACACTAGATATACTGAGTCCTCGAGAGAGCAGAGACTTCAGTGTCCGCCTGGAAAGACAGTGACTGATGTATGCCGAAAGCTTCTCTGTGATCTTCCGAGTCATATCCCTTTCAGTTCGCTTGAGTGTACGGAAAGCCTTGCCGAAGTAGAACTGGATGTCGTCTCGCTCGCCTTCCATACTAACTCGGAGTAGAAGCCGACCCTGGGTATCCAGGTCGAGCCAATACTCTCTTGGCAAGAAGTCACTAAAGTGCACAGGATCCAGCTTGATCGACGTGCGACCAACGTAGTCGTGATCGCCCACTGCATCCCAGTCCCAGATGGTAGCGATGATATTCAGAGGGCCCTGTGTTGTGAGATCCACTGCATCCTCCCATCGGGGATTGAGATTATTGTAGATGATGCGGGTTTTGGCAATTCGTTTCTGATATTCGTCCGTCAAGACGACATATGGATCGCTGCCACCGCCAATGTCGCATGCTTTCAAGTCCTCTGCCTCCACTACCTTGATTGTAAAGACATAGGTGGTAGACTTGCGGACCTTCTTGAGCTGCGGTGGAGTATTTCTTGCAATGACTTCGGCGCATGCATCGACGTTGATATCCTTTTCGAGTTTGTCGAGCTGAGCAAGTGCATACTCAATATTGTTCAGTTTCACCAGGGACTACGGAAAAATGTTAGCCGCGATATTTACCCAGTTGAGATGGACAAGAACACACCTCTGACGAGAATTGGAAGGGCTCGATTTTATCCTTATTCGTCCAGGTGTCCTTCGCGAATTGCATCAGTTTTTCCTGGGTGGTTTGGTTCAATGCTGCCTCTTGCTCGGGTGTGAGGCGATCCATCTCCCGCGTGAACATCTTTTCTAAGGAGTCACAATACGTTGCCACACCTTTCCCAATTGAATTAGAGAGATGCGTCATGAACTTCGCATATTGAAGATCATCGTCCCACTCCAGTTGCACCATATTCTCAACCACTTGGTTGAAAGATCGGAAAATATCAATGACTGATACACTGTGACGATCATCTTCAGGCGCGAGCTCTGTCGTTCCATCTGCACGAACGGCGAATGCATCTTGTCTAGTAGCTTGGCTGACCCAATCCATGATCTTTTGATCAGTCAGACGAAGCCATCTCCAGACGAAGTCTTGAAGGAGGCTCTCCACATGGAATGGGAATGGAGCACTAAGCCGTGTTAGTAATTCCACAGGAACAGAACAGGAGTACAGGGGCTTACTCTTCATGGGTGTTATGGAACAACCGCCTGATAGTAGCAAGCTGTTTGTATAGGTCGAAGCCGTCGTCGATAGCGATCTCCTCACCCCTGGCTTTTGCCTGGTCGAGAATCCTAATGATCATTTCATGTGCATCCTCGGCGAACATAGGGAGTACGTTGTGGCACAAGGTGGTGTAGGGATTCACACTATTTCTAAGTTAGAGACTGATCAACTAAACAGACGGGAAAGAAAGAACTCACCCCATAATTTCCGGGTTATTGCGGTAGCGTTTCTGGATCTTTAGCGCAAGCTTTGAGATCGCATCTCCAAGCTGAATGACATGGTCGGGATCCCAGGCCTCTTGTTCCACGGGGATTAGTTGGCTAAGAAGGCTTTGATACTTTGTTGTTGCTTTTTCGGCAAGTCCTTCTTGCACATACGTGCTAAACCGATTGATGTCTTCAGGGTCCTCAACGTAGCTGGGATCCATCTGGACGTGGGTGTCGAGAATGTACATAACTGGACCGAGTGGGCGCGGCTTTGCCTCAAAGCAGTCCATCATAGCCTCATATAGCTCCCGGAGCAGAGCCTCATGAAGTTTGGACAGCAGCATTTGCATCGTCTGAAGATCATGTACGGTCCATCGTTGCCGATCAAGGACAGCAGAAGCCGCAAAGCTACTGCGTTTGCGGTTCTCGCCCGTAGGCATTTCCTTCACGAAAGTAAACGCCGAGTCGAGTGTAGTGAGATCAATCTCATTGTCGACAAATTTAGTTTGAGCCACCTCAAGGAACAACACGACCCGGGAGAAGGTTGGAATCCGCCAGCGGAGACAAATCTCATTAAGCATTTCCGTGGACTGTTTCGAGAGCAGTTTCATTGAAGGCACGTCAGATGTGGCCTGTGTAGCTTCAAGCTCCCGGTCTCGCAGATCATGCGTCAAGGTCTGGGACAAGATATATTTGTACAAAGACCTAGGGTCAGACGGTATAAATGTGTATGTATCGGATTCATCTGACTCTTCTAGAGACAGCCCACTCAAATCAACAGGCTGATCAATGACATAAGATGTTCTGTCAGTCCGACCAGATGATGTCCTTGACAGGTCGGGGTTCTCATGGGGACTTGAATTGAACTGAGGAAGAGACCCGGGGGTGCTTTTGGCCAGCTCCGGGTTGGATTGCATGATTGAGAGCATCATTTGTGAGAGATCAGGACCTTCGCTCTTTTTCCAGGCATCATAGGCCTCGTCAGACTCAAAATCTTCCCTAGACAAGGTTTTATGTGTTTGGAGGTTCAGGTGGGCTTGATAGGTTTTTAGGTCCTGCAGAGCGGCCTTTTCGGTCCAGGTAGACTTGTGTTTATCGATTTCGGATTGTGCTTGGGATGTGGTCATCCCAAAGATCTTGGCCACATGTTGAACCAGGGGCATATCCTTCACATTGTAACTCAATGTACCAACACTTTCTGTCGCAGACGTAGGCCCGTTCGTTTGCATGAGGTCCTGGTCTTGCAGGAGAAGCTTGTTTTCCAGCACCGTCAATCGATTGGCCAACTCTGGGCGGTCCTTTGACCATTCGTGGTCTTTCAAGGTGAGCGCAAGGAGTCGGACAAAAAGTGCAACGTGCCGATCCACCATGAGCTTCCAGCTGTCATCGTCATGCTCTTTGCCCTTGCCTAGCTCTTTGACTGCGTTGGAGTAGAAAATCAGGAGCAGATCTTCAGCTCGCCGGTCCTTCTCCATGCGTTTTCGGAACGAGTCTTCCTTCAGAACGTTGAGAAAGACAGCGAATGTCCGCACCACTAGGTGATCTTGATATTCCTTCCTTTTCTCCTTTCCCATCAACACGCCCGTCAACCGCTTCTCCAGCTCGGACACGAAGCCATGGGGAACCCTGGTGCTCTTCGAGTCCCTGACCAAGGAGAAATCGCTCATTAAATCATGAATGGAGGTGGCTGATCGTTTTGGCCGCGCCGGCGCGACGGGGGCATTTTGGATGCGACGAGAGCGAGGGTGGAGGAGATAGGCAAGGTAGGCAACCCGAATGGCATGACTGTATGCCACGTTGGCGTTTAGGGGGCGGCGCCGCGCTATAGAGGAGTTACGCGAATGACGACCCTCATTCTGGAGGCTGTTAATCCGTCGGTTGACTCCTCGGGATTGGGTAGATGCTGTCGACATGGAGTTGTCAATTAAATTCGTGCAACGTTAGGAGGTGACAGGTAGCGCTGGAACATGGAGGAAGTTGGGAAGCCAGCACCCAGAAGAAGCTTTTCAGATATATTTCCTTTTTCTTTCAGTCCGAAGTGAAAGCCGTCACAAAACTGGAGGGGCGAATTTGTTTATTGAAGGGGAAGAGGGAGGGGGGAGGTGAAACAAAAAGCTGCCGAACCAACTGACGTATGGGCGTCCCGCCCAAAAACAATGCTATTTATGGTCTGGCTATACTATGGGAATACTATATATTTCTCTACCTTTCGTTTCATATACCAGCGCTTATTGCATATTGATAGTCCAAGGTGTCCTAATCCTTGTTCTCCCTGAAGGGGTTCAAAGTTATAAAGCTGCAAGGGTTTCCTGGTTATCTGCGAAGATCAATATTGACAATAAGGCAAGACTTACATCTAAACAGTGATCTAGGGGGATATTCAAAAGACATCTAAACTGATGTCTAAAAGGATATCCAAAAGGCATTCTAGAATGACAACCCGGGGGACATCGTGGTGTCTCAAATATAACGTCCATAATATCAAATGGATATCAATGCGATATATCGGCACATACGACAAACACAAACGTAGTTTTTAATCCAAATTCATTCCGAGCATGCGATCGGGCTTTTTCGGGTTTTGATGAAACATAGGACTGGTGAATCGACCACCAGTCCCCAAAGACGCCGAAGATAGAAAATCGTACTGGTATTTACACAAACAAAAAGAGAAACCAGATGTCAATCACCACTTGTCACCGGACTTGCGGGCCTAAAGCAAATGGTTAGCTTTTTGCCTTCGTAAGAGGTTGTGAATATCATGCCCACATACCGGCAGAGCATTGGGACCTCCCAACTCCTTCTCCAGACCATCGACGTAGGTCTTAGGAGCGCTCGGCTTGTCGGGGTAGTTGAGGCTGACAACGCCAACCAGGCCAAGGAAAGCAGCAACGAAGCATCCGAGGTGGAAGAAACCCTTGCCGGGCGAGACGTGGGTATATTGCTCGGGGCTGAAGACACCGAGGATTTCGTTATCCTCATGCACAGGCTCGCCAAAGTTGCGCTTTTCTTGTGCATCCCACCAGCCACCGTGAGGGTCTCTGTGTGCACGCTTCACAGCGGGAGGGTTCGGGTAGTTGTTGTTCTCTCCCCGGGTGTTAGGCTCCCGGATACCAAGTAGGGGGACGGCATCTGTGCCACATGGGTGCTATACCTGTAGAGGATCGTCAATCTCAGCAGCACGGAGAGCTGGGATCTGAGAGAAAGATGCGCGAGGAGCAATGGCTCGAGCGGCAACCTGGGGCAGGCGCCGGGCCAAGATCCGTTGAGACAGCATCTGGGAGAGGAATTGGAGGTCAGAAAGGCTGAAGAGGATTTGAAGTCAAGACTGAGCGAAAGAAAAGGACTCACAGTTATGCTGAAAGACAAGCAGCAAATGAGTTGTCAGAGGAAGGCAATAGAGCCAATTGGGTAGAGGGGGTTGAATATCGATGATGAACGGATGGAGGTTTGCGGAATGTTGTTGCCTGAGGCATCTAGTCACAAGACTTCAGGCATCTACGCGCCGGCGCGACCATGTAATTACTCGCCCGAAGGAAAAAAACCACTCTCCACGTATTCTCATCATCTCCGTTGTTTTCCCGTCCCCATCCACGCTACAGTGCCGATAAGCATGTTAAACTTCGTGTAGTATCTCTACTCGATATTCCCCATTTGCTGATGCCAAAATCTTCTACTTCGACTGCGTCATTGTTGGGATAACTGGGGTCACCTGCCGCCACTGGCCCCTGTCGTCTGCGGCTACAAGTCATGCAAAACGGCACCCCCAACGGCCCATCACCCCAAGATGAACGCGTGACGCCTGTGCCCGATTCTACACCCCTAAACGGGTCTGTAATCGAAAACCCATCGGATTCGGCCCCCCACGAATCGATTCCTTCCGAGCCGAAAGACGTCGAAGCTGTTCATCAACCTGAAGAACCCCCATCAAAGAAACGAAGACTCACAGATTCATCCTCGTCGCAACGTTCCACTCCCAGACCACCATCCCCGCCTTGGAAAAAGGCTGGCTTTGAGGGACCCACATCTTTCCTCTCTGATGGCAAGCGTAGGTCGTCGCGAACAAACGCCGTGCCCATCGAATTGCAACCTGGATCGGACAAGAGACACACGCGGGGGGCTCAGAACAAGAATGCTGGCAAGTCTGCTCGAGATGGAAGCAAGCCGGCTACATCCTCGCCGCTATCGGTAACGCAGTCACGCGCCGACATCAGTGGGAAACTGGGTGGAAAGGCCACTGCCAATGGATCACCCAGAGCGCCATCGCGCGCGGCGGCCAACAAGCCGCAGCGTATCTCACAGACTCCAGCACCAAAACCAAGTCATTCGCGCACCAAATCCCGCAGCTCCGCTACCCTTCCTCGCCCGTCTGGCGCCAACGGCACCAGTTCTCGCTCGCTCCGCGATCGCCCATCCCTTTCGAGCCTGTCACAGGAGGTCAATGGAGCTCCAGATGATGTCAATATGGATGACAAGGAACCCGAACAAGGATCATTGAAAATTCCAAAATTGCGCATTAAATTGAGCAAGCCTGTCCTTCCTATTCGACACCCCGGCCACATACCGCAGAAGAAACACACGTCTTTCAGAGAATGGGTTTATCAAAACGATAGCTCAAATATACTGTCAGAGGATGAGGCCGCGATAGAGGCGCGCAAACGGCATGAAGTAATGGCTGCCGCTGAGCCTGGTGGACCGTTGAGCTCGCAAGTCTGCTCAGCATATATCACAGAACAGCAAGAGGAACCTCCCCCCACAGTACTCGCACCAGGACCACTTGGTTTCCCATGCGCTCTATTTCCAGAAGCTCCTCGACAAAGAACACAAGCGCCACCGACAAACAGCCAAACTGTTTGCGCAATGGTGTGCTGACGCTTATCGAAAACGCCACAAGAATCCCGAAGATATTCTACGTGAGCAACAGGAGGAGATGCGTGGGAAACGCAAGCAGCTAGCAAAGGATCTTCAGAAGATGTTCGACCTGACCCGTGCCGATATTGATCGAGTCCGCCTAGCACGTTGGGAAGAAGAGCGGAAAATGGAAGACCAACAGGCTCTTGATCGCGCCATTAAAAAGTCTACTATGCTCTTCGAGAAGCGTCGATCGGAGATTTTGGGAGAATCGCCTAGCGATGCTCCGGTGACGAGTGACGATGAGGGTGGCGTATCTGGCTTCTCGTCTGGCGAAGGCGAAGAAGACGAGAGTAACATGTCAGATTCTGAATCCGGAACCGACGACGAGGTCAATGTGGACGATGATGCCACATTGACCGCAGAAGAGCTCCGGCTGAAATACGCCAACTTACCGGCTGAGGACTATACCGACCGGATGTCTATAGCCTCAGGCAGCACGGCAATGACCGACCCCAACGAATCCTTGGGCCCTGAAGCTGTTTTGGATGACCTCGATTCACAGGCCGCCCGCGAAGATAATCAGTTGGACGACGTCGATTCGGTGCTGATGGATGATAGTGATGCCTCCACAGACATGGATGATGATATGGGTGATAGTGACGAAGAGGAAGAAAATCTAAGTGAGGAGGAGTCGGAGTCGGATGATGAGACGAGACCTGGCCTGCTGGGTTTCTTCTCGAAGAATGAAACCCCTGTACCAAAAGATGGCGGAGAGGGCGGTGAAGCCTCATCTGTGGGCCACAAACACATCGATATCAAATCGGCATCGGAGGGTGAAGATGACATTGACTTCGAAGATCAAGATGAAGTATCCCTAGTTCCGATTGGACCAACGACCAGCGAGGGTACCTCAACAGAAGGTACGCCCTTACATATCGCCAATGCTTCTGAAGCCTCTCCTGCTACTGGAGGAGAAACACCTGTTGTTGACACCCCGATGGAAGAGCTCGCCAAAGCCGAAGCCGAAGCTGAGGATGCAGCGACTGCTGGTGTTGTACATGACATTGACCAAATCCACGAATTGGGAACCGCTAAGCCAGAGACCGAGGAGGCAACTCCCGTCCACATCGCAGATGACATTGAACACCCCCAACTTATGGAAGTAGATCATGTTCATGCCATCCGACCAAGCGGGGATATATCCAGTGAGCCGTCGCCGGGAACCTTCGCGAGCAAGCCATCCGAGCCTGATTCAGTCTCGTCGCTCGAGCCTGCGATCGAAAAGGCATTGCAAATAAGTCACTCGCCTGCCCCAGGCCTACAGACACCCATTCCACACATCCTGCGTGGTACGCTACGTGAATATCAGCACTACGGATTGGATTGGCTTGCGGGTCTCTACAACAACCACATCAATGGTATCCTGGCAGACGAGATGGGTCTGGGCAAAACGATTCAAACCATTGCCCTTCTTGCCCACCTTGCCGTGGACCATGGTATCTGGGGGCCGCACTTGGTAGTCGTTCCCACCAGTGTCATGCTCAACTGGGAAATGGAGTTCAAGAAATGGTGTCCGGGTTTTAAGATCATGACTTACTATGGTAACCAAGAAGAACGCAAACAGAAACGCCGAGGCTGGACAGATGACAATGCCTGGAACGTGTTGATTACGTCGTACCAACTCGTTCTGCAGGACCAAATGTCTCTCAAGCGAAAGGACTGGCACTACATGATTCTCGATGAAGCACACAACATCAAGAACTTCCGCTCACAGAGGTGGCAAGCCCTTCTTACGTTCAAGTCCCGTGCGAGGCTTCTCCTGACGGGTACACCACTGCAGAACAACCTCACCGAACTGTGGTCTCTTCTGTTCTTCTTGATGCCTTCGGATGGTACCAATGGTGGCGTCGACGGGTTTGCTGATTTAAAGGATTTCTCTGAATGGTTCCGGCGCCCCGTTGAACAAATTCTGGAGCACGGCAGGGAGACTATGGACGAGGAGGCCAAGGGCGTAGTCACCAAACTTCACACCGTCCTCCGCCCGTACCTTCTTCGTCGACTGAAGGCCGATGTCGAAAAGCAAATGCCTGGCAAGTACGAACATGTGGTCTACTGCAGGCTATCAAAGCGTCAGCGATACCTTTACGACGGCTTCATGTCGATGGCTCAGACCAAGGAGACCCTCGCGTCCGGAAACTTCCTCTCCATCATCCACTGTCTGATGCAACTCCGTAAAGTGTGCAACCACCCCGATCTCTTTGAGACCCGACCCATTTCAACGTCCTTTGCTATGCCGCGGTCTGTGGCTATGGACTTTAATATCAAGGAATCCCTCGTTCGACGACGACTACTCTTTGAACACCCACTCACCAAGATCGACTTGGATTTCCTCAACCTCGCACCCATATCACGGGAAGATATCTCACGACGGCTGGCCGACGACAGTATCAGGCTGATGGCCATTGGCCCGTTCAAGACTCTCCGAGAACGCCAGTACAACCGAACCAACTGGGAAATGGGCTTTGACGGTTCCAACATGCAGACCATCTTAGAGTCATTGGAGAACGCTTGCCGGAAGAGGCGAATGGCGGAATTAGAGCGGTGTCTCTACTTCGAATCCAAGCGGCATGGCCGTCGGCCAGTATACGGTAGCAGCCTGATCGAATTCCTCCGGGCCGGGACCAAGGAACACGCGCTATCCAATGCGCCACTGCGGAAGCGCTCAATGGCCGACTGGTTGTCAAGCCGGTCCTCTGTCCTCGCGTCGATGATTCTGACCGTCGAGGAACGGGCTCTTGAAATGCATGGCTATGTCCAGAGATTCGCCTGTGTCACCCCCGCTGCCGTGGCCGCGGGCATGAGCGAAGCCGCCTTGACTCCCGTCGAGACCCGGCTTTTGACGAATAATCGCCCAAACCCGCCATACGATCCTTTCCACGAAGCACGGATGCGGCTCTCTATTGCGTTCCCGGATAAGAGATTACTTCAATACGATTGCGGTAAACTGCAGCGCCTCGACAAACTCCTACGTGACCTCAAAGCCGGTGGCCATCGAGCCTTGATCTTCACCCAGATGACCAAGATGCTCGATATCCTCGAACAGTTCCTCAATATCCATGGCCATCGCTATCTCCGACTTGATGGAACTACGAAAGTCGAGTCCCGACAGATGCTCACGGAACGATTCAATAGCGACCCCCGCATCCTCGCTTTCATCCTATCGAGTCGATCCGGAGGTCTCGGTATCAATCTTACGGGCGCGGACACGGTCATCTTCTACGATCTAGACTGGAACCCAGCCATGGACAAGCAATGCCAGGATCGCTGCCACCGTATCGGTCAAACCCGCGATGTCCACATCTACCGCTTCGTATCCGAGTATACCATTGAATCCAACATCCTCCGCAAAGCAAACCAGAAGCGCATGCTGGACGATGTCATCATCCAAGAAGGCGAGTTCACCACAGACTACTTCACCAAGCTGGACGCACAAGGGATCGTCGAACCCGACGAGCGCGACGGGCAAGACGAAGCAAGTGCGGCGATGGACCGAGTCCTCGGCAACCGGGTCGGCGGAACCCGTGTCTTCGAAGCAGCCGAGGATAAGGAGGATCTAGACGCGGCGAAGAATGCCCAAAAAGAACAGGAGCACGCCGACGATGGCGACTTTGAGGAGCACGCTTCGCACGGAACACCTGCCCAGGCTGGAACACCGTTGGCCGTGGAAGACGGGGCTGCGCCAGTTCCACTGCAAGTGTCTGGTGACCAGCCCGATGGAGAAGTGCAGCCGGGTCACATTGACGACTACCTCTTGCGCTTCATGGAGTGGAACATGAGGGATGAACCCCTGGTTCTACCGGCAGATAAGAGCAAGAAGAAGTCCAAGAAGGGCAAAGAGCATCATCTCAAGAGGCGTCGTTAGAGCCATTATGAGATCAATGCTCTGCCTCCTATTTGACTCCACTCCGACCGTTTCACGTTTCAATAATCCCCTCACGTTAACCTGTTTTTTCTCCTATGGGCTTGTAATAGTGTGCTGTGTATAATCCAGGCGTTGGAGATGTCATGTTTTTTTGTCCTTTTTCTTCTCTTCTGATTAGCTGTCTTTATAACTTTTACTTTTTTTTTCTTTCGCTCGATTCTGGTCCTATTCACTGTGTTAATCCTATATCAACCAAAAAAGACCCAATAGAATCAATTAGCAGAAATGAATGTTAACAATTTCTCAAATCAATAGTCTATTTCCCGGAGATTATACTCAACTAGACAAGTGGACCGGAATCCATATAGGCAGATCATCTCCAACCGAAGGTCCCTTGGATCTGGCTATTGGGGTCTAGCTCGGTGTTTATATTAATATCAATAGCGTGAGAATCGGGAATTGTGTATTAGGAAAGGTGCTACATAGGGAATAGTGAACATCTCTATATGTTGTATAGTACTTTCAGAATATCCAAGTGCATACTCCGTACTCCATAGGTGTATTTAAATGTAGTACGGAGTACAATATAACTACTTATAACTACTCCGTATGCATCTACAACTAGCAAGCTATCAATTTGGGAAAGAGCAGAATCTCGGGTTTCCCCCTTTTTCTCCAGGGCTGGATATCGAATTCTCCCATGGCTCGGTCGGTCCCAAAGCCAAGTACATCGGCAAGTCTTCTCCGAATGTCGACCGCGTGGTTGAAGTGGAACTGGAGTCATGAGGAAGTTGGAAGTGGAGCCGCACATTCTGCAGTGGCTATACGACTCGGATACGCATACGGAGTACAAGATATGGATAATATCTTTTGCACATGATCTCCAGGGAAGACGAGTGGGGAGATATTGAGCCAGTTGCCGAATATTTCCCGGTGTGTGAACGTTGATTTGGCGTGATTTGAGCTGTTGGGGTCAGGGTCCCACTGATCTTCTCTCCAAATCTCCCCCCAAATGATGCGAGAGAATTGGGAACTGGTAGGGCTCTCTCGGAGACACTCCGGACTCCATTAAGCTTTGGAAAGTGCCTCCTTTGGAAGAGCAGATCCATGGTGATCCGGGGATCTCGCTACGATTTTATAGAGATGGTATTTTCTCCATTGGACCGAGAATAAAGGGGGGGAGATGAAAGCGGTTCGCTTTTAGGTCCAGAACAGATATTTCAAATAACTTTTTTGTTCTTTGTTAACGGCTGTGAACATCAAAGGAATGATCACCGTTTTAGTTCGGAGGCGCGCGGGTGAGCAAATGCCGATGCGCTAGGAGGATCTGGTTTCATTTTTCGTTGCCTCCTTTTGGAAACCCGTTGGATTTGAATAAATCCTCATAAAACAAAGAAGATAAAAAAAGTAGCCGTATCCAAAGACTCGGCATTTCTCCAGGTCATTTCCCGAGGTGGCGAGAACATAAGAAATTGCCTATCCATGGATGAAGGGGTCTTCATATAACCCAAATAGATATGTGACATATGCAGGTCGAAAGTGATTGGCAGGGCTCTTTTCATGCAGTGTCGGGCCCGTGCTGGCTTTTTTTTTTCTTTTTCTTTTTCTTTTTCTGATTCGCTCATATTCTCTAATGTCTCTCGATTAGAGAGGTTCATGAGAAACCCCCTAAGAGGGGGAGGAGCGAGTCAGGATGTTAAGAGTCCAATAAATCCACTATTGAGGACCTGGGCAGATCGTCGATCAATTTGCCAGATCGATTGGCATTCGCACGAACTCGTACTCCACGGGTGTCACATCATTGGTGTAAGTCGAGAGGGGGCTTTGCACTAGTTCTGACACCATATGCCTTAGCGGGCTCACCAGCCGAAAAGGGAAAAATAAAAAGGAAAAAGAAACTGCATTGGGTCTGGGGCAGAGAGGCACCGCTTTTTTTCCCAGCAATTTGGGCCCCCAATAGCGTTGGATCGAAGCACATGGTCTTCTGAACCTCGGAACTGAATTTGCAGCACATGCCCACCCTGGACACTTCCCAAGGTTGCACTTCCGTACCCCATCCATCATCCATTGCTTCGGATTTCTCAGTTCTGATTTTGGAGAAAGGTCCGGTGCAGAACCATCGGGTCAGTACCGTGGAGGATCCCGAGGTGGCGGTGATCGGCGACCATGAAGTCCAAGACGCCATCCGCGGGTGAGAGGAGGGCTTATCTGGTTTGGAGTATGACCGTATTGGGATAAAACTGGGTCCCGGCTAGCAATGCACAGTAAATCACTCTCGCTTCTGGGGAACTATACGCATGTTACGGCGCATGGTACGGAGTGCTGGGACTTCCGATTTCCGGACATGATCGGACTGAATTCACGTACAGAGTACATGGATCTGAATATCTTCTCGATAGGTCGAATGTTAGAAGAAAGAAAAGAAAAAAAACCAACAGTTAAAACTGCGCACTCCGTACTGCGTACACCGTAGAGACCGAGGTGATCAATCCATTCCAATATCCGCTTTGTTAAAACGCGCCAAGCTCTCAACTGGGGATAGTGAGACCGAGCAGAGCTGCTCCGCTTAGGATGATCCACTTGGAGTAATGACATCGCCCTGATGATCGACCTGACCCATAACCAATGAAGGATGCTCTGCGAATCTCGTTGATGATCGCCGCTGGAACGGATGCTAAGACCCAATGGATCCTCAAGGAGGGACAGATTGTGTGCTATAGGGTTCCATAATGACAGAACCAAGACAATGGAGATGTGGAGGTAAGAGGTGAGAGGTTGAGAAGTGGAAGTGGGTGAAGTTGGGAGTTGGCCCTAACAAACCACTCACATATTATATTTTTGGGGGATTTTTATTTTTATTTCTCCCTAAACCCATTTCCCCCATTTCTACATATAATAGTCGTTGTCTCGCCCGTTTCCTGTCTCTTTCTTGTTGATCATCTTGATCTTCGTACTATTTCCCCCCTTTCCACTCCCCTGGACTGTGCGTCAATAATGAAGACTTCCATCTCCTCCGATGTATGGGAGAAGAAGAAGGCGTTGATTTCCAAGTTGTATATGGAAGATGAATGGCCCTTGAAGCAGGTCATTAAGCAGATACGTACCGATGATTTCAATCCTAGGTGAGTACATTGATGTTCCATGTCCGAGGACTCTAATTCATCGACTATCAACTAACACCTCACAGTGAAACCCAACTACGAAGCAGACTGAAGAAATGGCGAGTGACCAAGCCATCTCGCCAGACTCGGAAGAAGAGTCTGGCTTCAGCCTCTGGGGAAGAACCAGACTCAGACAAGGATGCGAAGCGCAAAGCATCCATCCAAAGACCACTGCCATCATTACCAAGGGAAACACCAGCCCACCATGAATGGCCTGGGCCCATGACACAACCCATCTACGGACAACCGTCCACCCTCCAGCACCCCGTCCCAGACCAGGACCGGAAATGGAGCTCTCCTATGACCCAACAACTCACTCCCAGTCCCTCCGGGGAGCATGTTCTCATCCCAGACCGCACAACAGCCGTCTCTTACCCTGACCCCAGTCCAACAACAACATCCTTCGACCACGCCACCTCCCCAATTGGCGAGGGTCTCATGCTGAACACAACCTCCGCCGTGGCCCCATCCTACCCAGCCTACCCACTCTCACCGGAATCGTGCCTCCCAAGTCCAGGCACGGCGACCACCCCCGGCGGCATTGGCTGGTCGCCCCGCGCTGTCTCAGTAGACTATGGCCTCGACCCATCCCAGTGGTACTCCATGCCCTTTGAGGCCATCACTCCCCCAGCCGTCCCTCCGTCCACGGCTGCTCCCATGGCGCCTTCAGCCAACGGCTACCTGCCCCAAGGCCATCTCTACCATCCCCAGTACCACCCCTACCATGGGGAGGCAGAGTACCCTGGCTATGATGCTAAGAACTGGAAGCGCGCTATGTCATTACAGTATGATATGGCCGGTCATCCGGCTGCCCGGCCTGAGCACGATAGGAAACAGATGCTCCCGCATACACAGCCACATGGTCCGTCACATCCTATGGTGTCACCGTCGCATACCCAGTCCGGGCCTCATTCAGTGATGTGTGCTCCGATAATGCCTTATATGGGCCATGACCATTATGCGCAGAAGCCTCCGGGCATTGGATACTAGGTGGTACTTGTACTGGCACTCTGTTAAATATCTGTTGATACCTTGATACCTTTTTGTGAAATATGGGTGGTTTATTTGTTTTGTCATACCCGATATGTTTGGTTTTGGGGAGTTTGGATGAAAAGGAAACTGTATATATTGATACCTATTGATTAATTGAGCTTGATACATTTATACTATGTACATCTATACTATGTATATCTATACTATCCATATATATCCGATGTACAAATAGACAAAAGGAAGTCTTCTATAAATGCCAAGCCCTGTGAGTTACCCGAAAAGGAACCTCGGCATCTTGCGGGGAAACCATCTCTCGGCCCTTCCAGAGCTCTTTTATTTGTACCCCGGTCACTTCCATCTCTTCACTCCAAAAGTTCAGAACACCCATCTCAATCCCAATCTACATCCTCACCAAAATGCGTGCCGTCCAAGTCAGCGAATACGTCAAGGTACCTATAACCAACCCCAACCGTCACCCCAACCCAAACTAACCACTCCTACAGGGTCCTCTAGACCTCAAAGTAACAACAGTCCCAACCCCAACCCCAACAGCGGACAAATACCTAATCGAAATCCACTCCGCCGGCACAAACTTCTTCGACATCCTCCAAATCCAAGGCAAATACCAACACCAACCGCCACTCCCTTGGATCGGTGGCGCCGAATTCGCCGGTACAGTAACCGCCGTGCCCACCTCCGCAAACAACCGCTTCAAACTCGGCGACCGTGTCTTCGGCGCCACGCAGGGCGCCTACGCTACACACGTCCTAGCCGCAGAGCAAACCCTCCTCCCCGTGCCGGAGGGCTGGAGCTTTGAAGATGCCGCGGGGCTGTTCGTCACGGCGCCGACCTCGTATGGCGGTCTTGTGCATCGCGCGGGCGTGAAAGCCGGGGACTGGGTCCTTGTTCATGCTGCTGCGGGCGGTGTCGGGCTTGCTGCTGTGCAGATTGCCAAGGCTATGGGGGCGACTGTTATTGCTACTGCGGGAACCGAGCGCAAGAGGGAGATTGCGAAGGACTTCGGGGCGGATTATGTGATTGATTACACCGATAAGGCTTGGCCGGAGATTGTGAAGGGGATTTGTAAGGAGAAGAGGAAGGGAAATGGGGCCGCTGGGGTGGATATTGTGTATGATCCTGTTGGGATGATTGAGGCGAGTTTGAAGTGCGTCGCGTGGAATGCGCGGTTGTTGGTTATCGGGTTTGCGGCGGGGAAGATCGAGAAGGTTGCGCTTAATCGGGTGCTGTTGAAGAATGTGAGTATTGTTGGCTTGCATTGGGGGCAGTATGCCAAGTTTGAGACGGAGACTGTTGGTGAAGTTTGGCAGGGGATCTTTGATCTTGTTAAGCAGGGGAAGTTCAGGGGGACTGCGTTCAGGGATGAGAGCTTCGTTGGCTTGGAGAGTGTGCCCAGGGCTCTGCAGGCGTTGGGTGGGAGGGAGACTTGGGGGAAGGTTGTTGTGAATATTGTTGGTGATGCGAAGAGCAAGCTGTAGTCTTGAGAATCCAAGACTACTGTAGATAGATACGTGGGGAAAGCAATAGATTCGATTCGATACTAAACTGATGAATGTAGATGCGCAAGGAGTCATGCTCTCGTAGACAAAGTGAAATCCCCGAAGGGAAGACTCGAGCAAGTATAACATGAACTATGAAGGCTCTTTGCTCTGGCAACTTTTGTATTTCAAAAGTGAGCTTGAGCACCAGAAGGTACCTAGCTCGCAATCCAGCTCCAGTCGGTCACGGCTACAAGACGTAGCGCTGCGGTAACTGTTCTCCAAAAGGAGAGCCCTTGAGCATGTCCAAATGGACTGGGGCAGCTGGATTGAGGAGTTGCGGATGACAGAATGTGTCTATGGTGTGATATATATCTGGGATTTGTTAGTGTACGGTTTGTGTTGATAGACAGCATAAATCAGAATAGCATTGAATTCTGAGGAATGGATTGAGTGTCCAGAGAGTGTCTAGAGGAATTTGACGAAGAAAAGAAGAAAAAATAGGGAAAATAAAGGACGATGACTCAGCATATCTATACCGCCCAGTTTCTGCCACCTCGAGGATATATCGACTTGTTCTTGACAAACACTCAAGGATCTCCTACAAATTGCATATTTAAGAGTTGATGCTCGAAAAATGGGGTATCGCGCATTGTTGCCAGGAAACTAAGGATGGCAATAAGCAAGATAGCTACAAGTACCTACTACAAGGCAAACACCAGTGGCCTGTTCCAACAGATGTCTTAGTTCTTCCCGGTCCATGCTCTGAGGCAATAAATGGGCCAGCTTGATGTCTTTTTGTTCGATGTAGAGCCTGAAGACATGGTAAGAATGTTTGTTAGGGAACATATAGTGGGAACTGCTTCTTCTTCTTCTTCTTCTTCTTCTTCTTCTTCTTTCCTATTGTATAGGATATAGAGGACGAGATATATATGTAGGTATGTAGTTATATGTACAGGTGTATAGAGTACATGAGGTGACGGCCAGAGAATTTTAGAATAGTACCTACCTTTCGTGCCGTAAGTGTGAAGAGTGGTTTGGAGAGAACCACAGAAGGTTGCACCGAGCGTTTCTGTGCTGGGCAGGAACGAGAAAGGTGAAAAAGAAAGAATTTCTATAGGAACTGTATAAATCGGGCAGGTGACATGTGACATGTGACATTGAGAAGGTGCAAGGCAGATGCCCACTTTAGGAAGGTACGTGTTGGTATAAAAGGACTCCTCCCATCTTTCTTCCTCTTCTCTTCTTCTTCCTTCTTCCTCTCTCCAGCCCTCGACCACGGTCTCTCCGTAGCCCACGAGATCGTGTAGGCGAAGGGCCGTGCATCACCTATACATAAAATACGTCAACATTACCAAGGTTGTTGAGGTCCATATAGGTCTACACCAAAAACAAACCAGTCTTTCTCGTGGAAGTTCTTTGACAAAGTCGTGGCTGAGCCTTTGGGCTCCATAGCCACTTGACAGGTCCCACGGAATACATGGGGGGTGTTTAATCACATCCTCTTTCATTATGTAGCTAGTCACCTAGGTGGTCACTGAATACATTTATAGTCGAAGATTCAATTCACATACATTTCATTCAATTAAACTATGGGAAACTGTCCGTAAGATAGCCCAAAGATTGTAACCATCAAGGACGTAGGTGCAGATTCAGATGCAGAAATCCCAAACACGAGACACGGAACTGAGAAGAGCGGAAGAAATAACTCATAACATCTTGGTAATCGTTCATTTCATAGATATCTTGCAAATGTTTTCAAATAAGTGTCATCAAGCCCGTGGAAACCCCCCTCACACTCAATGATGCCGTTCACGCATCTCAACAACAGTAGCCCAATCCTCACAGCAAGATCGGCTCATATTATGTCCACACCAGCAACAGGTCACCTTTCGAGGTAGAAGAGGCGCAGGCCGTAGATCGGACATGCCCTGGGAAGCATGAGGGACCGGGAATTGACCGAATGGCAGAGATCGTGAACCTGTCAGCTTGCGCATACTGGTGTCGGGTTGCTTCTTGGAACGGGACTTGCCCGGCTTGGAATCTGAGCCTTGAATCTCGGGGCAGGCCAGGCGCGCGTAGACTTCGGAGGGTGGATCGTGCCAGTACTTGCAGCGGCAGCAGATCACGAAGACCTTGGCGATGGTCTGTGGGCTGGGGGCTTCTTTCGCTTTTTGAGATCTTCTTTTGAGTATGCTCATGGGACCCGGTCGGGTTTGGGGGCTGCCGGTTTGACTACTTGCTTGCGAGCTGGCCTGCATACCGGGACGAATGTCGGGCTGTGTGCCAGGTTGAGGGCTGTACTGTATGCCATCAGAGGCATCGGGATGAGAGCCAGCCTGCTGAATAGGCTGCAAGACAGGCTGCGTGCCAGATTGGATGCCGGGTTGAGCGCTGGGTTGGGTGCTGGGTTGAATGAGTGGACTGACGGGAGACTCTTGTGCAGTTGGCGCTTCAACAGCAGGGATGGAGGGACTGGTATCCACGCGAGTCAGCGAATCGCGTTTGAATCCAGGGGATTCAGGTGTATCTTCGTCAGCAGTGTCATAATTTGAATGACCGTCGTGGGAGGAGCTGTGTGAAGGAGTGCGGCTATGTCCTGGTATGAATCCACCGGGTCCTCCAACAGCAAGGATATTCCTGGGAGTTCGGTGGAAGTAAGAGAAGCTCGACGGGGAGATCTCGCAGGAACATTGTAAGTGTCATTGGTCAGATCTTTAGATGTTCGGCTGTTTCTGTCGCCGGGCGAAACACTTCCTGTATGGAATGGAGATCTGACTGCTACCTGGAAAGGAGACGCCGGGATTTCCCTGAGCGTATCGGTTGACGTGGTTGGCATTCTTCGAATCTCGAGACTCCGTCTTTCGCTCTTGACTGGGATCTGTGGCATTTCGATCGACTGCTGGGTCTCTTGGAAGTTTTCCTTGAAACGACTCGAGGTTCGTTTGGGGGTATGCGAAGAAGCGATAGGCAACCGGCTTCTTCCTCGATCCTCGGGATGAGGTTGAGCGGGGGAGTGTGATGCCTGAGATGGGGTTTCGTGGTTAAGGTCTTGTGTTGTCAGCGGTCTTGGAATCCTGGAATCATCCCGGGATGATTCATCCGTATTTGCAGGATTCAGGGCGAGGGGAGACGACTTGTATGCTCGCGGGAAGGGATCAACTCGGTTCTTCCTGGCGAGGTTCCCCGTGGAATTTGTTTGTGCTGGGTTAAGTGGTTGGTAAGACCTAACACTGGATGGACTTGACGAGTTGTCGGGAGTTTCTGGAGGTGTCATCTCCTGCAGCTGACGAGCCGTAGTAATGGTAGGCGAATCAGGATGACCGGATGAATAGAAGTTAGGCTGGCTCAAGCTTTGCGACATTGGCATGCTAGTAGCCCTGACGGAACGGTTATGGAGAGTCAGACGACCGTGGGGATGGTCTGCCGCAGGCATACTCTTTCTGTCATGTTTCAGAGCTGCGGAAAACAACTCCCTATCCAGATCACCCGAGGATGCAAGTGTCACGCCGTTTCGAGCACCGTTTCCAACCACGGACCGACTACTGATGGGAATCTGCTCTGACACAGATCGATTGGACTCACGGCCGTCCTTTGTCTTCCAGGCTTCAGCCACCCTCCAGTTCTCACGAAGATCATCAGACTTTGCCGAGGCGTGCAAACGGTTGTGCTGGGCTGGTTTCGGCATTTTGTTAGAAGCGGATAGATTCAGTGCGGTGCCATGCTTGGACTGTAGCTCCCGAGTGATAGCAGTTCCAAACCTTTCCGGCAGTGTCAAAGGCAGAGAGGGTGGATTCGTATCTGTCCTAAGCTGGCTAAACTCGGCAGACGGAAAGTCTTGCTCACTCGAATTTGAATTCCGGCGCGATCGCCGGAATATCGAGGACAGGCCACTTGACGATCTCGGACGTTCTGCATTTGCACTGGAACTTCTGCTTGAGCTGCCCACAGGTTGTTTCTTGGTCAGACGGCGAGAGGATCTTTCGTAGGTTCCAAGGTCGGCCTTGGATTGAGCATCCTCAAGTGCTAGCAAGCGCTTCTCTAGTTCCTTTCTCTCGGCTTCCAGGCGCTTTGTGACACGCTTTTCTTTCTTCTTGGGTTTATCCCAGGTTGGAGATTTGTAGATATTGTCATCATCTCCATTGGGACGGGTAGGCAAGGGCGTCATTTGGGTCGGAGTACCATCCTGCCCAGGGGCCCCGTTTGTGACTGATACACTTGAGCCAGGTGTACCGGTGGAGGGCAAACGAGAGTTGGAGGAGTAAGAGAACGAGCTGGGCCCTGTCTCATCGTACGAGGAGTGCTTCGCATAGGGATTATTATCGGTTGTCTCATGTGCGAGAGCTTCGCGAGCGAGAAAGGGAACTGGGGGAACGAATTCGCCATTTTGACTGTGTCGTCTCTTCAAGGGGTCAAATCAAGTTCCGATTCTTTTTTGCCTTTTTACTGTGACTTACATCGATAGATTTGCTAAAGACGCGGTGGATGTGGTTCGAGATGGATGATCGACGGGCCCTGCGGGGCGGATCGGTGGAGAAGGTCTCCATTGTTTGGTAGATTGGTTTTAGCGAACGTGAAAAGAGAGTGACATTGAACTGGAAACAGTAGATCGAGGGAGCGTGGGAGCGTAGAATCGTAGAATCGTGAGGCGTGAGACGTGTGGATGTGAAGTAAGTCAGAGAAACAAAAACGAAAGACAAAGGCCCAAGGCCAAAGGAAAATACAGAGAAAGGAAAAGGAAAAAAGAAGAGAATTTGCGTTCAGTCGAGAATCGAAGAAATTCCAAATCTGCTGCAGCTGAAACCTTCCACAGAGCTATTCTTAGCTTCTTAGCTCTTTTTTTATTTTCCTGATCTGTAGATTTATACACTACATATGTACATTTATGAAGAAAATGATAAAATGATCGAAATCCAAAGAAACTTAGTCTAATTCTAAACCCTTGGGAATTGTGAAACTGTCAGAATGAGAGAATCCAACAGTCGCACCCCTCCGCTTGGCATCGAGAATCTCACCTTTACATCTCCCCGACAAAAACAAAAACCATCTGAGCCTTAAAAACTATTACTCGATACAAAACCTACAGAGAGCTACACAATGTCCAACCAACACGACCTCCCGCCAAGTTATGATGCATCACAACAATCCTGGGGAACCTCCAGTACCCCACAGTCAGACCCATCCTCCAACCCACCTCCATATCACAACTGGCAAGAAGCAGTCCCAGACACAGCTACATTCCCACCACCCCCAATCACCGGCTATCTAATCTCAGGCACGGGGAACGCCTCCGAGGACGACGCCCAGCGCGCCCACGACTTTTGCGACTCCGTACCCCTCTGGCTCCCAACCCAGCCCTCAACCGCCGTCTACCACGACGTGCAGGCCCACGATCTTCGACCCGTGCATCCAGCCGAGCTGCGTGGCCATGTTTCGGCTGTTGCGCGCGGCCGCTGGCGTGGACACAGTGGCGACGGGAACGGGGATTGTGTCATTCTTACCCAGCTGCCCATGTACTTCCCTGCTGCGGACTCGCCGTTTGTGCGTGAGCAGAAGAAGACCATCTACTTTGAGGTTAAGTTGTTGGCGTTGAGGGCGGGGCCGACACCGCAGGATTGTAGTGGGATTTCGATTGGATTTGTTGCGCAGCCGTATCCGTCGTGGAGATCGCCTGGTTGGGAGAGAGGTGGGTTGGGGGTGTTCTCGGATGATGGGTGTCGGTTTGTGAATGATTCGTTTGGGGGTCGGGATTTTACGACGGCCTTCAAGGTGGGTGAGACGGTTGGGTTGGGGATGGAGTTTGAGCTGCCGGAGAATATCTGCAGTGGGGATAAGAAGACTAAGAGATGCAAGGTGCATATCTTCTTCACGCGGAATGGATGCCGATCTGGGGGCTGGGATCTGCATGAAGAGGTCGATGCGGATTCTGGGGGTGTTGAGGGCTTGGAAGGGGACTATGACCTCTATGGGGCGATTGGCCTGTTCGGTGGCGTCGATTTCGAGTCTTGTTTTGACCCTGCAGGCTGGCTATGGAAGGAATGAAGTGATGTCTGCCAAGTATCTTTAGGAAGTCAGGAGGGCACGAGGGTCAGGTCATAGGGCTGAACGGTTTTTTTTTTTTTGCTTTTTGCTTTTTGCTTTATGGCGTATGGCTTGTGACTTTATGGCTTTTGGTATGCTTACATGTGCATAGCTAGTACAGCTTGATAACACAACAATTAAACTTAACATGAAGTCAAATCAGAAACACTATTACGAAGAACATATCCAAAGCCAAGCCAAAAAACACTAACATCTCGATGCCTAACTAATTTACACGGCCTATTTCAACGGCCCACGCCGAGGCTACATACCCTGCATAGCGTAAACGAGACCCTGCACGTGTGTTCTAGAAAGGTATTTTCATTTTTCATTTAATTCCCTTGGCCTTCCTAGTAACTGCAGCGCATTAGTGGCCGGGGGATGCACGAGGTGCAGTTCCGCTACAACGACCGTCTGATGAGCAGGCGCATCTCTGCCGCTTTTCCGTATGGTCCCCGGTCTATCCCAGCTGCATGAACGGCAGTAATCGTTTTATTTGACGTCAGGATGCGCCGAGCGCATTGCGATCTTTGTCCTTTTGCACATGTAGATATTGGCGGTTGGGCAGTTTCAGGGAGTTCGTGCCCTATTTTATACGTACATGTATATATGTATGATAATAGTGGAAGTAGTACTCTGTACATAGAGGATAGACGGGATAGAATAAGACGAGCAGGGTACAAGTGAGGCTGAGACTTGGGATAAATATACATGTAGCTAGACTTGACCCCGGTACTAACAAAGAATAGTGCGCACTGACAGCAATACGGAGATAAGGCCACGCTCGGCGCTCTTCTAAACATGTTCGTTAAACGACTATTCATTTTAACTCGTATCTGCATATCAATTGACACCCCGGGGGTTCATAAGACGTGATTAGTACGAAAGAGCCGCAATCTCCGACAGTTGACTATTGAAATCCCTCAAAGTCAAGTGTTATATAGCCAAGATAACTGAGATATTGTACGGAGCACAATGTACAGATATCCATAAATGTATCTCTAAATGGAGAAGCCGACCTTGGGTTCTCCTCTATTAAAATACCCCGTACGGTAATTGCAGTACAGGTGGAGAAGCGAAGTGATAATCCCGAGACTGCCAGCCACCAAAAGCCCATTTCCTGCAACTAACCCAAACCCACCAGAGAGCGGCTAGAGTGGCACGGATGTTTCCACCTTGGAGTTACAACATATACTCTTAATATCATCCTATTGCATTAGGATTAGGGAAACACGGGCTCATATTAGCGCCAGGGCTCCTATCTTGTACATCACCTTGACATATTTATTCTATGGATGTTACATGTTATATGAATCCAGTCTCCTTGTTTTATTTATTTTTTTATCTTTCTCTATGTTGTACTGAGGGGTAAATAGAAAAGTCACAATGGGGTTGTGTTCTACATATGTACCAAGTATCTTTGTTCGATCCACTCAAAAAGTTACGAATCCCCCCCCACGGCCGATCTAAATTTCTGAATAATACTCTGCTATGTTGTAAGGTAGGAAAAGAGTTCAACTAAACCTCGAAAGGGTAAGAGAAATATTATCCTTGAAATGGGTTTGGCCGAAGGGGAAATTTGGTCTGATCGACTGCATGTCATCGCCCCTTTTTCCCGTGACAGTTCCCGTTTGGCCCCCACCTATTGATTTTGATATCCCGGACTGACCTCGGGTCTATGCGCCCAAACCCACAATACCTTCCCCCTCTCTTTTTCACAAATCATAATATTGAAAGTGAAATAGAAATCCGGCCATTCCCGGCTGCTCGGTGGGGTTGGAGCGGGTTCAGTACACTACTGGGAGTCCGTGCAGCCGAGATACGCGTTTGTTTCACTCAAGACGTGATCTGGCCACGGCCGGAGACCGTGGCCATTTTGTACTTTTCATGTCCTTTTCGGCTCGGCCGGAGACAGAGAGAGATAAACGGGGCTAAAAGATACAAGGTACGGAATATGCATATGCAGAGAACCCAGATGGAACTGTTGCAGATAAGGGAAAAAAAAGAACGGGAAGAAATGCCAATGAATTGCCAGTTATAGAACCCTGTAAAGAGAGGTCTTAGCCATTTTTTCAAAAGTACTAGATTGCGAGTCTGGACGATCACAACCGAAAAGATATCCAAAATAGGCCTTCTGCAGATGCATTAATTCCAAACCTCACCGGCCGTGCCCCCATTCCGCTAAGGCTGGAACACCTTTTAGACGCCAAAGCGACACTGGCGCGAAGTCAGCGGTTGTCTCCCATGAAAGAAAGGAGGTGACGGGGTTGATGAATACCAATCATGATCCTGGTTTCGGGGTTGTGTCTGAATTGAGCAGAGACTACATGTTAAAGTAGTATAAACCAGGATATATAGTATAGGTTAGTATACTCTGTACTCCGTAGGTTAGTCTTGGTTAGTGTTATAGTGTGGGATATTGGATATTTTTTATGCGCTATACTAATGTGAGCACGGTCCATTTCACTTTCACATTCCAGTGTATACCGGGAGATTTACCTTCGAGGCAGCTGGTTGCCCTTCTTAAAGCAATCAGGCGACATTGCCTTTTCAGGTTTTCCCATATTTTCCCATATTTTCCCAAGTTTTCCTGTTTTCATATCTTTACCAAACCTGTTAGTAATGTACTTTTATGGATATGACCTTGGAAAATCCCATTGCCCCACTGAGCAGTTACACGGGCACTTTAGCGATCGCCACCAGGATTACGGATTACCCGTATTTTTGTCTTTGTCTTTTTGTCAGTTCGAGGCCTTGTCTTAACTCCGTACATATTCATGTATTAAGCATTTGTCTCCAAGTTACAGGCACTTTGTTCCGACCAATATGCATGTTACTAGTAGTTGCTAATCTGTCTTGCTCCGTATATTGTAAAGAAAAAAACTAGCCCGAGTACGGAGTACTTTTGCTCCATTCTGCTGCGGACCACGCTAATTAGTACAAGTAGTGTCTAAATTTCGCAATTGTTCCACAAATCACCTTTTTATCAATAGAAGTATCGCACAGCATAACGGGAATACAATATATGTATATAAATAGAGTTATCTCTAACGTCTTATAAGCTCCGGTCCTGGAGGAGTTGGAGTTCCGTGAAGAGCTGCATCGGATATGTTCTCTATTAGAACTGTGCCTTTTTACCGATATAAAAAGAATAGATTGGTACCTGAGAACAAAGTACCTTCGGGTTGCATTGGAAGAACAACAGGTGGTATGCATCCAACCCAAACGGTTGCCTATCCACGATCTTATGTTTTAGATCTTTTATATATTTTTGTAAAATCACTAAACGAGTTTAGCATAATAATAAAAAGTATAAATTAAAAAAAAAAAAGAACGAACGAAAGGTACATGCATATGTTCCCCACAGGGCATGCTCATGCTCAAGCTGAACTTCCATTTTGAATGTTTATCATGCTGATATATTCGTCCACATGATTCAAACCCCGTAAAGTATGTATATATTTTTGTATATATATACGGAGTCCGTATATATAAATATATAATGTAAAATACGTAAATCAATACTCTGCATGGGCCCCTCCACAGGACTAGATCCAGGGTCTCTGACGCACGAGGCAAAAGACCACCTGCAGCACACTCAAAACGACAATCAAGACTGGGGCATATAGCTTTTTTAGTTCGGCGCTTTTTTTTATTTTTTTGGTTAGTGTATATATATAATATTTTTTTTTAAAAAAAATGCATTTTTTATATTTTAGATTAATATTATTCTATATTACCCTATTTATTTTGTTAGTTCGTCGCATGTGCTGCCTTTCCTTCCTACTTTAATCTCTCCCTCCCTTCAATCGAAGCGCTCATCTCTTTTTCCTTTTTTTTCCCCTTCTCTTTTCCTTTTAAATCGAAGGAAGCATTGTCTCCTTGACATTCGTTAAGACTTGGATTGACTAAGCCTACAGAGGCAATTGACCACCGCACTTGGTCAATAGGTATAGCGCATTGGATGCTTATACCTCTCTGCATCTCTAAAAAGAGGTTCCCCAAGAAAATCAGTTAGGGTTACGTGGGGTCAAGCTTCACACCATGGCATTCCCGTTTCTGCGAGCATTCGTCACACTCTTGTGAGTACACTGTTGGGAGCTCAATCCGACCAGTAGCTAACAAAGTAACCAGTCTCTATCGCTACACCCGACTCGTGTTCAACTTGTTCTCCTTTTGGACATTCAAGCCAATCCCACCACCGGAGAACCCCAAACTGACATCGCAAGATGTGACAGTGATTATTCCATCATTGGAGGGGTGCGGAGATGAGCTGGTGGAGACAATCCGAACAATTCTCGACAATCAACCTTTCGAATTGCTCCTAGTGACAATCGAGGCCAATCGCACCAAGGCCGAGCAGATGCTGAGCGCCATGCCAGCATCGAAATCCCGAATCCGTCTGTTCACAGTCAAACACCCCAACAAGCGCCGCCAAATGACCAGAGCCATTCCCGAGGTCCGGACTGCTATTACCCTTCTTGCCGATGACGACGTGAGCTGGCCGCGGACTCTACTCCCCTGGATTCTGGCCCCCTTCGAAAAGGACGAGAAGTACGGCGGGGTGGTCACCTGCCAGCGATTGCGCCGGGCCATTGCGCCGAGCCTCTCACAGCGCGTCTGGGGCTTCTTGGGTGCTTTGTACCTGGAACGACGCAACTTCGACTGCGGCGCGACTACCCATGTGGATGGCGGACTTCCCTGCATGTCGGGACGGACGGTTGCGTATCGGACACAAATTCTGCAGAATGAGGCCTTCACCTATGCTTTCACCAATGAGGAGTGGTGGTGGGGCAAGTACCAACTCAACGCCGACGATGACAACTTTATCACCCGTTGGATGGTCTCGCACGGATGGGAAACTTATATGCAGTACCACCCAGAGGCAGAGGTGCTGACTACTCTCGAGGACAACCCTCGTTTCTTGAAGCAATGCGCCCGCTGGTCAAGAAGTAATTGGCGGAGCAATTTGACTTCGATGTTTCACGAGAAGCACATTTGGTAGTAAGTGCAACTTTTCTCTTCCCTTGAGTTGTCTTACCTTCACTTTTTTTTTCTCTCTCCTTCCTTTCCCCCTCCATCTCGTTGGTTTTCTCTTTGATCGGGTCAAAAAGAGTCTAGACATGAGGCCCTCGGTGTGACCTTGGAGAAACAATGAAACAAGATTGAAGCAGAATGCAGAACAGAGCTAACAATTTCTGTAGTCGTCAGCCCTGGAGCGCTTATGCCGTTCACCTGACCACTTTGTCGCCGCCTGCCTTTTTAGGCGACATTTTACTTGTTTGGCTGTGCCACAAGGCGACTGGATCGTGGGAGAGTCATTGCACGATCAATCCATGACTATGCTCTACCTTTGGATTTTCACTAGCAAGTGGATTAAGCTGTTGGGTCATTACCTTCGCTATCCGGTCGATGTGCTGTTGCTACCAGTATCGATCATCTTTGGTTATTTCCACGGCGCAATCAAGATGTATGCCGTAATGACCTTGAATGTGGTATGTTCCTTTTTTTTTTCCCTTTTATCTTTTACATATTTTGCATTTTCTTTTTCCTTTTTCCTTTTTTCTCTTCTTTTTTTCTTATCTGCATATACGCCGAGTGTATCCAAGCGTAGCCCCTCTCCTATGACAACTCAGCATCACAGCGCTTTGATCATCGTCTCCTCCCGCTTGCAGCTCTGTTTACCCACTATTTTCCTATTCTCCCGATTATTTCAGATCGCCCAGCTATTTGCATTTCTGATTTGATCTTCTGCATGCTTTTTCCATACATCCAAGAGCTGAGCTGACTTTGAGTTTTTTTTTTTGTTACAGACAACATGGGGTAGCCGTGATGGCGCCGATGATTACGATGCTGAGCGTATGAAGAAGCGGACGGATGCCGATCGAATGAAGCAACCGTACTACCCGCAATATCTCATCAAATGAGGTCTTCGAATTTCGAAGGTCCATTTCCTGTTCTCCTTTTTCCTCGGGGATTGATTTATGTCCCTTGGATGTACTGGGAACATTTGAACAGACTTGGCCCTTTATATCATTCATGACGAAACGCCGTGACGACACCCACATGCTCTTTGATTCTAGATCTGCCGTGGCTTTATCCTTTTTTTTTTTTTTTCCAAACCTTCTACCCTGCTCAGGCTGTGTCGCCAAGTTGTCGAGAGTGATACGAGCTGAGAAGTGGAAATGCTCCTCTCCAACGTCAATCCCTAATGAGGCGTCTTTTTTCCCGTTTTTTCTTTTCTCTGCGCATGATTGCCTATCAAAAACAAAATGGTCTTTCGAGACCTTTTTCCCCTTCTCTTCTTGTAAATTACAAAAGCATGGGCGGATGTCGTTTTGCAATTGTTGACTCTTTGCGTTTCAGTTCGCTTTTCAGTTTTGATTCCCCTGGGTTTTTCGTGAGAGCTTTTTGTCCCTTTTCCTTAGATGCAAAGGTGGTATTCTGGACTTTTAGTTTTTCTCTCTTTTGCTTTTCCAAACTGCAGATAATTTCTAATTGATTCAAATATATACTATTTGTCCAGGAAGATAAAGAACAAAGCCCTAAGTACCTCGGGGAGCAACGCGTCTTGTCATAGTTCCCAATTTTGATGACATGCAGATGGTTTGGCCTAGAACCAGCCCAAATAGGCTTGGATGTGGTAAGAAAATAGCGTCAAAGCTGATCATTGATAGGTACGGGCTAAGTACATATAATATATGTGAGACAAGGTACATAGATACTTCGTAGATTGTACAGGTCCCGGTTGGGATTAAAGTTGTGTGGGCATGAATGATCTCGACATATATTGCATGATCTCTTGCATAGGGAGTAAAGTTCCTCCAGGGCTGTTAAGGCTGTTAGTTACATTTTCCTTTTTTTGCCCTTCTTATCTATATTTTGTATACCTTTTTTTTATGATACTAAGGGACCTGTATATTATGGTTTAACTAGGAGGACCGAAGCTATATACATATTAATAAATACTTTTCTTTTTCTTCTTTTCTTTTCCTTTCGTATCCGTGCCTTCTATAGAGATATAAATTCGTTAGAAATCGTTAGCTAATTGCTAGGTTAAGACTATTCCTATATAGTATAAACGGTTTAATTATAATCCTCCTCAGTTAAGCTAGGGCACCCTTCTAGCTTAAGATCGGTTTCGTAGGCATATTTACACTAGAAACAATACCGATATATCTCCTATAGAAAGAGAACCAGCTTATAGAACCGCTTAGCTAGCTCTAGCGTATTGAAGGCATCGAGTTCCTTATTATCTTCTTCTAGCTCTATCTCTAGTGTAGAGGTATTCGGATCTAGTTCACTCCCAAGCGCCTTTTTATCTTCCCGGTTTATAGCCGGGCCATCATGTACCCTAGTAGCCGTGCTTTAGGGAAAAATTAGCCCTCAACCCTAATAATAAAGGATTCCAAATGATGGCAAAGCTTGGGTTCAAACCCGGTGATGTACTTAGTAAACCTGCTACACCTAGCGACTCTGACGCTGCTAACACCGACTCTTCCCTAAAGGCGCGCGCTGAGCCGCTGAACCTAACTTTGGATATATAAACTTTTAAGTTTAGAAATGGCTACATATATGCACGCGAGGTATAAAATTCGGATATGACGTAGTGAATAGAACGTAATAGGTATAGTAAGCTGTTCCATTATGTCCATAGAGATAAATATTTATCTTTTTATATATTATATTGATTGTTGGATGTGTCACTGAGCCCTTCTGATTTCTCCTCATCTTTCTTCCTTACCACTGCTCTCAGACAAGCAACTGATTTCTTCTCATTTTCCTTCGTACCATCAGTCTTATATTGCGTCCAGCCACCTGGTCTCTGTTCATCTCGTCTCTTAGTGGTGGACCTCATCTCCGTACACATCATCTCAGTGGACATCATCTCTCAGTTCACTCTGACCCTCAGTTCTCATCCATTCAACCACCAATCTTCGGAAAGCAACAGACCTCTTCTCATTTTCTCTCCTGCCATCGAGCTCATATTTCTTCAACATATTGTTTCTACGCGACTTAGTCAAATTTGAGCATCATGGCATCTCCTGTACCTAGGACACCCGCCACTTCAGCCCTGCCGACTTCACCTGTCAACTATCAATATGGAGCCGCTGCTTCCTATTGCTGGGCCCTCGCTTGTTGGCGCCTAACTTCGTGAGGTTCCTACTATTCCCGCAAGAGAGAACCTGCCATTTAGGGAGAGACCTCAGCGCAAAGAATAATGCCGCTGCAATTTCTTCTTCCTCCGCCTCACCCAACTTCCCTACGGCTTTTCTTGCTTTACTTTTAGTTAATACCTACGGTCTATTAATCCCCCAATTCTAGTTTGCTTTGTTCTTATGCTTTGATATTCACTGCTCGCTCTTTGATTTACACTTTACGTTTCTGAGTGAACCATCGAGAATAGCGATTCTATCTCTTAGCTTAGGTTTAATTGCTATGCTGCACTATAGGTGCTATTTTATTATTCCATTTCCGTAGATTGTATTTAAGCTTGTTAAGGTTCTTATATTGACAGGTCTGGTATTTGTAAATGATCTCTTGGTAAGAGAGCCTATCTATCTACATGTACGGAGTGGGTATATGCGATATGTGGCGCGTGTGGCGAGCCAAGACTTCCCGGAAATGTTCGAGTTCCCAACTTTGGATCCAGGAACCAATTGTACAATATACCAACCTCTTCTCTCTCCATTTACCAAGTGATCCTTGAAGTAATGGCCTTTGCTCGCGCTGCGCTTCCGTCGCAGCTATCCGCCTCCGCCCGCCGCCCCGTCTCGTTATGCCGGCGCATCCACTCGTCTCCCTTTAGATCAGCCGTTGCACACCCAGTCACAGCTCACGGTCCTCCTCCTAAAGCTCCGGCTACCCCATCAGCAGAGTTCCAGGAGACGTCAAAATCGAAAGATGCGGAGCTCCCAGCCTCCGAGAGTGAAGCATCGCGACACAAACTCACTGCTGCGCTGAAGAAGCGGTTTTGGAAGGATGTCCATGTGCATGGAAAGCTAGGTATGAGTGAAATGGGCATTGGCTATCTCTTTTTATTGATTCTCGTCCTATAATGCTCGTCAGCTAACACATCCACTTCACTATCCAGACGAATATCAAGTCCTCCTGGACAAGCGACCCGTCCGAACCCCGATGAAAGAAGTCCTATCTATTCCATCCACGAAGCCTCATCTCGCCCACGCTGTTGCGCTGGAGTGGGATGTGATGCCCTCCGCCCAGCAGGCCCTGAAAAGCCACTCTATCCCCATGACCTCCCTCGCAGCCCGTGCCAACGATATCGCCCGCGAAGATGCCGAGGGCGACAGCATCACCAGAAAACAGATTATCACAACTGCTATGCGTTACCTAGATACCGATACTCTACTCTGCTGGGAGCCTGAGCGACAGATGCACGCGCTGGAACGGACGACGGCCGACGGAAAGCCCATCGAGACTCTTCGCCAGATTCAAACGAGAATTGCGGGCAATGTCATGAGCTTTTTGTCCACCAAGGTCTGGCCTGGCCTTGAAATCGTTCCTATCCTCGACACCAATAGCATCCTCCCTCTCTCTCAGCCCAAGGGCACCAAAGACAGTATCTGCACCTGGGTTTCGGAATTGTCTGCGTTTGACCTGGCCGGTCTTGAGCGGGCAATCCTTGCTTCCAAGAGTCTTCTCATCGCGGTCCGCCTGGTCGTGGAATGGAGTGAGAACTTCCGCCACATTCAGCGACCCGAGGCGAAGAAGTTCGGTATCGAGGAGGCGGCTGAGGCCTCGAGTCTGGAGGTAACCTGGCAGACTGATATGTGGGGTGAGGTAGAGGATACTCATGATGTTGGAAAGGAAGACTTGAAGCGACAATTGGGCAGTGTTGTGGTCCTTGTTAGTGGAGAGACTCGATGAGCTACGAGCGTCTGTATATTGGGTATTATATACTGTATGATAGATATAGATGGTCTGGATGGCCTGGTATGGCCTTGCTTTGCATAAATGCGTGTATTACATGTATTACATTGGATATTACTACTACCACATGTGCATGAGTTTCATATTTTGTATAGTAAGAATGGGACTCGCAACCTTGGAACCCTTACCCTCATGCCAAGGCGGAGATCAGCATCATTTGCCCCCCCAAACAAGGACCCCTACCCCGAATTTCATTCGAAGTCTTTTTAACCTTGAGCAGACAAACAGTTGATGTATTGGACATAGTCCAGTGTGCTACAAAAGGATGTCTGATCGACCTGAAGGGTAAGTCTTTATTTGTTTCTGGAACTAGGAACTCTCGTTCCATGGTTCACCATGCATCATGACAGATGTGAGACCCCAAGGGGGAAATACCTTGGCTTAACTTGGTCTACCTGTCCTGAGCCTGTACCCTTTTGAAGCAGTCACATGTGAACGGTGTACATGGTGCGGTGTATGGAATTCGTACGGACTTTGTACTGACATGCCACTGTCTCTCAGACAGAAACACAAGCGCTCTCGAAGTGCAATAGCACTTGCCCTCCTCCACCGCGACAAGTCCAAGGGTGAAGATAAAGACGCCGATGACAACGGAGATACCACCTCGGTCACCTCCGCCTCCTCAAGCCCCGGCTCGTTGAAACACACCCGCAGCAGCAGCCGCCACAGTCGTCGCAAACAAGGCCAAGACCCAAGTCCGCCACCGCCCATTCAAGAATCCGCCGAGGATATGGACACAGTCGACGACCTGCCTTCCTTGAATCAAATGGAGACTGGCAGCATGTCGCTCGAGCAGTCCGTTCGCACCTTTCGTCTCTTCGAGATCTTGCGCAGCGGCGATACCACCGCCATCTCCAAGGCCATCAATGATACTATCGACCCGCAGGGCGTGAGTTACCTCAACGGCACGACCGTCCTCCATTTGGCTCTGCAGTGCGCCGAACCCCAGGTCGTGGAATATGTGCTGTCCAACGCGCAGGACATCGATATCAACTCGCGGGATCGGGATGGAAACACGCCACTTCACATTGCCGCCCAACTAGGCCGGGGCCCGCTTGTTCGCGAATTGCTAAACCGTCCGTCTATCAACGATTCCATTGTCAACTATCGGGGTCAGACGGCTCTCGATTTGGCCCGTACCCCTGAAATCTTCCAGCAGCTTCAGCTCGCGCGGTCTCTCTTCATCGATAGCAAGAACCAGGAAATTCAGGGTTTGATTGGAAGCTCTGATTATAAGGGGTTGGAAGCCTTGCTTGAGGAACCTCGTGTGGAGGGTATTATGGATGTGAACAGCTACGACCTCGTTACCGACCCGACGACAGCTCATTCCGGTGGCACGCTTCTGCATGAGGGTGCGAGAAATAAAGATGCGCAGCTCATTGAAATCCTTCTGACACATGGTGCGGATCCTTTCCGTCGCGACAAGAAGGGGAAGCTACCGCAGGATGTTACCAAAGATGATAAAACCCGCGCTCTCTTGAAGAGATCACCCGCTGCTGCTATTGCCCAGCGCGGTATTCAGGAGAGGGCTATTCTCGGAAATAGTAATGCCCAAGGACTTACCGGACGCGTCTCGATTGGCGATGCCCCGCTTGCAGGCAAGGATGCCCGCGAGATGAGAGGTTATCTCAAGAAATGGACGAATTACACAACGGGGTATAAGTTGCGCTGGTTCGTTCTGGAGGATGGAGTTTTGAGTTATTATAAACATCAGGGTAAGTGCGAGAGTCTTGTCATCCCTCGTGACCCATCGACCCCTGCTAACTTGCTCTATAGATGATGCAGGCTCTGCCTGTCGCGGTGCGATCAACATGAAGATTGCTAGGCTTAACATGGATGCGCAGGACAAGACGCGCTTTGAAATCCACGGCAAGTCATCGGTCAAATACCACCTCAAAGCCAACCATGTTGTGGAGGCAAAACGCTGGTTCTGGTCCCTCAACAATGCCATTCAGTGGGCCAAGGATGAAGCGAAGGAAGAGGAGCGCCAGCGATCGAAGAATGCAGAGGTGCTTCGCCAGGCTAAAATCGATCAGACAGAAGGACGCCCTGCGGATACACCATCGGAGTCTGGCCTTTCTCACAAGCCCAGCACAAAGGGTCTTGCTCCTCCGTCTCTGGGCGGTGGTAGCAGCGGCACAAGGCTCAGCACATATGCATCCCGCACCACCCTGGATATTCCAGCCGGAGACGAGGATAGCTCCGCTTATGGCGGATCTTATGACCAGGTCACTGCTCCAAACGACATGAACAGAGTAATCAGCCAGGTCACATCTGCGCCGGACGGAGAGGGTGAGGATGAAGAATTTATCGACTATGGTTCAAGCCACGAGAATGAGATGCCAGCAGCTGATAAGGATGCTCTCAACATTACCGCACAATCTGCGAAGCTTCAGTTGGATCTTCTTGCCAATGTGGCTGCCTCGCTACAGGCCGAGAAATCCAAGAATCCGGAAATGACCATCGCGGATCCAGCCCTCGAACAGGCCCTCGGTGCCTATGAAGCTGCAGTCAGCAGCCTCAAGGGCCTAGTGCAAAATCTGCTCAAGATCTCGCGCGACCGAGACTCTTATTGGCAGTCCCGTCTCAGTAGAGAGGAGTCTATTCGTCAGATGTGGGAAGAAAGCATGGCCCGCGTGGCCCGCGAGCATGAGGAGCTGCAATCCAAGATGGGGGAGTCTGAGGAGAAGCGGAAGCGAACCAAGCGGGCTCTCAAGGAAGCCCTGGAGAGTGCCACGGGCAGTAGCCGTTCTATCGCCGGTGGGACATCCCGTTTGCCGACAGAGAACCAGAGTCTTGAGACCAGCCAAACCGAAGCTGGTATTCCCAAGACGATCGATGAACAAGATCAGCCTACCAAGCAACCATCCACGATACCCGCACTCTCTCGCAAACCATCAACCTACTCCAAACTCAGCAGTCTGTGCGATTCAGAATCGGACGGAGAAGAATTCTTCGATGCTCTTGATGCCGGCGAAATCGAGGTAGAGGACTTGAACAGCTCAGAGAAGAACAAGATGGAACCACCTAAAGATGAAAGTGCTGAGCTTCGGGCCGTGAAGAGTACCATCATTGCACCCTCCTTTAAGGGCTATGAAGATCCCATTAGAGAGCGACTTAAGATGGATGCTGATGATCGGCCAAAGATCTCTTTATGGGTAAGTTTGTGGTTCTTGCTTTCTTCCTTTCTCTACCGGTGCTAACCATAATCTAGAGTATTCTGAAATCTATGATCGGAAAGGACATGACGAAGATGACGCTCCCGGTGTCCTTCAACGAACCAACTTCACTACTTCAACGAGTTGCTGAGGATCTTGAATATACCGACCTCCTTGACATCGCTGCTGGTCGGACCGATTCAATGGAACGCCTGGTCTATGTCGCCTCGTACGCTGCAAGTGAGTATGCCTCGACTATCGGCCGTGTCGCAAAGCCCTTCAACCCCCTTCTGGGTGAGACTTTCGAGTACGTGCGTCCGGACAAGGGCTATCGATTCTTTGTGGAGCAAGTCAGCCACCACCCACCGATCGGAGCTGCGTGGGCCGAATCGCCCAAATGGGACTACTGGGTAAGTGCATCCGATTTCGTAACTGAATATTCTGCGGGCAGGACTAGGCTAACCAGAATTATGTATTCAGGGTGAATCCTCCCTCAAGTCCAAGTTCTACGGCAAATCCTTCGACATCAACCTGCTGGGCACATGGTTCCTGAAGCTGCGACCTTCTACCGGTGGAGAGGAACTCTACACCTGGAAGAAGGTGACCTCGTCGGTAATCGGCATCATCACTGGTAACCCTACAGTGGACAACTACGGTCTGATGGAAATCAAGAACTGGACCACTGGCGAAGTCTGCTACCTTGACTTCAAGCCCCGTGGCTGGAAGGCTTCATCGGCCTACCAGGTGACAGGCAAGGTCGTCGACAGCGAAGGCTCCCCCAAGTGGAGCATCGGTGGCCGCTGGAACGATAAGATCTACGCGCGCCACACCCCCGGCTTTGAGGCACCTGTCTCCGGTCAGGATCCCGAGTCTGCTAAGACCTTCTTGGTCTGGCAGGCTCATGCTCGTCCTACTGGTATACCTTTCAACCTGACGCCGTTCGTCATCACGCTCAATGCTTTCCCGAGGCCTTGAAGGAGTGGCTACCTCCTACCGATACCAGACGACGACCCGATCAGCGTGCTATGGAAGATGGTGAATATGATTTAGCTGCTGACGAGAAGCACCGTGTTGAAGAGAAGCAGCGTGCCAAGCGCAGAGAACGCGAAACCAGCGGCGAGATGTACAAGCCGCAATGGTTCGTCCGTGACAAGTGTCCTGTTACTGGAGAGGAGTTCTGGGCTCATAATGGAAAATACTGGGAGTCCAGAGATGCGCAGGATTGGAGCCGATCTGAGGATATTTTCTGAGAGGCTACTCGGCTTGTGGTTTGGTGGCTTTGTACAAGACACTCGACTGTCGTAAATAAACGAATGTATTCTGGATAGCTTTTTCGTGGGCATGGGCTCATTTGAATAAAACTACATACATAGCAAATGGTATATCTTTAGGTTGAATTCACCTAATCAACAGAATACTCCTGACAACATTCGAACTTAGAGCCGAAGTTGAAGATCTTCGTGCATACAACATAAATGGTCGTTATCAGTCACGTGTCGCCGCAAAAACATCCCCAGAGCTATCCGTGGTCTGATCAGTTCCCCTCCACAACCAATTGACATCGCAATGGCAGGATACACTTGTGTCCAGTGCCTACAGGTTCTCCGTCAAGGAGTCAGGGCCTCTGCCCCTCAGGCTCGCCTGCAGAGCCTCGCCACCGCGCGGAGAAGAAGCCCCATCTCCCCGTCTTTCATCCGCAGCTTTGGCTCACAACGCAACGGTCGATCGCTGGGCAACACCCCAGAGCAGCCCAAGCACACACACAATCAGACCTGCTGTGCTCCCAAGTCCTCACCTTCGCCCCTCACCCAGCGGGCAGCTCACACGGCAACCGGGTCCTCCGTCAACCCTCGGGCCGTCCTGAAACCTGACAACCTGTTCCACTCTTTCTCGAACTCGCCCTCGCCAGCAATTCGCAAGCGCGCGGAGTTCATAAAACAGAATGCCTTCTGCCCCCATCCTAGCCACCAGCAAACCCGCGCGGCCGTCTCGCCGCACGACCCCGAAGCCAGAAAAACCACCGATGATACAAACCTGCCCCCGGCCCATTCGCACTTCGAGTGCCCCGATTGCGGTGTGCCAGTCTACTGCTCCGAGGGTCATTGGATGGATGACTTCGAGGCTCACCTCGAGATCTGTGACACTCTGCGCCAGATCAATGAGGACGACCACGACCTGCACTCCGGCCGCTTCTTCCACGAATTCCATTACCCCGGTCCTCAGGATGATAACTTCGTTATCAACATGACTAACTGGGACACTTACCTCTACACCCGTGAATTCGCGGCGATCAACGACGACCGCTCCATGCGTCAGGTTACCCGCATGCTCACCTACCCCAGACAATCGGCAGTGTCCTGCACGAACTTAGCCCGTACAGTGTTCGATCCGGTGGACGACTCACACCGGAGGGATTGAAGAGTCTCAGTGGTAAGTCCTGACCCCCATTACAAGCAGTAGAGCACTGCTAGCAGTGTGTCCCCACACAGCAAAACTAATCCATCCCCAGCCCTCCGCTACACCCTCCACCCACCCAAAGCCGGTGAAAGCATCGACGTCAAGGGCCTCCGCCTGAAAGCGCCCCCGGTACGAATCTTCATCCTCGGCGCCCGCGCTGAGTCCCTCCCTCCCCCGCGACGTCTGGCTGCAGCTGCAGTACATGTACCCGCGCGCCCTGCTGCATCTGATCTTCATCGGGCCGGAGAGTATGGCGAACCGAGACGGGGAGTATCCGCTTCCCGAGCGCACGCCCGAGAACCCCTTCGGCGGCATCGTCGAGGACAGACTCGGTGGTCAGATGAAGATCACTACTTACGTGGACTACTTCCACACTATGAACAAGGCGCAGTATTTCGGTCCCTTTGATCCTTACTTGGATTGCTTCATGCTCTTCCATCCTGGTTTGGGTCACCCTGCTAGCTCGCATGAGTGGGAGGAGACGCTGCCTCAGTTGCTTGAGACGAAGGTCCCTATCATCTGTACTGGGTATACGCAGTGGGATCTGGAGCGCGATATCAACTGGGTGGGTGAGAAGTGTCGTGGGGAGTTCGATGTGCTTCTTGAGCCTGGGGAGAATATCTTCCGCAGTCTGCGCTGGGACCTGAATGATCAGGATCCTCATGATGTTTCTTGTGGAAACTGGGGATTGTGGGCCTTCCGAGGCAAGAGGTATGTGGTTTCTTTTGCTGAGTGGAGGGATGTTGGCTAACCTGTTCTGCGATAGGTACGAAGCTGCTTTCTCTAAAGAAGAGTAGGCTACATAAGTTATAGGTCTCCTTTCTGTACGATATTTTTTTGGGTGCCCGTTCTTGGGGTCATTGTAGTAGATAAGATCAGTTTCAGTCCTCTCCGAAGTTATTCATGATTATCGATGCGCTTGATGTAGTTTGTTTTTGTCAAGAATACGCCGTGGATAAAGCCATAGCTAAGCTCCCATCGAGAAGCTAGGAATCCATACTAGACGTAAGGAGTAAATACTCCCGTCATAGTTGAAGATTGTAGATGAAGCAACGGCCAGATGTAGCCACAATGAAATGTATCAATTGCAAAAAAAAATAATAAAGCTCGTAAGTCTTACACTCGTTAACAGTAGTATGACATCCAAGAGCAAAGATGCAAGCATCAATGCAGAGAAAGAATCCAAAGTCAACCAAGACAGAAAGGTAGTAGCATAAGATCAAAAATGCTTGGTTGAGATCAAAAGGGGAGTATCGAAGGTAGAAGAAAAGGGTATAAACATCGGAAGATCGGAAAACACATGTCAAAACCACCGTAACCAGAAAGTGAGGTTTAAAAAAAAGGGTATGTCAAGAACAAAGAATATGTAGAGAAGAAGATAATCCCACAGCGAAAATTATGGGAGGGACCAAGTGCGGGCCATTCTAGATGACCGAAGCAGTTCAGCACCGAGGCTGACACTGGATGCAATGCGACAGAGTCGACACCAAGATCAAGGTAACTCAAACATTTACTCGTTCAATGAGACAGAAAATGGAGTTTAGATCATGAGAAGACCAGCAATGGCGGCTGCACCAGCAGCCACGAAACCACGGAAGTGGATTGAGGCAGCACCGGCAGTGGCAGGGGCGGAAGGAGTAGCCGAGGCCTCACCGGCAGGGACACTGCTAGCTTTGATCAGGGGGGTGGAGGAGCTGGCAACGTGGCTCATGGAAGGGGTAGCACTGGAGGAGGGAGTGCTAGTGATGACAGGCGTCCAGGTCGACGAGGGAGTTTCAGTCGAGGCTGAGGTCGGGGTGGGAGTTGGGGTGGACGACGGGGGAGGAGTGTAGCCGGGAGGGAACCAGAGTGAGAGTCTTGGTGACACAGTCGGCTGTGGCAGCTTCAGCGGCGAACGTGACGGGCGCGAGGGCCGAGAGGAAGAGGAGAGCCTTGGTGAATTGCATTGTTGATGTTTTGGTTCAAAGTTGTTATGATATTGACAATTGGTAATTGCGAATTTCGAAGTGCGAAGTGCGAAGTGCGGATTGCGACAAAAGAGTGACTCGAGTCAAAAGAGCGAATGCTGATAAAAGAATGTAATAAGAACAAAAGAGTGACACTGTTTCGAACAGGAGAAGTTGCTAGAGAGACAGGAGATGAGGGAAAAGGGAGTTCCAAGGAAACCGGTATGAGACAGGTACCCAAGGCATCAAGGCACTAAGGCTGCAAGGCTGCAAGGCTCTTTCAATTGGATACTCTACCTTGTTCTTAACTTGACTATTACAGTTACGGTTTACGGTCTCAGATCAGTCCGATAGCGTCCTCACATTATCAGAAGCAAGCGCTTATGGGTATAATCAACACTGTTGTACAGGCCAAGGGCAAGTTCCCAATCCGGGGTATCAAAAGTCACAAGCAAACATCCATCCCAGTCATCTTCTATATCATAGCATCGAGGCTCGTAATCAACAGCCAGGTGGAGCTAAAATAATAGCCCAGCATTCAGAAAGCAAAAAATCAGAAAGCAAAAACACCGTTGTCAGCATTTAGAATCCCCAGACGGCAGCCACTACCACAGCAACAGTCACCCAGTACCCGCTGGCATGCAAGACCATCGCAACAGGACCAGATGCCGAGGAAGTACTAGTGCTTTCGTCAGGGGCAGTGGTACCATTGGCCAAGGTGCCATTGATGTAGATGGTCTGAGTGCCGTTCACATCGACCACACGCACAAGACTGGAGTTCTTGGGCACGGTGCCGTTGAAGAGGGACTCGTAGTAGGTGCGGTTATCGTTGTTGTCGCATCCACACGGCGAGTACTCCTGGCACACACAGACAATGGGGAGCGACTCGTTCTTGTGAGCATCATCATTGTAGTAGTTGTAGTGGTGACTATAGGGGTAGGCGTAGGCGCCGTACAGCCAAAGTCCCGGGAAGAAGCCCAGTGCAGCTCCACCGATCAGGTAGGGGGCGATTCCTCCAGCAGACCGGGAGCCAGATTTGTAGGGAGTGCGTGCACCACCCGCGTAGTAGCTGCCTCCGCCGTAGGTTGGTCGAGTGCCAGAGCCGCCACGGGTTGTACCACCAACATTGCTTGTTGAACCACCGCGACTGCCACTTGAGCCAGAGGAGCCACTTGAGCCAGAAGAACCAGAAGACCCGGTGCGGCCTCCACTTGAGCCTGAACTGGAAGAACCGGTGCGGCCTCCGCTGCTTCCTCCGCTGCTGCCGCCGCCACCTCGGCCTCCACCACCGCCACGCCGTTTCTCGAGGGTTGTAATATCTGAAGGGTCCTGGATAGAGTCCTGTATAGAGTCCAGGAAGTCCAGGGAGTCCAGGGAGTCCACGTCTCGTTCAATGAGATCGGTAGACTCGGTTTGAGGGATGGTCAGGGATGCGACCCTGGTGGAGAGTAGAAGGAGCGTTGTCGCCCAAGTGAACTTCATGATGTATCTGAGCGCTGGGTATTGAGTAAGAGAATAGAAGAAAGAATAAAAAGGTCTCAAAGGTGAGAATGCAAGGTGAACTACCTAGTAAAGTAGCGGAAGTGAAGAAGGGAAGTAACGGTATGACGAAATTCTGATAAATGCAAGTCCGACTCCTCAAGAGATTTCGGGGGCCTTTTTAAATCTTAAAAGTCTTTGAGAGTCTTAAGGGTCTTCTTTAATCTTTTCTTTAATACGGAGTATAAGCAATTGCAATAAAAATACAAAATCATCAAAGCCACCTCCGCCCCCTTTAGCGGCCTAAGAGCGAATACGAGAAGTGTTGGCTCAGTGTTGGCTATACTCTGTGACTGCAACATATACAACCTACGACTATATATGACACATGTCGCTATGTATATACTGGTAAGACACTCGTCTTCTATTGTTTCTAGAAAACTTGTCAAGAAGAGAGGTATGATATAATTATCCATACAGAGTACATATTCAAGTCTACATTGCAGATCTCTCCCACATGGGTATGATCTATGACCTGATAGGATCTCCGTTTTCTTCTATTGCTATTGCTATTACTATTTAGTATTCTAGTATTATATTACTCTATTATACTACAATTCTAAACACCAACGGCGCTCTCTTACGCGCTACGCCCTGGAGTAGAAATGAGCCTCGTTCCAAGCCCCCGTATAGAGAGACTGTCTGATCCTATTAAAGACAAATACGCCTTGTTCCCAATATTTACGAATCAGCCTCAAAGAATTGGGCACTTAGGTGGCTGTGAGACTATTTCTTAATTCTATGAAAAGATGATTCTTTAAACCTTTGAAATGTAATTGAATAATTTCCCCTAAACCAATAGTTAATAACTAACTAACTAGTTAATAGTTGATAGTCAACACTAATAGTAATAGTGGGAGCCCTGGAGATCACCGGTCGGGCACCCAACAGCTTTCCCCCTAAAGCTACCTTTCGATTTCCCCCAAACACATTTCTCATGGCACGTCAAAGAGGTCTTTCAAATGCCTCTTCCACTTCCTCGCTCCCCGACCAGGTACATGAATCTCCCATCCCTACATATGTAACCCGCGACCGCTAATGCAATCATAGGAACTGGGGAGCATGTATGATTACCTCGCCAAAGTCATCCTCCTGGGACCAAGTGGTGCTGGAAAGTGAGTACCAATTATATCCATATATCCATGACCTCGGGATACATACAAGCTTAGATCATCTGCTGACATTGGATCCTTGAACAGGTCTTGTGTACTACACCGCTTCGTGAAAGATGAATGTACAACCACCCAATCCTCTAGCTAGCTCTCTCTCTCCCTCTCACTAATATATCTTCTCTCTCCAGGGCGAGTACTCTCCTCCCAGACCATCGGTGTGGAATTCGCCTCACGCATCGTGAAACTCGGCACGGGCTCGCGCCGGAGACGCATCAAACTCCAACTCTGGGATACAGCAGGCACAGAGCGCTTTCGATCCGTTTCAAGATCATACTATCGTGGCGCAGCAGGCGCAATCCTCATCTACGATGTCGCTTCCTATGCTTCCTTCGCCTCCCTACCGACCTTCCTCATGGACGCCCGCGCCCTCGCTTCCCCGAACCTATCTGTCATCCTAGCTGGGAATAAAGCCGACTTGACCTCCGAGGCCCAGTCGGATTTCGAAGACTCCCGCCCACCTCCGACCCCATCCAGTACTTCCAGCAAACAGTCATCTATCCCTTGGGATGTGAATGGGTCGATTCGCTCGACCAGCCTGATGGGGACGGGGACTAGGTTGACTGCTACGCGTGCCTCGGAAGGCAGAGAGGTTAGCTCCGAGGAGACATCCCAGTGGGCTGCTAAGTCGAATATACCCGTCGCTGTGGAGATCTCGGCTCTGACGGGGATGGCGTGGAAGAAGTCTTTAATCGCCTGGCGCGTATTATCTTGACCAAGATCGAGCTCGGGGAGATCGACCCCGATGACCCGCAGAGTGGGATCCAGTACGGGGATGGAGGTCTATATGGTGGCAGCGACGCTTCGAGCATCAGAAGTCGGGCGACGGACGATAATTCAATGCCCCTTCAACGCAGGACTTCCCGTCGAAAGGGCAAAGCTCCTGGCACATCTTGGAAAAGCGGAATGAGGGAATGGGAGGATGTTTTCCGCTTGGGTTCTGGAAGTCGCCCAAATCAAGGGTGCTGTTAGTATTGTTTGTATTCATTCTTGGGTACATCTGTTTGTTTGTTTTTTTCTGTTTTGATTTGGTCTTTCGTTTACTACACTGCACGATACCCCCCTCTCGTTGACCTTTGATCATTTCTGTTACTTTATTTACCCAACAGTTCGGACCTCCAGGAAGAGGAGTCATTGCATATCAACTTTTGATTCATCTCTTAAAAAAAAGTCTCCTAAAAAGAAACGCCCCGTTTATCCCCAATGTTTCGTCTTCTATAACGGGAAATTTACACATCAATACCAGCAATCAAGGTCTTAATGCCCTTGCCAGCCTTGACCTCGATAAAGGCCTGCTCAGCTTGTTCGAACTCCACTGTGCCGGTAATCAACTGCTTAACATCGACCTTGCCGGATGAAACCAGGCCAACAGCAAGCTTGTAGTCTCCGCTACCATACCGGAAGCTACCCTTGATGGTCAGCTCCTTGGAGCAAGCCGCCATGATGGGGAACTGGATCTCGCTGCGGCCCATGCCACCCTGGACGTATGTGCCTCCGTTACGTAGGACATGGATACCAGTGTGCACGGAAGGCTCCGCGCCCGAAGCGTCAATCGCAACATCAGCGCCAGCGCCGAGCCCGTTCTCTTCCTTCATGCGCTCAGCATTCTCAGTGGCCGCAACATTGCTGGGCATGAACGTCGACGTTGTGGCGTAGCTCTTGGCAAAGTCAAGACGCTGCTGCTGGATATCCACGGCGATGACCTTGGAGGCGCCAAACGCACTCGCCACGGCACAACACAGCAAGCCCACGGGGCCGGCACCGAATACAACCACCGTCTGGCCGGGGCTGACGCCGGCTTGACGCACGATGTGCACTGCAACACTGAGGGGTTCCATGAGCGCTCCCTCCTGCAGGGAGATGTGTTCGGGAAGCTTGTAGCAGAAGTCCTCGGGAAGAGCATAGTATTTGGCGAGGGTGCCGTCGTAGGGCGGGGTCGCGGCGAAGCGCATGTCCTCGCACAGGTTGTACTTTCCGGCCTTGCAGGGGTCGCATCGGCGGCATGAGATGCCGGGCTCCATGGCGACCCGGTCGCCCACCTTTAGTGTCTTGACGGATGATCCGACTTGGCTGATGATGCCTGCTGACTCGTGTCCGAGGACCATGGGGTCTTTCACAACGAATGAACCGATTGAGCCATGTTCCCAGTAGTGCACCTGTTGGGGATTAGTCGGTCTCCGGTGGCTCATACTGGTTTTCGGGCATGGTACATACATCACTGCCGCAGATACCGGTGTACTTGACATTGATGATCACATCGTGGGGGTTCTTCAGCTCGGGAACTGGGCGGTCTTCAAACTTGACCTTGTGGATTCCCTCAAGGACGAATGAAAGGTTCTGCATGACTGTCAGACTTGTTCTGTGTCATTTTCGGGTGAGTCGAGTTCTACCTGAGCTGTGGCCATTGTGTATGTGGGTTTAGAGGGGCAATGGAGGGGATTCCGGGGCAATTGACAACAATGTGGGGTGATGAGGAGGAGAGAGTATGAGAGAAATAGAGATTCTACAGGTAAGATCAACGGAATATATATATATATATATATGTAAGGACTCTGAAAAAGAGAAAAAGCAACCGGGAGAATCCAGTTTCGAATTGAACCGAAGAGCTCCCCCGCAGGTCCACCTGTGGATTTGTCTTTTTTAGCCGCGATGATATTAACCGGGTTGTTCTGGCGGGATTCTCCTTCCTCTGTGAAGTCACAAGGGGCAATAAAATCATATGGCCATGTGACCCGCCACTTGTCAAGTGACGTATACCTATTATTTCCTATATAGGAGATAGAGGATATTATAGTACATCGGTCTTATATATAATACAAATAGAATAGTATTAAGAACGTAATAAACTCATTCCAAGTATAAGACACTATCCAACATATATATGTACTTATATACACTAAATATATTCTCTATACCTACCTAGGTATACTACAAATACATTAAATACTTAATAAGTACGGACTATATCCCTATCCAATCCCCGTTGCCGTAAGAAAAAGGTATCGGGACGCCAAGACCCCGGAACTCGGTCCGTCCTCCACCTCTCACCTCTACTCTCTCTCTAGTAGATCTGATAGCTCTGACAGCTCCGACGGCTTTAAGAGCTTCACTTCTTCACAATGGTATTCAATGCTCTCGCCTTAGGGGCGCGTAGTCTCCGGACTCGACCATCACCCCGCCTTGTGCGCCATTTCGCAGCTTCGGCCAAGCAAGCCAAGGAAAACCAATCATTCAAGAGTCAACTATACGAAAGCACCCAGCAGCGTCTGAAGCGTGAGCGTGCGGAACAGGAGAAATTTGCCCAATATCAGACCCAATCCCCCGCAGGTCGCTCTGCCGCCCTGGTCTTCGGTATGCGATACCAAGATAACCTTGCATTTTCCTCTTGGATAGGTCATTGGCTAACTAAATCTGCAATCGCGCTGTAGCTTTGGTTTTCTTCTCAACCGGTGCTTATTACCTCGGATCCCTCAAGCCCGCAGCTCTGCCCTCCTCATCTACGACTCCCCTCTCTGAGATCCAGGCCCCAAAGCACAACGTCTCTCCTTCCAATCTCCAGGCCGCATGGGCCGATTTCGTCGAAATTTTGGGCAAGGAAAATGTTTCGACCGCAAGTGGCGACTTGGTATCACATGCCGGATCCGATTGGTCCTCCTACTCGCAGAAAGAGGACGAGAAGCCCTTCCTGATCCTCTACCCGTCAAGTACCGAGGAGGTCTCGCGCATCATGAAGGTCTGCCACCAACGCGTTATCCCCGTCACCCCGTACTCCGGCGGCACAAGCTTGGAGGGACATTTTGCGCCTACGAGAGGTGGCGTGTGCGTGGATTTCCGTCGCATGGATCGCATCTTAGAGCTCCACAAGCATGACTTGGATGTTGTTGTCCAGCCTGCTGTTGGATGGGAGGAGTTGAACGAGGAGATCGCCAAGGATGGACTTTTCTTCCCGCCCGATCCTGGTCCCGGTGCGATGATTGGTGGTATGGTCGGGACAGGATGCTCGGGGACTAATGCCTACCGGTACGGGACAATGCGTGAGTGGGTGATATCGCTCACTGTTGTCCTGGCCGATGGTACCATTATCAAGACCCGGCAGCGACCGAGGAAGTCCAGCGCTGGTTACGACTTAACCAAGCTCTTTATTGGCAGCGAAGGCACTCTTGGTTTGGTAACGGAGGCGACCTTGAAGCTGACGGTCAAGCCCCAAAGCGAGAATGTTGCTGTCGCAAGCTTTGGCAGTATCCAGAGTGCTGCTGAGTGTGTGACCCATGTGGTGGAGGCTGGTATCCCGGTCGCTGGTGTTGAGATTCTGGATGACATCCAGATGAAGTGCATCAATGCCAGCAAGACCACCAGCCGTCAGTGGAAGGAGTCACCTACCCTGTTCTTTAAGTTCACTGGCACCCCAAGTGCGGTTAAGGAGCAGATTGGTATGGTGCAGAAGATTGTGTCTAGAACGGGCAATACCTTCGAGTTTGCTCGTGGCAAGGCTGAAATGGCAGAACTCTGGAGTGCTCGCAAACAGGCACTGTGGAGTGTCATGGCGATGAAGAAAAGCCCGGATGACCATGTCTGGACGACCGATGTCGCGGTTCCGATGAGCAAGTTGCCCGCTATCATGGAGGCAACCAAGGAAGATATGACCAAGAATGGCTTGTTGGCCGGAATCTGTGGCCATGTCGGAGATGGCAACTTCCACGGTAAGCTATTGCCTTAGTTTCGACATACCCCAATGTCATTCGACACGTATTAACATCCGACAGCGATCATCCTCTTCAGCGACCGCGAGAGGAATATAGCCGAGGGAGTCGTGCACCGCATGGTGAAACGCGCTGTGGAGATGGAGGGCACTGTCACCGGAGAGCACGGTGTTGGTCTCGTCAAGCGAGACTACCTCGAGCACGAGTTGGGTGAAACTACAGTTGACACAATGCGCCGGGTAAGTCATTGACATACGTTCTCATTCAACCTCCAAATCCAAATATACCCTTCATCTACGCCCATGGAACACACCACTAATACTCTTATCTGCATTTCTAGCTGAAATTGGCTCTCGATCCACTCCGCCTGCTCAACTGCGACAAGGTGGTTCGCACCGAACAACCAGCTCCTGGAGAGGTTAAGGAATGGTAGATATCTACGCCGTCATTCATTGTGACAGGATCTACAACGAGCCCGCCACTGTATCCGGAGCACTGCCCTAATCCGAATCCGAACCAGCCCGTTCATGGTGATGATGGTGGTGGCGGTGGTGTCGGTGGTGCCGGTGAGAACGTTCCTCATCATCGCTGCCTCCACTGCGGGAGCCCGAATCGTGCCTCGGGCGCTCCTCATCCTCATATCCATATCGTCGTTCGGCGCGGTATCCATCACCGCCCTCTCGCTGGCCATATCCTTCCTGGGACCTATAGCCGGAATTCTCAAATTCGTTGTAGCCAGGCTGCGGTCTACCATATCCAGAGAACTCCCTGTACATCGTGGTCAATATAAGAAACTAGTAAATAACAAATAATCAAGTCCCACTTACTGTCTGTATTCCTCACGGGGAGGAGGACCTCCGTATCCATATTGTCTCTCTGTATGCTGATATTCAGATTGGCCACTTTGGTAGGTCTCCCGTGTCTGCTCCTGATAGTAACCCTGGCTTTCCGACTGATATTGGTGGTGCTCCTCGCGGCGGAAGCTCTCCGCTGGAGGTGCGTAGCCAGAGTACTCATCGCGACGCGCGGGTGGCTGTTGATAGACGGTTTCACTTTGATATTCGTATCCGTCGGGGCGTGGACGGTATTCTTCGCGATGAACCGCGGGCTGGCCGTAGCCGCCGTAGCCTCCGTGACTTGGTTCGCTTGGCTGTCCATATCCACTCTGGCGAGGGGGCTGCATTTGACTGAACGAGTCCCCTCCGTATTGCTGGTGACTCTCATATTGGGGTCGACTCTGGTAAGAATTACCACTGTCATAGTTCTGAGGCT